TAATAAAAATTCCAATCAAAAACAAAAGAAAAATAATAAAAATCATAATAAAAATGATAAAAATTATAAAGAAAGCTCTGATAATGAGATAAATCAGGCCTCTCAAATGGACTATGATTTAGCATCTAGCCCTGAATGGGAAAATAATATTATGACTATATCCATGCTAGCCAATCATACTAGTAGGTCTAAAAATAATATTATAATAGATTCAGGAGCTACAGAGCACTACTGCCCAAATAAAGATTGGTTTATAAATTATAAAGAATATAAAGTCCCAAAACACGCAAATATAGCTAATGGAGAATCTATATTAGTATTAGGGCAAGGGGATATTCCTATTATTATAAATAATAAGAAAATATTCATTCGAATGGTAAAGCATATTCCATCATTAAAATCAACTCTAATTAGCACCAAACAAGCCGCTAAAAAGGGTTGGGCTAGTGAAATACTACCCCCCGGCAATATTTATAAATTTTCAAATAAATTTTTAAATATAAAGGCGAACGCTAAATGGATTGATAATGCTTTCTACCTAGAATGCGATATAAATTATGATTTATTAAATCAAAATAAGAATATTATTTATAATAATAATAAAGATTCTAAAATAGATCAAATAAATGAATCTAAAGAAGAATCAGAATCTAAAAAAGAATCTAATAATACGAATCTAAAAGATTTAAACCTATGGCATAAGCGTTTAAATCATATAAATAAAGATTATATTATAAAAACACTAAATTTAAAAGATTCTAAAATGGATTTAAGTCATTGTGAAGCCTGTATATACGGTAAAATGACTCAAAATATTAGTAAATCCCTATCAAATTTGAAATTAGACAAATTTGATAAAATTAGTACTGATATTTGTGGACCATTTAAAACACCAGGATTAAAAGGAGAAAAATATTTTATTACTTTCACAGATTGGGCTACACGAGGCATATGGGTGTATTCCATAAAATTTAAATCAGACGCTTTTAATATATTAAAAGAAGTATTTTATTTGATATATAATCAATTTAATACTAAAATAAAGGCGATCAGATTAGATAATGCTAAAGAATTTAATTCCAATCAATGGAATTTATTCGCTAAATCTAAAGGAATTATACTAGAATATATTAGTCCTCACCATCATTCCCAAAATGGAATAGCCGAAAAATTAAATAGATATTTAGTAGAAAGAATACTAGTATTTATAAGAGATAAAAATCTACCTATATTCTTATGGCCTAATATACTAAAAGGAATAGTTTATATTAAGAATAGACACTATAATAGGACTATAAAAAGCTCACCCTTTAAGTTATTATATAATAAAGAACCTAATATAAAATATATTAGGATTCTAGGATCTCTTGCATATGTATTAAAACATAAAGAAAAAAGAGATAATAAATTTGATTATAAATCAGAAAAAGGAATTTTAGTAGGATTTGAATCTTCAAAGAATTTATTATTTTATATTCCAAATAGAAATAAGATAATGAGTTCTAGTGATTTTATCATTAAAGAAGATATGCTATATTATAATAATAATATTAAAAATAATCTTACTAAAAAGGACCTATTAGAAGAGTTAAAAGAAAACTCTGATACTGATGATCAAGAAGAAGAGGTAGATATATATAATAATATATATAAAGATTTAAATAAAAATATTGATTCTAAAGATTCTAATATTAATAAAAGCAGATTAATGGTTGAAATACCATTTAATTCTAATTTGCCTACCCCTGTTAGGCAATCTAAGCGTACGCGAGGGGTAGAACCGCAATTAGATATATATAATCTCGCTTATATATCATATATTGAATCAAAGAATCAAAATTATAAATTTAAATTAAACAATATTGATGACGATCAATATAAAAAGAATATATTATTATGTTTCAGTATAAAAACTGACGAAAAAGTAATAATAAAAAGGCCTTATAATAAAAATCTAATAACTCCTGAAACATATTCACAAGCTATAAATTCTGATCAAAAAGAATATTGGGAAAAAGCTATGGAATATGAAATAAAGACCCTTGAAAAGAATAAAACCTGGGATATTATTATTAAAAAGAAGAATAATAATATAAAAGAGCTAAATGTCCTAAAGACAAAATGGGTTTATAAAATTAAATATTTATCTGATGATAATATTGAATTTAAAGCTAGATACGTAGCTAAAGGGTTTGAACAACTATATGGATTAGATTATTTAAACACTTTTGCTAGCGTGATAAAGCAAATGGCCTGGAAATTGGTATTTGCACTAGCAATAAATAAAGGGTGGTATATATACAAAATAGACATGGTTTTAGCTTTTGTACAGGGAGATATTGATAAAAATATATACATCAAAGCCCCTGAAATATATCATAATAATGATATAATATTAAAGCTAAATAAAGCTCTATATGGATTAAAACAGTCCGCTAGAATCTGGTATACTACATTAAAAAGCATATTAAATAAATTAAATTTTATTAATATAAAATCAGACGAGTGTATATTTATAAATAAATATTCGGGATTAATATTGAATATATTCGTCGATGATATTGCTATTGTAGGCTCTAGCGAGGTTCTAATCAAAGATTTTATTAAAAATCTTAAAAACCATTTAGATCTAAAGGATTTGGGTCCAATAAAAGACTATTTAGGTATTCAAATCAATTTAAATAAAGACTATATTGAATTATATCAAGAAGAATACATAAATAAATGTCTAAAAGACCTAAAACTAGAAGATTGCACCCCTGTAGCTACACCTATGGTTGCTAAAAATGATATAAAAATAAATCCCAATAAAGCCGATTTAGATAAAATAAAATGGGCTCAAAAAGCAATAGGGAAATTACTATATTTAGCACTAGGAACTAGATGGGATATTGCTTATTCTGTATTAAAATTAGCAAGATATACGTCTAATCCTAGTAAAGACCATATAATAGCTATGAAAAGAATATTTCGGTATTTAAAAGGGACTAAAACGTTTAAAACTACGTATAAAAAAGATAATAATAAATATATCAAAGGATTTTGCGACGCAGATTATGCGGGAGATAAAAGCTCTGCTAAATCCACTAGTGGCTATATATTTATATATGCTAATGGTCCAATCAGCTGGAGGACTAAATTGCAATCTGTCGTAGCACAAAATACAGCAGAATCCGAGCTAATTGCTATAAATTTAGCCGCTAGAGAGGCTATATATTTAAGACGTATACTACAGGAACTAAATCAATTTAATCAAAATAAATTCCCATTATATACGGATAATATGTCGGCAAAAGCTATATCGGATAATCCTATATATCACGATAGGAGCAAGCATATTGATACTAAATATTATTATATAAGAGATCTTATAAATAAAGGATATTTAGACCTAATATGGATTTCTACAGAAAATCAATTAGCTGATGGATTAACTAAGCCATTAGAAAGAATCAAATTATCAAGATTTATTGATATGATTCAAAATTTTAATAATTATTATTATTAAAATAAAAACATATATAAAAAATTAGTACTCTTTTTCCCTTTAAAATAAGAAGGTTTTTAATGAGACTAATTTATATTTATATATATAAAAAGATGATACATATTAAAGGGGACTATTGTTTTAATTAAAAATAATATAATATATATATCTTTTTAGTAGCATTCAATTCAGTATTAGCATATTATATAATCAGATCACATGATTGTCGCCTATAAGCTTACGAAAGCGACCATTAATCCGAAAACGACCATTAAGCCGAAAACGGCCATAAATCCGAAAACGGATATAAAAAATAAAGAATATGAAAAAGGGCTTTATTTCGAAAGAATGGACGGATTAGGAAGAGATTTACAAGAGATTTATGAAAGCGGAAATACTGAATTAGAAGGAAAAAGCATAAAAAGAGGCTTTTTTCCCTTGAATGTAGAATAAGAGAGATCACAATAAAATACAGATTCTTTAATATCACGTGTCACACTGCTTATATAATCCATTTTAGTCGTTAACCAGAGCCAGCTTCCATTACATACTATTAGCCTATGACCTACGATAATTTAGAACCTATAATTCGTAGGTACTATGTCTTTCGTATCCTTCTGAAACTAATAATAAGAGATTTTTTGGGGATTATAAGAGAATATTATTAAAAATATAAACACAAGAAATATCTCTTTTTTATTCTCTTTTTAATTCTCTTTTTAATTCTTTTTGAAAACTTTGAAATAATATATTTACTAAATTAAAACTGTATATTTATTTGTAAAAGAAGATAATAAAAAGATTAAACAACGAATTTGTAATAAATCTTTATAATAAGATATTATCTGGTTTATAAATCTATATTCAACCTTAATCTAAGACAGATTTTTTGACTATAAGAAATTATTATCTAATCCAGTTCATACGGTATTGTTATTTTTCCTCCGATAGAGGCGATAGATGTCGACAATATTTCCATGACATGTAACACGCCCTGTCAACGACAAGTTGACTCATGTTTGTGGGTTCGTAGGTAAGCTCAATTGAGGTACCGGTATTGTGGACTGCTGAGTATACTTCAAATGTACTTGTGCGGCTAGAACTTGATCTAAATATGAGCTATTAATTGTTTTATCTTTTATTACTTTATGGAATGTCCCTCGAGTAGAGTGTCGTATATTTTGTGCTCGCACGAATAGTAGTATTCTCAACCGGAGGCGGGATGAGCTAAAAAGAAAGTTTTTTTGGGCAACACTAAAAAGAACCTCATAGCGCGCGCCCTTAAAGCGACACACCCAGCTTTCGAGAATGTTCCTTTGAAATATGTTTTCATTCTAAATTGAGAGGTCCGTACATGCTCTGTAGTATATAAGCTCAAGAAATCACATTATTTGAATATGTCGTATTCGCTTTTATCATTGTCCCTTGCGCCACTTCAGACAATCTTTTAAGTTCAATTGGTGATATTTAGTATCCGTTGAAATTTTTCTTAAATCGTACTCGGTCATTTGAAATGGCTTCCTCCAATCAATCCTCGATCTTGGTGCGCAATGCACAACTTGATGATGCTACTCAAGTCGCTAAGCTTGGCTCTTTTGTCTTCAGCGCCACCTTTGGCCACTCAGTTGAGCCACACCAGTTGCAAAACTACCTCGACGAATCCTACAGCGTAGCAGCAACCGCTGCAGATATCTCCAATCCTCAAAAAGACATGATCGTTGCTACAAAAGAAGGGAATGAGGATATTATCGCTTTTGCTCTTTTGACTCGTGGCACGAGCGAACCGTGCGTCCAGCATCTGCAAAATACAGTGGAGCTACAAAGAATATACGTCCATCCAAGTACTCATGGACAGGGTGTTGGAAAATTATTAGCTGATAGGCTGGAGAATAACGCTCGAGATCAGAAATTCCAGTATATATGGCTTGGTGTCTGGGAGGAGAACCACCAGGCAATGAAAGCATATGAGAAATGGGGATATAAGAAGGTCGGAGAGCATGATTTTACGATAGGTCAGGTTGTACAAACAGATCATATATTACTGAAACAGCTCTAAGGTGTCGGGGGGAGGGGGTTAGGACTAGTTTAAATGTATAATCCGCATTGAATCCGCTCTTTATAATTCGCTCTTTGTATTATAACGGATTCTATAATAATAATAATCTACTTTAAAAAGAATAGATTATTAATCTTTAATTTTATAATTTATATATTAAATCCATTATGAAATGTATTAAAATAAAAGGAAATAGAGTATATATATAGTATAGCGAATTATATCATATTAGTGGATCGCTTGGCTCACGTGATTCACAATCCCATATATTATTACTTCTTACTAAAGAGCTCTTCTAGCTCTTTATCTTAGTATTCTAAATATTATAATCGTTATATATAGTATATATATATAAATTAAATAGAATAACTTGAATTTTTAATTTATTACTATTATTTTAATAATAGAATAAGTGAATATTGAAATAGTTTTATTTAATTGAAATTAAAATTTGTATATAAAATAAACTCTAATTTAAAGAAAGCCTAAAAATTTAGATTATATATACTAAAGCTTCAAATTATAAGCCTATAGTAACCTACAAAAAGTGTAAATTATTTTTAAAAAAAAATAGGAACGTTTTTTTAATTTTCACTTTCTAATCTATACTTTCTTTTTCGTATACAAATTTATTAAAAATGTGAATTAAATTACAAATCGAATTCATATTTTGAAAAACTCAAAAGGAAATTTCGTCAATTTATAAAAGATTATACAAAACCTGTAATTCTTGAAATATTTTATATTCAAATATAAATTCAAAATCTACTTTTAAAAAAAAGATTTCAGCGGATTATTCGATAGAATCCGCGCGGATTTATACATCTAGACTAGCCCTTAAAGTAAAAATTATAATGAGATTGCTATTATAAATAATAATAAAAATCAAAATAGAATATTTACGAATCTATATTAGGAAGTAGAACTTGAGAACGAGATTAATACTACTAGTAATCGTTAGGGTACTATATAGATACTAGTAAATTAGAATTAGAAAATAAACTTAGAAGTTTATAAAGATAAAATTTAAGTCTTTGAATTATTTTAAATAATCTAGTTATTAATATAAACATTTAAAGATTATAAAAATTATAAAAATTATAATTAAAAATACTATATTTCGCCCATATATTTGAAATTATTTAAAACCAATCTTTAATAAACTTAGAATTTTTATAGAAAATTCTTTAAAAATTGCAAATATAATTAAAATATATCTTTGATTTTGTATAACATTTTATAAATTAATAAGTCTAAAGCTTTTTAATTTTTATAATTCTTTATAATTAAAGAATATAATTTACTATATTCTCTATATCTTTAAATTTAAATAAAAATTCTTTTAAATTTAAATTAAATATATATTAAATAATTACTTTCTTTTTTAATTTTATAATAGTATATTAGTTGTTTAAATTTCTATACAAAAACTCAAATTCTATATTTTATATTAAAGAATTATATAAAGAATATTATAAAGCTTAATAATTTTTTGAATACTTAGTTTTTCATTTCTATAAATAGCTTTAATAATTAATAATATTCAAGTTTCTTAATTATTTAATCATATAATAAATAATTAATAAATTGTATATTAAAATTGAAGATGTAAATTGAAGATATAGTACTAGGCCATTTATATCCGCCCCCCCGCTTATTTTATAGTATCACACATTGTACCACCCTTTTTCAATATCAAATATTAAATCAATCAAGAATTATAAAATTATTAAAATTGAATAAATGAATAATATATTTTTATATTATTAATATATATAAAAATAATTTTATTATTGATTTTCAATCTATCAATATTTAATATACCAGCTATTCACTATAATACAAACTTTAATTTTAAAAGATATATTAACTTTCAAATTATTAAATAATTCTTTATTTAATATATTCCAAACTACTTATAAACAACTCTCTAGTCTTTAATAAATATATTCTGATTTACTTTTATTAATAGCAATATTAGGAAATATCTTATATATTCTTATTTTTAAAGTTTATTATATATACTTTATAGAATTAAGATTGGGAAAGTAAAGAGACTAATTCTTTAATAAAAAAATCTTTTTTTTTTGAAATCAATTTTATATTTTATAGGTATAATAAATAAAAGTATTATTCTAGATAAATTTATATTCTAAATTAAGCTTTTTGAAAATAAAGCTTATTTTAATTTCAAAAACCTTGAAATAAAAATTAATATTATATTTATATTTCATATTCTCAAAATCTCTATTCATTATATATAAATTACTCCTTTTAATATTCCAAAAACTTTTTTAATATATAATCTTTATATTCTTATTTATATTATATATTTCAATCATTTCTGAATCCCATTTCTGAAAACTAGTATAAAAGTATTATTCTAATCTTTTTCCTTTTCCTTATTTTATAAAGCACTCATCTAATTATATAATTAGATCTTATTCTTTAATTGTCAATCCTCTATAAGCTAGGTACTATTTAAACCGCTTAGTAATATATATTAATATAAGCTTTGGTTTTTTCTTATATTTTTAATTGATTATATTATATTCAATCAAAATCCTCTTAATAATTCTAATACTATAATCAAATCTAATCTCTTAAATAATCTATTTATATATAATTTTCGAAAACAATTATATATATTATAATAGTATTTGTTTGTTTTATTTAATATATAATTTAGATTAACTAATATATAATAGATATATATTATTATTATATATTAGATTTTATAAAAAAATATATTATATAATTCTACAAAAAAGTTCAAAGCTCTTTATAATTTAATAGAAATTGAGATTTTCCTTTATTTTACTAACTATTTTGTTATATATATATAAAATAAAATACTTATAAAAATCATTTTGCATATCTTTAATATATTATATATTATAAATTGAAAGTATAATTAAAATAATAAAATATAATTATAGAAGTATAATACATGAAAAAACGTGTTTTATAGAGTTTCGGCTAATAGAAGTATATAATGACTATATTAATTGAGAGAAATATAATTGATTTAGTAATATAGACTATTCGATAATAAATCACGTTATATAATATTCCTATAATCCAAATTATTCTTAAGATCAAAATTACTTTCAAAAATAAGAATATCTTAAGACTGAATCATTAAAACTAAAAATGATTAAAATTATAGACATCTATAAACGATCTTAATCGAGAAGTCTTCAATTAGACTACTGATATTGTGCTGCTATTGACCGAGAAAGCTAGTATTTTATACTAATTCGAATTCACTTAAAGAGACACCTTGGCGGTTTAGAGTAAGCCTACTTCACGATAAACAATGTTTCTCAATTCGTACAAGACCATGAGCTAGTATGCTTTTGGCAATTGTGCTATTTTATTTGGTATCTTGTAGAACAGTTCCTAATAAAATTGTGAATGACTTAGTCTGAATGAAATTTTATGCCTTCTCTGGTTTTCGAGTCTTCAAAAAAAACAGGTCATTAGCACTGCTTTAGGGGCCTCATGTTCCGTTCGCAATACCACCTTTATCTCGATTCCCACTTCATTGAGATCAAAAAAATTGACAGCCTTTTCATGGCCCTTCTGAGGCTAAAATTAGTGCCTCTTTTTTCACTAGTTGAGGAGAAAGGTCCGATGTCTCGATATCGAAGGAAGACTGAGGTTGAACGGGGGTGCTTCCCCGTAGAATAACAATTAAGTGGAATATAAGGGCCATCCCTTTTACTACCCTTTCTAGAAAATACAACTCATTATCCACCCACTTAAGCAACTTTTTCTCTGATACCACTAGAGTGCCAAGATCTAAAGTAATAGGTTGGGAAAAGGTTACAATATACCTATTCCCCGTTCATCGGGATACTAGAGCTGTCAACATGAGTTGGAGTACACAGGAACAGCTTTGTGTACTTGCATTGAAGACTCGCTCTTCATTCATAAGGCATCATGACCACCTAAAATAAGTCAAATGGGGTCCTTGGTAGCCACCATAATGCTCATATCCGAAACCATGAATTGAAAATTATCAATCACAGCAACGAGACGAGAAAAATAGCTGGGAATTTGATGCAGAAGTAGAATTATTCAAATCGAAATAAGAGCGGAAATAAATGACCTTCGCTTGTGGGTGTGAGCAAGATATTCAACATAAAACGGAATGCTTAGGTAGTTATTGGGGTTGACAATATAGATGCGGGGTAAATGGCGGGGTTGTTTTCTATGCTACTTTCTATTCTTGGATTGAGTATTTTTAGTATGCTAATTGAAGATTCAACCGTTTTGGCCATCAAATCCTCGGTATCTATCTACATGATCACAATACATCAACTTATTACATGGAAGCTTTGAGCTCATCACACAGCCCAGTTGGTGAAGGGTATGACGGGCTCTTTGGAAACCACTCCGTCAAATTATAACTTCAATTTTTGAGCTTGCAGCGGGATTCTGGAGATTCGTTTCATTCCGTAACACAGGAATTATCCATTCAGGAAATAATGACAATGAAATAACAACGCGCCATGCCAACGTTTTCCAATTCATTTCATTGGCATCTGTGGGGGAAAAGGGTGTTCACATGATCATGGGTCCAAGGTTGGAGAGACATTTATAGCTTAAGAACATGATAGATTTGATTTGACGCGATAGGCATTGTAATTGAGGCATAATTGTAGATATAGCTGTTGAATTTATTATCTAGAAGTCATCGACAAAATAGCTTACTAATTCTAGGCCTGAAATTGAGCTCTAGAGTCGACTTGACAGTTGACCGAATGAGTCTCGATTGACTACGCGTTCGAAATAATTTTTGCCATAGGACGCGCATCAGTATCGACGATCAAGAGTTTTCCGTCACCTCGACCGAGTATTCCATAGACATTAACTTCGCCATCCTTGATACCTAAGACTGTACTGGTTCCTGCATATGTTGCTTCGCCTTCAGTTCCGCATCGATTGGCGAGAATGATAATGATTTCTTCATTACTGCTAGCCTCAATGATAGGTTTCAGCCTCATAATCCAGTAAGAGATTGTGTCCATATCTGGTTCGCTTGATAATAGACCGTAAGGTAATTGATCCTGTCTCGTAAGCCAAGCCATGGACAAAATAACAAGATTTGCTTTCTTTTGAAGTACGTGGCAAGCGAATTCACAAGTAATCCAGGGAGTTTCGAATTTGTATGGATTCAAATCCATACCTGTAGGCCATGATTATCAGTAAATTTACTAAAAATGTTGAGGTGTCATCAAGTATGATTGGAGCGCAAATGATATGCTAATGCTTACAGATTCCCATTGCCACCGTCCCTAGCCCCCTGATATCTCCATCGTAAAAGCCAGATCCTTCATGAGCCCAAGTTTCATCTGTATAATATAGAAATGACTTTCGATAGTTGGCGATAGTCTTACCCTCCTTATCCACCGTAACTGTAGAGTTATAACATTCGGGATTTGCTGATCTACTCGAAGGATTGGAAACTTTCTCCGGATAGCCAACCGTAACTATACAGTTGTACTTGAGAGCTGTCGTACGTGCCCATGATGACGTGACGCCGGAAGTAGTCGGCTCAAGATAAGGAGTGATATGTTCCAAAGAGGAGAAATTATAACCTGCATGACGGTTAGTCGTGAAATTGGTAAGACGCGACTGTTAAAGAGATCGGGGATATAATAGTTACCAGAAAAGGCCATTTCAGGCAACACCAAAAGATCGAGATTCTCCGGCTTTGCTTTCGTGAGTATGGCATCCGCCTTTGTGAAGTTATTGGCGACATCCCCGACCTGGTTTATCGTATTAGCTATGTTTGTAAATGGTATGACCGGATATTTACTTACTTGAGGATCGAACTGCAAACAAGCAACTCTCATAATTATGGCCGTTTGTGGATTCTCCTCAGAATTTGCCGATGTTGGAGATCGAACGCTTTTTTATGATAGAGAGCTCCACCAAGTATACGACAATGCGTGTTAGATTCCAGTACCTTGGTGACCTTACTATAGATAATCTTGCCAAGGACTTTACCCCGGAAACGACTAGCGTTCTACTAGTAAAGTAGCAGCTAGGATGCACCGAGAAGTTCAGAATCTAGTGTCAATCGAGCGGTTGAATGAAGAAAAAGGTATATATCGAGGAGGGAATGGCGGGATGATTGTGAGTGCCGCTTCTCGAAAGGTTCGAATTGTGTCGGCGTGGATCAGTGAAGAATGGTGAGAAACAGATAGATCAGTACCTTTACTGTAGATGCAACAATGATGGAATTCTTAGAGAACAGCTGGCTAAATTAGTAGCGACGTCTGCAGTTTGTTCAGCCTCTACCCCGCCCGTTTGGCTGCTTGTTCAGCCGGCATGAGATTTTTCGAATGTTGCACAGAAGCCCCGTAAAAACCTTATCAGACTTGTGAAAGTTGACTTTCCTTCGAGATTTGGTTTCTAATAAGTTCTTGATCAATGATTATGGAAGAGGAAAGAGTGATACGGGGAGCGCTGTACTATATCAATAGAGTTTAATCGACCAATCGCGGAAGTGTAAATATACGATTAACAAGAGGCATGTGTTATACGAGCTTTGATTGGCCACCTATTGCTTCCTTCGCAATTATCGACATGCTCGTGATTAGTCATTAAGGCGGTCAGTGCACCAATGGGTACACAGACTCACGGGACAGCATAACAGTAAAGCACAATCTCACACCTAAATTAATTACAAAATTTAATAGAAATTTGAATTCTAATTGAATATTATTCAAACAAATATATTATATTCTTTTAAGTATTAAAAAATAATGTATAAAAAACACATTCAAAAAACAAAGATTTGAGCTCAATAATTCAATAACGTGATTCATATACGAGTGGATTATATGACCGAGTAGATCACTTGAAAATGCATCAAAATTAAACTTCTCTTAATTTTCGTATTTTAATAATTAATTAATATTTTTTGAAAAAGAAATTATATTTGAAAATAAGAAAAATATAGATAATTAAGAATTATAAATATTTTTATTATATTTTGAGAACAATTGAAATTGTTACGATTTTCGTTAAAAAAAACACTATTTTTATAATAACTATTAACGTGTTTTATAAGTACATGACTCATATTAGTATATAGCCTATTTTAAAAATATATCAAAATTAAGCTTTTTTTAATAATTATATTTCAATAACCAATTGTTGTTTTCTTAATAAAAAAGAATATTAAATAATAATAAAAATCTTGTTTTTGAAATATATAGTTTTTATATAAATTTTCTTATTATATTCTAAAAAAAATAGAAATTTCTATCATAATTCTTATATTGATTCGAATTTTTCAAGAAAGATTAGATTTTTATAATATCTTTATAATTAAATTTTGTATATTTAATTTTTAAAAGATTTCATCAATAAATAAAGAAAGTATATAATTATAAATAAACGAGGTTTATATATAAAATAAAGTAGGTCATATACTGATACAAACTATATACTAATAAACTAAGTTATCTAAAATCGAATTTTTAATTATTAATTAGAAATTAATATTATTTATATAGATAATTATAAGATTTAGAAAAGAAATTTAAATTATATTAATAAATAAAGAGAGTGTACGGCTACGAATAGACGAATTTTATACGTAAGTTGAGTGATCCACTCGGTGATATGATCCACTCGCATATAAATCACGTTATAACATTCTTTCAATGGATGATCTTGCCATCAGGCTCGTGATAAATTCGCCGATTGCCCTTCGCTCAAACTTTTAGAAGGGTTGTTCGCACATGAACATAAAGGAAGCATATTGGACGTTTTGAGCGGGATAGAATTTAGTATATCACTTTTTTTGGATTCATAACTTGGTAATTCCTAGCCTAGTTGCCCAGGAGTTTTCAAATTTTCATCCTTCCCATCAGAGTGTACGCCGTGACTCCCTAACAGCTTCAAAGTTCAAAGTGTCAACCTGACCAAGCGAAGCAGCGAAATACGTTAGCGTCTGCTCAGTAAGTATCTTGTAGCGGTAGGGTTATGTCATTTTCTGGTAAATTCTCATTCTAGTATTAGTTTTCATAGAAACTGTTAGAAATCCTTTCGGCTGTTTGGCTTGTTGAGAATAAATGACTACCGAGAATGGTGATGTGTGAGTAACCTCTTCTTCGCGACCCTAAGAAGTCAAAGTACGCAATGAAAAGATATCAAATTGGAGAGATGGTCTGTTTCTGACTCTCTGTTTTCCCACAAGAGTCAAATTTGACACAAGTCTACGATCCCTCTTGACCACCTGCTCCGTGAACATAATATTGACAACACACACCAACTTCATGAGTATACATTTCGCTCCAGAGACAGTTATCTAGGGCGGTTGGGTGCAAAAGACGGAGGACTCTGCGTCAATCTGATTTCACTTTGAACAAGCAAGGCCTCCAAGATTTCCGATTGACTTTCATCGGGTAGCTTGGTAGCCGGTGCTCTGATTTGTATGCATTCAGACACACACTCTGGATAAGCTCTGTCTTTTGTGATTGATTTCGTGTTCTTGAAGCCATTCTCTTAAGGTTCAGGACAAGTTGTGACTTCTCATTAGCGCGTTTGGTTTCGTTATTTTTATCGTCAGTCAAATTTTTGATTATGAGATTTTTCTCAGCAACTTCAGACTCTAAGCGATTGATCGTTTGCTTGTGGGCTTCAATGGAGATGTTTGCGTCATCTAGTATACTCGTTTTCTCACTTCGTGTTTTAGCTTCAAGCTCAAGCTGCTTCTTTTGGCTTTGGATGTTGATCCGTAAGTTTGCAATGATACCGAATTGCTCCGCTACCTTTTTTTGTGAATCTTCCATCTGGAGCTCGATGATATCGAGATTTTTCTTGGCAATGTCAAGTTCGTTTTGAAGTTTGTCACATCGCTCATCAGTAGTGTTACATACCTTCAAACTTTCCGTGAGACTATCCGTGAGATTTTTCTTCTCCATTTCCAACATCCTCACTTTCTTCTCGGCATTATCAAGTTCTTTGTTAAAAAGCATGGCCTTGACATCGGGATTCAATTCTCGCACGCTATTGAGGCTACCATATGCGAGAATTGTGATAGTCAATGCGCTGTCAATTAAGTGCTGGGAGGGTATCTTGACCTTCGCAAGCATGCGATCTATAGATTCACTCAAATTAAGTGCCCTATTGATTTCCAATAAGAGTTTTACACCTTCGATCTGGTCGAATAAAGATGTCAAATCTTTTCTTCTGCCATCAACTTTTGATTTCAAAAGATTTGTTTTTTCTTGAATTTCCCACACCCTGTAGTGGCAGAATCCGTGGTTAACGAAGTAATCCTTTCGTAATTACCATAAATTCTATAATACCTTCATTATATATTGAATAAATCGTTTTTAAAATATTAATATAATCAATCTAAGTCTTTATACCTTACAAAGCTTATTCTAATCAATAAGTTTTTAATGAATTTCTTGAATTCTGAAAGGTTAATTAAAAGTTTCGGCCTAAAACAATAATTATCTATTAAATAAAAAGCTTCTAGGTTTTACTTGTTTTTCAACCCCCCCTCCCCTCTCTTCCTTTTCTTTTCCTTCTAAATTGATCTTCTATTAGATTTCAATAAAAGAATAGAAAAGTTCTTCTAAGTATTTCAATTAGAATCTATTAAGAATTACTAATCTTTCTATTATACTTCTATTTATTAAATTCAAATTTATTTATATATAAATTGAAATTAAATTATATTTTTGTTTATATAATATATTCTATATTATATAGCATAATAATATAGCTTGTGATTTCACTTAAAAGCTCTTTTATAGATTTCCCTCATATAATATAATTTATCAAAAGGATTCTATTTCCCTTTAAGCTTTCAGCTAATACCTCTTATCCACCCCTTAGCTTTTACACTTATTCCTTTTCTCCTTTTTAGCTTTTATTTATCTTTTTGATCTTCTATACATATACCTTTCCGTTTACCTTCCCTTTAATTCTAATATTCAAAAATCTTAAAAGCTTTAAGGCCTTTCAAGATTCTTATTTTCTTTTTTTTAATCAAAATTCAATAATAAATAGGTTGCAAAAAGAATCGATTTGATTTGTTAATAATAAAGAGCTCTATTCATTATTAACAAATATATATATTAATATTGTAATGTATGAAATAGAAATTTGTATAGAGATTTATATTGAATTTATCTTTGTCCGGAATATTAACTTTGCCACCACAGGGACAGTTGCTCAAACTTCTCAAAAGGAATGTCATTCTTTTTGATGAAGTTCTCACGTCGCACTATGAGTACTTCGTGAAGCTTATGAAGCTCGTCATCAGACTTCAAAAGGTTGTTTCTAGATAGTGATGCATGTGCTGGAACATACATCCAAACTCTAGTCGTCCAGGACGCCATGGGCAAAGGCCCAAATGCAAACGAATGATAGTGATTGCTGAATGTTGTAGAAAGATACATTGCCGGCGAAGGCCGAGTTATCCAAGTTGACTCATCAGATGAGCATAAACATGCAGCACAAGAGGCAGCTGAGATTGAGCATATATATGCATCCAAAAAAACCAGTTTTACCAAAGTGTTGAAGACATGCCAAAAAAGCAAGCGGTATTTTATGCCCAATAAACGATATAGAATGGATCTCGCTTTTTGCAATATGGTTCGAAACAAAATTCGCCCTGATCTTGATCCCTCCGGTCTCGTGCGGCAAATCCAAATGCCTTGTGCAATTGGCTACAGTGAGCACCTCAACAAGAGATCTTTAGATTATCAGCCAGCTTTTGCGTTGCAAGGTGTGACTAAGTTGTGGGATTTCATGTTGAGTTGCCTTGAATTTCTTGAGATTAGTATGGAAACCATCTTCTTACCCATCATCAAGATATGGAAAGCAGAGCAAATGAATTATGCAGAGATACTTGCGACTTTACTTGCTCATTCAATGGCAGATCGAAATGGTCTTAATGTTAAAGGTCCGGGGGATTAGGCGGATCTAGATCGTAGTGTGACCTTCGAGGAAGAGAAACAACAAATATTTGTCCGTAGAGAATGGGCAATTAACAATCTTAATCTATCCATCGAGAAGGCGAGATGTAAGATTGAGGCCATAGACCATGAAAAGTCTTTCTGGGAGTCAGGGGCTGATGAAATGATCAATGAGACAAAGGCAGCCATCGATCTGTTTTCATTTTCGGAAAAGGGAAAAACATTAGACGTTGGAAAAGAGCTAGATGCGATTGATCCCCTTTCACAAAATTTCTTCTTGTCCGGCCTTGACAAACAATCAGATAGGGAGAAGAAGTCCCAGCAGATTGCTTTAACTTGGTCGATTGACTATTCAAGTCAATTTTTCACTGGCTTGAGCTATATGGTGTAGATTGCTTGGGTGGGGTTGAGAAGCTCGCGCAAGCGCGGTTTTCACGTGTTGGTAAGTAGACTCCAGTTTCGCTCAGAGACGGAATCGCTCTTGTGTTATCCATGCAAGCCAAATCACAGTTTGAGACTAATGTAGTGCGATAAATAGGAGTCACCTTTTTTTTTTAAGCCCGAAAGCTAGATTCAAAAGCGTATACTCGTCAAAACCGCGTCATATCCAAAATCGAACACGTAAGGTCAAATGGTGGCCTGCCACACAACCATTGTACAGTAGGATACGAGAGATGGTACATGAAAGGATTTGAAAACAAATACAAATATTACCAATGTACAAGAATCCCACAATAAAGCTGTCTGGGGTCTTGGATTCATTTGTGGTTCTTTGACGGAAGGCCAGGTACTTCAATAATCGTCTCATCTCATGTTTCGACCCCTCTCGCCGTTTTTCTTCGTTAGAAGTGGAAGTTCTAGCTCAAAATATTTACACACCTCTCTTGATACTGCCAATGGAACATTGCAATCCTTAGTGGAGTGGCAGATGGGGTCAGGTTGCTCCTCCCAAATTGACGTCTTCAACTCAAACATGTTTTAAGAGCGCTTGAGGTACTTTCTGCAAGCGGCATGTCCTTTTAGCCTAGAGAAGATAGCTATCGACGTGTCTTTGTCAGTATTTCTGTGGAGAATCCTGATTCCATCAATGTCGGTTCATATAAGGTGTCGATATATTTTGGGTGCGGAGCTTGTGCAGGAATTTAGACAAGGAGCGGCCTCTACAGGAATCGAGAAGAATGTGGAATAAGGCATGGTTACTTGGTATAGATATCAGCTATAATGGATTGTGGCCCCTGAAGTAGAGGTTATTCACCCTAACGGAAAGTTCTTGGTAAGAAAGCTAGTAAGCTTGGCACAACCGAATTCCAGACTGTGCCAGACTACGCTAATGTTCAGGATATCTTACCTGACAAGATTAATTCCTACCAAACACATATTCCTCTTTATCTCAAACTCGAACAAAGCTTCAAAATTTAACTGGAATGTGCGAACCACTACTTACAACCGCCGGTGTTTGAAACCTTCTTCTAAGCACGAATAAGAGGACTCGAGGGCGCAGCAGAACAAACCGGCGGCAGTACTCAAGAGGCCGAGGAACAAGACACGGACATCAGCCATAATCTGAGAAATGAATGTGGGCCAGGTAATATACGGATGGATTTGCAGAACGGGTGCGGTAATTGATCCACTCTACACCGTGGCGGTACTAGCGTTCCATAGGTGGAAGTCAGGAAGATGTGCCGGAGTTCTTTGCGGTACATTCGGCAAAGGCACATAATTGTATATACATATGAAAGCAGCCTTGTTGCCAGGTTACCAACAGTCTTGGCTTTGCTGGTTCTGTGGATTATCCACCAGCTCAGAAATTTTCAAAATTATCGGTCGAGTGAAACCGGCCATTGATTGACAGTGCATGATGCTCAAATCTTAGGGCCAAGACTCGCCGGGCTTTTCTTGAATTTACTGATCACCTAAGTCTATTCCTACTAATTTGAAACCCTTTTCACAGTAGGACTTTCAATTTCTGTTATAAAGAAAATACGACAAGAAGAACCATGGGTATGGAGAGCGGAGAATAGTGATCTGAGAATGGGATAGAGGACTATAGATGGAGTGGATAATAAGGAGAAGTAACGAGTCATGAGAACAAATTTGGACTTCCCTAAATGAAACGTCTCCGAAGTGCTAAGCATAGAGAAGTAATCACAGTGAGTTGATGCGCGCAGGAAAGGCGAGAAAGGAATGGTCCTGCGGTGGGGTGAACGGTTGTAATAATTGTTACGAAGGAATGTCGGCTCCTTCAACACTCGAAAACTGTGAGCAAAACAAGAAGAGATTTATATTTAATATGGTAAAGGGAGAGCGGAGATATATGTTGAGAAGAGATACGCACATTGGGTGTTGAAAGCGGCAAATTGTGCGGCGCTGTTGAATGAAGGGGATCAAAACTGCCACCATTAATACTTGATTGTATCAAAGATCCATCCTTCGTGATGTTCCCAACGTAAAATCCGAAGTGTCACATTTCCTCACCCAAAAACATTCATGCCCATGACCCCTTGATTATTTTCAAAGTTTCTGTCTCCTTTATCTGGATTTTGGACAACAGGAGAAGCGAGTCTCATACCCGGACCAAGCCCAGCAACCCCGCTAAACACTCCAACGATTTTTTGCGCAATGATCAGCCTCTGACGTACATCTTCATGCCTTGTTGTACAGGGCAATAGATGATATTCATATCAAAAACAAAGAAAGTTTGCAGCAACTTTGAGAAAGAAGAATATTAATGGATAAAGAGTGGGATGATGAACAATGGATGTTGACGCAACTGCTACAAAAACACAACCCGAACTCATCATTCATAATGTAAACTTATTCGATCCTTATACTCAAATGACTTCCCCAAATTATCTGTTGCCTATCTGAAACTTGTGGATAACCTCGGATTCCGGCCCTCATTTTATGTCATTCGGCGTAGTTTATCTCTTCACCCCCTGTAATACCGGACTCGTGTTTCGGAACTCGGTACGTGGAACGCCAAATTTTCGGAAGCGGGATGTTTGGGAGACAAGCGATGTAAGGGTTTGAAAACGTCAGCTCGGCGCGGGATTCGGTACGATGTGCAACAAAATTTAGAGAAGAATTCTAAGATGTGATGGATTGGATAGATGGGGCTTAGGGGTAATGAGTGTTACTGATTTGGGACTGTGAATTGCCTGTTTAGAAGGGATGTAGGGATTAGAGAGACTTCGGAACGGTGATCCGGTAGGTGGTAGACAGACAGTTTGCTCGACGATGCATGCAGTGCATGGAGATGAATGTTGCCAGTAATCTTTAATCTCGGGACATTTGGAAGTTTCCTCCTTCTTTTGGATGTTTCAATTCGTGACTAAGAAGTCTTGAGGCGCATAAATGATTTAAGAAAATCATCTACTGTCTTCCATCTCCAAAGTGCCAGCTGTTGCTGCTATTCTTGTCAATTAAAACCCAAAGACTGCTCAGCTCCACTATATTGAAAGCTCTCAAACTCAGGATTATCCAGATAAACACTCATACTGTACTGTAGAAAGGTTTATTTGGGTCAACACTACTCAGTTGAGATATACTGGATCTCAAGTTCCTGAATATGCAATTGATCTTGTCTACGAATGCATTATTACATCTTCTACACCCTTTGTGTCGCCAGCACTATCTTAAATCTTGATATATCTCAACATTGGCAAATCGTAAAATATGTAACTTCACCGCTCGACGGGAACATTGTACTCGGGTCCCAGACGATGATTTCTTCTTTAACGGAGGGGCGGAGCAATGAGTTTGGAGAGTTCAATACCGACATATGTGAATGAATCGCGATGGAGAACAATCAGGAGAGGAACTATCGAGTTGCGATGGGCAGATCTTTTCGAGGAATGTGTAGCAACGTTCCTTGGTATGAAGTGGGAGCCATGAGAGCTCAATTGATGGCAAGAGACATGCCGGGCTGGGGAAAATTAGCAGGTAAATAAGTGACCATGAAAAGTTTGGGTCCGACTGTAAAGATTGGAGCACATTCTCACTCGCTCATAACCTAATGGCACATCACCAACAACTCGTTTAGCAAAACCAGGCCTATCTATGTTCAATTCAACTATGAATATTCACATATATGATTACTCAGAGTAATTAATCCAAATGTATCAAACACTTTTGACGCCATGAAATAGAGAGCGCCAAGGCCCAGGGGTGTTGAAACAACATCAACGATTGCTGCAGTGGTAGAATTACGCTAAGTATCCTTTTTGGACTATTCATTGACCTCTCTAACCTCACCTCTCAATTTTACATTATCATTATGATTCTTTGTAGTTGTCCACCGACGTTAAGGTTGTTGTCATATACTTCTATTCTGCCTGCCCTTCTTACATCTCGATGGTGCAAGTGCAGTTCATCTCCCTCCATCAAATCAAGGCCTCCCATGACTAGAATCTTATAATCATGACAATAGTACAATGAAACTTGACGAATTTTGAAGCTCTGGCTCAGTATTGTGAAGCTCCTCTCAGCCAATCTGAGCAAGTACATCATGAAACACTCGAACTTTCCATTTTCAACAATCCTCCACTAACTTATGCAAAGGTACCAAAAACCCTCCATGCTCGCCTCAATTACCTCATCCGCCTTTTTGCATCATCTCCGGACCCGTCGAACCGCTAACCTCCCGGTCTGATCCTTCCACGGTGAATTTCGCATATGAATATATGAACTTATCATTCCACTAATAGCCATCAACACACATCTCCACGAGGTATTGACCAACTCCAGGCGCAAGAACCAATCTTAGGACTATCTTCTATTCATATAAAGCGTATGGCTGGAAAATGTACTCATAAGGATAGTATAGCCATGTCCAGGTGAGAATATTGGCAATGCCTTGTTGCACATAACAATATATGATATGTATGTTGTGAGTGAAGAAAGCCTGCGGTAACGATGGAAGAGAATGGCATGAATAAATAGGAAGTGGGATGATGAACAATGGAGGTTGACGCACATGCTACGCTCAACCTGAAAGCTTTCGAGAATTTTTCTCGAGAATCACGATCACGAAACAAAGGCAAGTAAAATTATTCATAGTGATGCCATTAATGGTTAATATTATTATTTTATTCCATCGACACCAAGCACCAACGTAGGAAAGCATCTTATCTATATTACATCATGATCCATTGTTGCATTATGAATCACTCAATCAATCACCTCCTAATCTATGTCCTGAGCCACGAGTCTTCCACGATTCTGGTAGAACACTGCCAGATGAGCTGGGAGCATTGGCAGATCGTTGTGGTTGTGCAACCGCGGTACCATAAGATCTTTCAGTAACAGTGGTTTGTGTTGTTTGGAAAGCTCTCTGAATAAAACCCGGGGTTGGAACAAAATTCCTTCCACCACCAAATGTAGGCCAAAGTCTTGTCAAGAAATCATGTAGATGAGCGGCAACAAGACCGGTAGCTTGAATCTTAGCTGGGCCAGCGCCAGCCATCACAAAAGTCATGAGAAGCATGGCATATGGGATCCATGGTGCTGGAATGGTGATGACAAAAAAGGTAGCTTTCATGCCACGATCATCTTGTGTCGATGTGTATGCGAAAGCCAATACCAATGCCGATGTAAAGATGACACCGCCTGTTATGAATGCATTCAAGCCCTGCGCATTTGTTAGATGAGATTATTACAAGGTATCTCTTGAAATAGAAACACCAAGTATTAACATCTCAATGACAATGACTTGAAATGTAGGGAGCCACAACCACCCGAGTTAAGTTGAGGAATCAACACGAGTTTTCTCATAGGAACTTCCCACCATGCCTACACCTCGACTGATCCTATTTGTTGTTTTGCGAATGTCGGACCAGCCAAGATGTAAGGGTAATCTTCCTCGTTTTAGGAACCGTTGTAGCTAAGAGCATTGCACTAAACGGGCAGTATAGAGGTGGGGTGTGAACAGAACAAGGAAAAAAAAGAAAAAGAAAAAAAAGGAAAAAAAAGATAATGCCTACCAAGATCGTCGCACAAACAAACAATACATATGTCAAGAAATCTCCAGGTTGAGAGAATCTAGGCGAAGCTGTTTCAAGCTTGCTTCCATAAGTGTATACTGTTGTTACAATGTAAGTCAATCTATCCTGATTGTAATGCGATCCTTCGGGTCTTACGAAAGTATGTGTCGAAGAGAATACCCAAGTCTGGGCCAGTGACGAGAAAGGGAGAAACAAGTCGCCACAATTGAGGTGGGAATTGCATTATGGGTTGCAATAAGAACATGACATGATAACCTGAGAGAATATGAGTGTAGACCAAGATCGAAAGAGTCAAGGCACCAGTAGCCAAAGTCCTATGCACTATCATCAGCATCAGTATTAATTGATTGGCGCATCTCTCGCAGAACGCATTGCGCATACCTTGAGATAGGCGGAGCTGCCCAGAATACATCCATTGCCGACATGATTATTGTACGGTATGAATTATTGTTGAGATGTTGTGAATAAGCTTCAAAAGCTTGATGTTGTGTGAAAGAGAAAATTGAAGAAGAGCTTTTTCGCGACTTATGAAAAGTGTTCTTTGCGAATGGCGCTTAAGTAAGCTTCAAGGGAAGCTAGATCCTATTATAGATTAGTGCGGGACAACTTGAGATCCTTGACCTTTGTTGTAGCTCCGTGTATGCATTGTAACCTCAATATCATGTTTGGTATTATCCTCAAAATTGTACAATAATGATATTAAGAAACCGAATTGACATGTAAAAACTTTAGTTACTCTACAACAAGAACATCATTCGTTAACCCTATCATAATGGTTGAGAAGCATGCTTACAGTGAATTAATGCTGATCTCAACCAAATTCTGCGAATTTTATCACACATGCAGTTGGCCGATCACGGATCAACCCCACCAAGAAATTTGACCCATCGGCATGAGTCGTTCGGTGATCTTTCAAGCCTTTGCTTGATATTTATTTTCATTTTATTCTCAATTATATTCATCCAAGTTAGACATCATGGCTGGATTTGACACAAAGTAAGCTATCGAATCATTTCAGCCTCGAGTTTCGTTTTCTTACAATTATTCTAGGAAAGTTCTTATGCTCGGTGCGGGCTTCGTAACACGCCCAACCTTGGATATTCTCAGTGAAGCAGGCATTCAAGTTTCTGTTGGTACATGAAAATTCCAATTTCTCTCCAAAAGATAAAGCTGACTTTTTTCCAGCATGCAGAACCATCGAAAGTGCTAAGAAGCTCTCCGAAGGTGTCAAGAATGCCCACCCAATCTCCCTCGATGTCACAGACGACAAAGCTCTCGATGCCGAAGTTGCAAAGAACGATTTGGTCATCAGTTTAATCCCATATACATTCCACGCTACCGTCATTAAATCTGCCATCCGAAACAAGAAGAACGTTGTTACCACTAGTTATGTTTCTCCTGCCATGCTCGAATTGGACGAGGAGGCCAAGAATGCCGGTATCACAGTTATGAACGAGATTGGTTTGGATCCAGGAATCGATCACTTGTATGCTGTTAAGACCATCGAGGAGGTTCACAAGGCGGGTGGGAAGATCACTTCTTTCTTGTCATACTGTGGAGGTCTTCCAGCTCCAGAGAATTCGGACAACCCTCTCGGTTACAAGTTCTCTTGGTCTTCCCGTGGTGTTTTATTGGCATTGAGAAATGCTGCAAGATTCTATAGAGACGGAAACATTGTTGACGTTGCTGGTCCAGAGTTGATGGGTACCGCCAAGCCATACTTCATCTACCCAGGATACGCATTTGTCGCCTACCCAAACAGAGATTCTACCCTTACAAGGAGCGTTACAATATTCCAGAAGCACAAACTATCATCAGAGGTACTTTGAGATATCAAGGTTTCCCAGAGTTCATTCGTGTATTGGTTGATATGGGATTCTTAAGTGACGAAGACCACGGATTTACCGAGGCAATTTCCTGGAAGGAGGCTACTCAAAAGGTTCTTGGATCTTCGTCAAGCACTGAGGATGATTTGAAGTGGGCAATTGCTTCCAAGGCAAAGTTCGAGAGTACCGAAGAAAAGGAACGTATCATGAACGGTCTTAACTGGGTTGGTATCTTCTCCGACGAAAAGATTATTCCCCGTGGTAACCCTCTCGATACTCTTTGCGCCACTCTCGAGAAAAAGATGCAATTTGAGGAGGGAGAACGTGATCTTGTCATGTTGCAACACAAGTTTGAGATTGAGCACAAGGATGGAAAGAAGGAGACTCGTACATCGACATTAGTTGAATACGGTGATCCAAAGGGTTACTCCGCCATGGCCAAATTAGTCGGTGTACCATGTGGTGTTGCTGTCAAGCAAGTTCTCGATGGAACAATCAGTGAGAAGGGTATTCTCGCACCTATGACCAGCAAGATCAACGATCCATTGATGGAGGAGTTGAAAAAATACGGAATCACATTGGTTGAGAAGACCATTTCTTAGAGCACGATATCACATACATTTAGATGACATGAAAATTCAAAAGTATATGCACGGTTTAAATGTGCTTCCAAGACTGTTATCTAACTACCAAGGAAACCTCTAATCTACCTTCGTGAACTGTATTCTTCACCCTTCTTTTTTTCTTTTCCACGTATGCATTGTTTCTCCTCTCAAGGCCTAGAATTCCAGCTATGCACATCTCCAACTATTCTCATCATCGTCACTTCAAGCCGAGCACATACGCGACCAAAATTATCTCAACATCCCATTTTAAGAAATACAAGACAATACAATAACGAATCACCACACATGTAATATATAATACTACAATATAAGGTACGCTACAGGTGGTGTGATTCGGAGCTCATGCTTTTGGCGAGAGACAAGACCCGCAAATTGGAGGAAAGGATATGTTCTTTGAACGTGTAGATTTGGGAAACTATATTAAGATGAGATGAAAGTATGTAGTAAGTATGTAGTGAGCATATATGAAAATTCATGATGATTCGTAGAAAAGGAGGATATGCCATGTAAACGTCAAGCCTCTTGCCTGCATTACACACGCCACCAAGCAGCGTCGGCAAATTAGTGGACGTTCGTCCGTAAAGATTGATTGGCTAAGAGTTGTGAATGATTAAATTATTTTGGATAACTACATTCTCGCTGGAGCATCAGTATCATTGAAGCGCTTTACGTGAGGATGTTACTGCTATTGTACATTTTCAAATCCATTGTAAGATATTCTCCTACGGATTGATCTCCTATCTTGATAGATGGAATAGATCCAAAATTTTATAAGCGCTCCCAAAAATCACCTGATATTTTTGATCATGGTCGTTTCATCTACATCATCGATAAAGGAGAATTTTGTGCGTAGGCCTGTTTCACTAGTTAGCTCATTGTTTGGGAAGAGAAGGAACTCCGGAACTACGAACCATAGGCTTGATATTAGGATGTGGCACTGCATCAAACTTGTGGAAGTCCAACTTATAATCAGGTCCGATATTGATATAAGCTCCCTTGTTTTCTGTACTATCGCAATATCTCGGTGCAGAGAAGACTGAAAAGTGTTAGTTAAGTCTGTAATGCATTAGTGGAAATTCACATACCAGTAATGCATTTTCCATCGTGTTCCTCTTCATAACCTTCCATTCGGACCTCATGACTACGGATGATAGCCTCCAATCCATTGTTTTCGCAAAACCTTCTAGTGATATCTGGTCCGAATTGCATACCGACACCACGTTTACTTGGGCCACGACCCGGCTCCTTTTGTGGATCGGTCCATAACATTTCCATCATCAATCCTGCCTGACCCGGTTGGCGTTGATTATGTCTGTTCAAAGCTCGAATGTCGTCTAACGTGATCTTATCATCCGAGAACAATCCTCCGTGAAGGACAAGATATTTCTTGCCGATGAGAGTTGCTAAAGGCAGAGCCGAAAAACTTTCGGAGAATAGCTTGAAAGTACGTTCTGGTAGGAATTAGTTGGTGTTCTCAGGGATCAAGATTTAAATGAATCGGGAAGACAACCCACCATTGTATTTTGCCTTGCACTCGCCCTCAAATCCGTAAACACGGTTCATGTCATCGGTCTCATGATTTCCTCTATTGATAAAAAATGCTGATGGACGTAACCATTTGTATGCATACAACAGCAGTGCAATTTCACATGACCAAGAACCTCGATCAACGAAATCACCGTTGAATAAGTAATAATGCTTCTCTGCGGGTAGACCGTTGAGTCTGAAGAGTTCCATAAGATCGAAAAATTGACCTGAGACTCAATGTTAGCTTAAAACTGCAATGCGATAAAAATTCGACTCACCATGTGTATCTCCACAAACGGTCAACTGTGCGTCGCTGTCGATCTCCATCTCCACCATTGTCGGTTCATCATAGACAATCTTTTTGACTGCCATGACAATTTGATAAACATATTTCTGGTGTATTTTCTTGCCATTCTTGAAACGTTCAAGCATATCATTGATGAATTCGGTTGTCATTTCGTTGCCCAGCTCTACACCATCATAATCCTTTACAACCATATCATCGAGGTTAAGGCCCTCCGCCGCAGATGGTGGATCTCCAACTTCGATGGCTCGGAAGAACTCGATTTTTTTCACTATCTTCTCACATTCTGCCAACTTGAGCTTCGCGTCCTTGTCATTTGGTGCCTTCCGGACAACCGCCTTGAAGTCTTTGAGAGCTTCTTTTGGTTTTAGGATTGCAGTATATGCAACGGCTCGACGATAGTATGCCTGCGAGAAAGTTGTTAGATTTCAAACTTTGGGACAAGAAAAGGGCACTAATAGGAAAATCTCTGAGCCAACGAACCTTTACAAAATTCGGATCGAGTTCAATGGCTTTTGTAGCATCAGCTATTGCGTATCCATAAGCCTCGGATTTGATGTTTGCCTACAAGATTATCAATCACGCGAGCAGTTCAAATGTTGAGTACATGTGAAGGTACCTGAGCTCTGTTTGAAAAGTATGTTGGCTTTTGGTCGTCAAGTTCGATGGCCTTGGTGTATAAATCGATAGCTCCGAGCCAGTCATGAGCAGCGAAAGCTTTGTTTCCTTCATTCTTCAAGGCAACTGCCTCTTCCTCTCGGGAGGACATTTTCTCAATCAATCAATCAAAGGTTCGTACAGTGAGGCAAGTGAGTGCGGGGTTATCTATCGTGGAAGAATAGTGATAGGGAGGGAAATAATGCTGAAAATGTAATAGAACTCCTCAATAAAATGTGTTTGATATCTGGAGGTCCCAAAGATGTAGCCTCTACAAAATTTGATTATAAAAAGTACACGTTGGAGGGTTGTATGTACTTTTATGAATTTACTTTTCGAATCCCTCAAGTATTCTTTCGGAGTCCAGAAGCATCCCTGTTGTGCAACATTATCACCGATACAGCTTTTAGGTACAGTAGTGTATTCTGCCCGCGCGCGCTTAATCATCGATCCAATTTCCATCCCTCTTATCGCAAATCCCCATTATTTTGTAGTCACCTAACCTTATTTTATCGATTCGGCATGAAATCGACCTGAGCATTATAGTCCGGCAAAGATTGGGAAAGTACGGCAACAACTTGAAGAAAAGGATCGATTTATATCTTTGGTTCGTAGCTGGCACATCCGCAGCGATGGATCTGGTACCATCAAAGTCTACTTCAGCAACCGCAACCGCTCTTACAAAACGCGCAAATGAAACTGCTTTGATGCCACCACCCCCAAAACGAATCAAAAGACCAAAGAATGTTATTGACGAGGATACGTATACCGATGCCATATCAGAAATCATTGCTCGGGATTTCTTTCCAGGGCTACTCGAAACGGAAACGAAACAAGAATATTTAGATGCACTCGACTCAAAAGATGGAGCTTGGATCACAAGTGCTGAACGTAGGCTTCGACATGTTATGACTCCGGGGAGACGTATTGGAAGACGTGGCACATCCATTCAAACACCATCTCGAGCTTCAGAAACACCTGGCGGATTTGCTGGAGATACGCCAATGTCAGTCACTTCCGACGCAACTCAGGCGCCCTCAGTTGAAGTCGATACAAACATGAGTCTCACCAAATTTCAATCATTGTATACCAGCGAAGACAACGAAAGCTTTTACAAATTACTAGACAAGCAAAATCAAAAACGAGCTGAAAAATATGCTTGGATGTGGACCGGTAATAAAGTGGCATCTAATATGATGCTAAAGCAGAAAGAAGTTGAGACAAAGCTTCTGCAGTCAAGACAATCTTTGGAGGATGATGGCGGAAAAAGGAACAGACTTGCGATTCAAGACATAAAGGAGAGGCCGGCCCAACCCGACTCCTGGAAATCTAAGCCAAACAATGGATTAATGTTTCGACCTGATAGCGTGGAAGATTCAATTGAGACTGTGGCACAGAGAGCACAAAATGATTCAAGAGCTGCACCAAAAGGTGTCGCATATGCCAATACAAGGTTGCCAGAGATTACACTTCAAGAGGAAAACAATATACCGTCTTCCCCATCAATGTCTGCTGTAAGGGATGCCATAGCTGGAAAACGACGAGTTGCGGATTCAGAGTCTGGATATGATGGAAGCGAAACTCCACGTGTAAATGGTTATTCATTCGTGGATGATGAACCGGATGAAGAGCCACATACACCTTCTCCTATTATCGATCTTGGCCCAAGCGACACTACCAAAAACCCATTCATAATAAAAGAGCAAAGCAAGCGGGAGGACCTACATCACAGGATGGTGGACAAAACTGCCAGAAGTAAACGTACATCTGCAAAATTTGGTATGACTGGAAAGGTCGAGACGACTCCTGTGCCCAAATTTCCAAGTAGTCCTAGGGTGGGCTCCGGTGGTCTGACACCAGCTGCTGAACGCTTATGGAGTCGTGTTGGTGGTTCGGGTAAGGGGACTAATGACACCTTTGGTGTTAAAACACCAGGCACTGTGAGAGCAAAATCCAACCTACGGGCGAGATGGACTCCTTCTGGGAAGAGTTGAACAACATTGGATTATGGAAATAGAACGGCGTTTGGGGGATACACTAATTATAAGATACCCTGTGAGTGCTAATAAGTCATTCTTTAAATACGGAAGCTGGGAATCTTGTCCAGGTTCCACATACCTAGTAGACACAGGTTACCGATACATGAGCTCTCAATTGGCTATAGATAGATTAGAATGGTTATATTGTTATAAACGTTAATGGCCTTGAGTTTAATAAGCATGCTAGATGGTACTAAACATTACGATAATTCTTCATGAATTTCGAATACATTTGTCTTGTAACTATTATACCTCCTGAATTTCATCCTTTATGATTGTTTTGCAGAGAGCTATACCGTACCCACACAAACCAGACCCTCTCACGATATCGAATAGTGACGTCTTCGAAATCTACAGGGATTCAGGCTCGGCAAGAATTATCGATGAACTTAACAGCCGTCCAAAATTTTGAACATATCTCTGCGGCATTCATTATCTAGTTTTTCGGCATGAATTTATGAGAATAATTGAATTACTTGTTTGGTAACTATGGCGGGGAAGAGGATTCTAGACTTGGCCGCTCTCTTCAATGCTTCCCGTGGGGTTGCACAGAAGCACATTGCACTAAAGACAAAACAAATTGATGTATACAATAGAACCTCGACTCTAGCAAGAGCAGTACGCAATCAAACGGACCGAGTCACGGAGACTGCCAAAGCAGCATCTTTTCTTGCAGCGAGATTGAATGATAATGTGCCAGAATGGACCAAGGAGGCAACAGATTATACAGCCAATTCTCAATCGAATGACAGTGGACCTATACCCAGCAGAAAATCTACGAAGGAACAAGAGCATGCCCCAGAGAAAAAGGAGGGGTTAGAGCAGGATCATTTCTACGAAAAGTCCGAATCAAACTCGTCTGTCGATCCGGCTCCGAAAAGAGATTTGCACATTCAACAGGAAAAAGCCAAAAGTTACCCTCTTCCAGATGGAACAATCCCTCCCCAAAATGCAGATATCGATACTGCCGGGTTAAATGCAGATACGACCCCTACCAGATCAAGAGCTGGACCCAAGCTCGATCCGGTTGACAGTGAAGGATTGCATCCTGCGGCTTCGAATGCCTCGACCATCCCTATTCCAAAAACCAAGCCTTTATCCGCGGACAATGCAAAACGTATTCAGCGAGAACACGAGCGCCAAATCCCATCAATCACTGCAGATGCAATTGGGCATTCAAATAATCCATTGGAAGAAGGACATGATGAAGATTCTTTCTATGACAGATCAAGACACACATCACCTACTTTATCTTCCCTACCCAGAGCCAAAATACCAAAACATACATCCGATATTCAAGAAAATGATCAACATTTGAAGGATGATGCTATAAACTCTGATACTTTCTCAGAAACTGTTGACAGGACTAAACAAATACCCTCTGTTGAAACAGTTCCCGAGCAAGAACAGCTGCCCGAGGGCATCAACACAGATCTGTTCTATAGCCCAAGGGTTGCTAGGTTATTGGGAGGTAAAACTCAAGGATCGGGTAAAGGTACACTGGGCTTAAAGGGAGTAAAAGACACCCCTTTAGACCAAACCCAACTCGCAAGAAATAAGGATCAGGATACCTTCAATGTTCATTCATCTAGTCAAGCAGAACCGACTACCCCGGATAGTCCACTAAAATCCGTTCTCGAGACTCCTCGTCAAAACAGTGAAATTATCGAGAAGCTAGCGGCAGATATAAGCAAAGAAAGTAGTAGTAATACTGTGAATATGAACTCCTCTCGCACTTGATGCATGTGACACTGAGATCTGACAATATTATAGTTGCAGCCAGAGGGAAGCTCACAGCCTGCCCCATATAAGCTGCGAGAATCTAGTGTCCCTTCTTCAAGACTTGGAAGGTTGTGGAACTATAGTGGTCTCGCTGCTGGCATGGTGGGGGGGGCCATCAGCGAAAGTCTTCGTCGAGTTGGTGGCGGTGGCGGCGAGGGTTCTTTCATGTTGAGCGCAGGTAACATGGACAGGCTTGTGACGAAATTGTCTCGGATGAGAGGAGCAGCTTTGAAATTGGGCCAGATGATCAGTTTCCAAGACTCCAAAATGCTTCCGGCGCCAATCCAAGAGGTAATGCAACGAGTTCAAGATCGAGCAGACTACATGCCTGCTTCACAAAGAAACAAAGTATTGATAGCAAATCTCGGACCTGAATGGAGAGACTTATTCGGCGAGTTTGAAGAAGTTCCTTTGGCTGCTGCATCTATCGGGCAGGTCCATCGTGCAACACTCAAATCAACGGGTGCAAAGGTTGCTGTAAAGATTCAATATCCTGGGGTCGCAGATTCCATAGACTCCGATCTTAACAACCTCGCAATTCTTCTAACAGCATCTCGTCTTCTACCAAAAGGCTTGTTCCTCGATAAAACGATAGCAAATGCCCGAACAGAGCTGGGATGGGAATGCGATTATATTCGAGAAGCGGAATGCGGACTACGTTTCCAGGAACTTTTAGCAGATGAAGAAGATGTTTTCGTCGTACCAAAAGTGTTTTCCGAAGCGTCAGGGAAACAGGTTCTTACCATGGAATATATGGAAGGAGTTGGTGTTACTCGTGTTCAAAGTTTTACGCAAGAGCAACGAGACTGGATTGGAACCCAGATCCTACGTCTCTGTCTTCGCGAGATTACTGAGTTCAAATACATGCAGACTGATCCTAATTGGACAAATTTCCTCTACAACGCACAAACCAATAAACTAGAACTTCTCGATTTCGGAGCCTCTCGCGAGTATCCCGAAGAGTTCATCACTAAATACACACAACTCCTAGACGCAGCCTCAAGATCAGAGAGAGATACAGTTCGCGCTTTGTCTATCGATCTCGGGTATCTTACGGGCCAAGAATCTAAGGCCATGTTAGACGCGCACATACAATCTGTTCTCACTCTCGCAGAACCATTTTTAGAGTCTTCCCCGGAGATCTATGATTTCAGAGACCAAACCATTACGGAAAGAGTAAAGGCTCTCATTCCGATCATGATCAGAGAGCGACTAGCGCCACCGCCAGAAGAAACTTATAGTTTACATCGAAAATTGAGTGGGGCGTTCTTACTGTGTGCGAGATTGGGCAGTAGGGTTAGGTGCAGGGAGTTATTCACGAACAGTATGAAGAAGACGGAATTTTTGTAATGAATGAAAAGAGGGGACATGTGTATAATACATGTTCGGACATTCGTGGTGATTGTCAAAGATGGAGATGAGAGAATCGCAGGAGAAAAATGAGAATAGAGTATAGCGTAAAGGAAACGTATAATGACCACTCGTTATAGTCATAATAGCTCCCTACCCTGAGTTAAAATGTCGTTATTTCGATAGAACCCATGAATTCTATGGTTGTACTAAACGCTTATCAAAAACAAAGAAAAGTTGCCATCTCAGATCTCAGGGGTGGAAAAATCGAACTTACCGAGTGACCCCGCAAGTAGCGCAGCCTTATGATTTTGCGGGCCGATCCGCACACTGACGTAACATTCGTGCTATAACTTTACCGCAAAATCCCACACATTTTACATCAAACCAAACCCAATACGATCAGCATGTCTTTCAAAAGTATTCTCGATAAAGCTAAAGCTAAGGGCGAAGCCTTTGCTGCTCAACACAATTTTTCCATCCCAGGTCAATCCACAGCACATACACCCCCACCACCACAACCCGCACCACCAGGATACTATCCTCAAGTTCAACCTCATCACAATGCAGGCGCACCTCCTCCAATTCCTCAGAATAGGCCATCCTATTCTGCGATTCATCCCTATTGGACACCTTCTTTCGCTCCCCACACACACGTATCCGACAATTTCAGACATCAACTAGGCGATCATGGTTGGGGAAACAATGAACTCCAAAATTACATCGCAGACCGAGAAAACTCGTTCCACGATGAAAACGGTTGTTTGGTCCTCCGAGCCATTGCCTCGAACGGCAGATTTACAAGCGCACGCTTAACCAGCCATATGACACTAGCTCGGGATCGTGGTAGTCTCGTAGCAACCATTACACCACCCTGTGCCTCCGGAATCTGGCCGGCTGTCTGGCTCCTCCCGCGTGAACCTTTTACATGGCCGAACGACGGAGAGATAGACATTATGGAGACGTGGAACGGGGATGCGACGAATCATACTTGTTTGCATTGGGGTCATTTTAATGGGGAGGACTGGAACAAACATAGGGTTGTGGAGACACCGGTGCACGATATGCATCATGCACAACATACATATGAGTTTGCGTGGAACCAACCGGAGAATGGTTTAGGAGGGAAGATGGTCTGGTATATTGATGGGAAGGTCGTTATGAAAGCAACGGTGCCAGAGGGCACGAGGAGGCTGAATGATTTTCAGGTTATCATTAATGTGGCGATGGGTGGAAATGTTTGCCAGGGACAGAGACCGCAGGATGGGCATTATGACTTGAGGATTCATAGTCTGAAGATGTGTGATGAGCCAACGGGCGGGTGGGGAAGGTTTGAAAATGATTTCATTCATGGGCCGGAAGGACATGCGATGTGAAGGGCTGTTTGGCCAGTTCGAGGACGATAAGATACATTCTTTAGATCACCGAGGATCGAACTGATTCAATGAGATTTTTCCTTTCTCTAGATTCCACGTTTATAGAGTTTCTGGTGGAAATGACGCTTCCTTTGACATGCGGAAGCTTCGCTGGGTGGCGCAAAATACTTGAATACAGATTATAAATTATGGCAATAAGACCCGTTGTGGAAAGATCAAAGCGAGTTATGCCTGAGCTTCCAGTTTGAATCTCTAGTACTTTAGAATTCTCCAAACAATTGAAGGTGCTTTTATCCCTTGGTACAAGGAAATTAAATACTTTTGGGCTACTTCGGATGATTGTGTGGGATCCTGTTCAGATATTACGGAAAGTTTATTGCAATAAGAGCTAAACTGTACATCATCGAATCATTTTCCATTGGAACTTTCAATAGTAGAATAGACGCATCTTAGAGGGTACGAGCTCAAAGTTGAGTCTGTAGACTATACTTATTAATGTGCCTCTTTTCACACTTGGTCTTTGGATCGGTTCAGATTTATACCATCGCTTGGGGTTCTGACTCTCTTGCTTTCCGACTGTGGTATTTTACTTACACTATCCTGTTCATGTATTCGAGTCATCCAACACGACAAGATTTTGATTGTACATCCCATTATGCTAGAACATGAGGATTCAAGATCTAATTGTTATCAGGGTAGGTCTGTAAGTGGCTAAACGGTAACCCTGAATGTCAGTATTATTCATGTAATAAGTGCCGTCATCTTGGTTAGAATTAGATATCCAGACCTTAATTTTCAATGCAATCACATAGCTGTGCCTATGTGGACATTGCATTCATCGCGCGACTCATGTATGAATCCTGTGAACTTTACATTCATTTCACAGCCAGAAAGAAGTCATTTTAATTGATCCATGAAATACTAGTCTTATCAACTATCATACATCCTTTGGACGTCATTTCAGTGATATATGGTTCTAATTCCATTGATTCTGCAGTCATTTCCGTCATTTCCTCATTTTACAGTCATTTCTACCAACATTTAGATTCTCTTTCAGTGACTTCTCATTGATCTTGAGTCATATCTGTCAAGAGTGCTACTCATATTGACAAATCATACCGCACGATAACGAATCATCATGAATTTAAGGGGTTTGAATGAGAGCTGCAAAGCACCTCTTAAGCCTTCAAGTCCCCCGTTTCATGCACTTTTTCCTCTAAATCTATATTGAACGAACGAATATTGATTTACTGCATTGAGAATAAATCTATGAACAAATACTGTTTCCAAGTACATTAACTCTATTGCGAGCAATTATGAGTAGCCCAGCCTCAAACCGTCAATACAAATTAAGACGAGGGGAAAGTTCAGCCATACCTTTTGCCTCTCAATCCCGCTTTGAAGAATCATTTCGCTCAGGAGGAGTTTCAAAGCATCTTGATAGCAACCTTCATCGTCCATCGGATACCCAAACACCACCACGTCCTCAAAGAGGGCTTCCAATACACGTCGATCCCAATCATTATCGGTCGGTGGATGCGCAAGTACAACCAAATCTTGAAAGAGCAGTTCCATTGCATATAGACGCTGGCCTTCGTCGCCCAATGAATGCTCAAGCGCCACTACATCCGCAAAGAGGAGCTCCCAGGTACTTTGATCCTATACCTCAGTACCCGTTAAATTTCCAAGGGCAACCAGCACAGCAAGAGTATTTCAATGAAGGTAGACGTCGAGGTCGGCCTATTTCCCCACAGTTAGTTGCTGCTCCCGCGAACTCGAGACCTCTTTCTCAAGAATTGAATATTCCTATACGGAGTCAAAGAAGAGAGCGCGCCCCGCCAGTTATAATTGCCGATAAAAGCGATTCTGAAGATACCCCGGATCGGCAACGCTCGCCAAGCCCACCTCGTTTCGAAGACGAAAGCAATTCATCGTCAAGAGGCGGGAAAAATTCAAGAAAGCAACTTTATTACGAGCGCCCACCTCAACCCTGTTTGTCCAGAAGTAGTAGGATGGATCGCAAATCGACAGAGAGAAGCAAAATCGATCCTGGGAAGAAAACCTTGGGTGGACTTTGGGTGCGTGAATCCGGTATTACTCAGCGGGGCACAAAGAATAGCAAGGTCTGAGGCCCTTCCTCCAACTTATTTGGATATTCATGGGCGCCTGGTGAAAATTTTGTAACGCGTAAAAAATCGGGAAAGGTCGACGATCAGGACCGTGAGAAGAAGCTCTAAAATCACAGATTCAGACACTCGAAGGATCGCTAACATACAGTGAGTGCCCATTCCCAGATATACATGTCAAGAGTGTTACATAATGGACTCCCTAATTCGTTACAAAATTCCAGAATTCATGGACATAAGTGGGCGGATCATCGATCATTTAAGGTGATCGTACAAAATCGCCTGTGAGGAATTCTTATATTTTACATATTCTCTTGAATTTTATGGCTCGTTATCTTGACATTAGATTATTCTATACTGGCTCGATGTCAGAATTTCATCATTGAATAGTTTTAGTACATTTCATAGAAAAATTAATGTGTTTGATGGTCTCAACAATTTTGGGGGGTTTCTCGAAATCCCATGTTATATTACCTAGGTAGTTTGTTACAGTGAAATGACTCCAGCGCAGGACCCTCAATGATTAAAAAGTTGTTCAGATGCATCATAATTCTATCCCTCAATTTTCGGAATCTTGATTGGCGATGAAGTAAGTTTTCTCTTGGTTTTTGTTGCCGGAAAGTTGTATAACAAATGTAAGATTTTCTAGTCCGCTTTGTTACATGCTATTCTGAACTCAATACGAGTACTGTGGCTCATGTGGCTGTAACTGTGAAACAAATGCTTGATCAACTTTTGTTACCACCTTCAAATTTTGTGACACCTTTGTTCGAATGAGGTTGCTGGGTAGCATCACCATAAGAAGCAATGCTTTGTGAAATTCCAGCCATTCGTTGAAAGGGAGAAGTTTGTAGCCGATTTCCATATGTGTGTAGAGGGGGTAGATTGTTGAAATTTTCGTTTGAACAGTGACCTACTGGGTAGGTACCATTCTTTAAATGAAGGTCGTGATCATTATATCACTGTAGCTAACTTGAATGCGAATGTTTCCTTTTTATTTATTTAATGCTCAAGTCTGTTACTCAAGTCATTCATTAATCTCTATTAAACTCAAAGAAAGTGTGGAATTCAGCGTGGATATACCACCAAAATTCATCAGGTGTAGAATATTGTTGGGTGGTTGGCTCAGCGAATGAACCTGTATTTTCAGTGGTTGGGCTTTTCCTGAACAGGTGACATGCCGGTTTGTGCTCAAGAATGACTTGACCAGACAGTCTCGAGACATTCAAAGCTCGAAACCCAGTTGTTCATCGAGTCCTTTTCAGAAAATCACAATAATTTATCTTCCTCTTGTCCCCGCATTGTATCATTCCTCACAGCTAGAAAGACTTAAATGGCTAATCGAAATGATCTTTCCAGTCATTTCATGAAAAATGCCGATTTATCAATGAGTACAATATTATCCACAGTATTTTAAACATTCAAATTAGATTTCGTGCTCAAATAGAATCAAATGTATAGTTTCAAACTTATCGTTCAGATTGCTTGACTTTAAGATGGCTCCTGAAATATTGCTCAAAAGCGCTGGAATTCCCTCCTTACTTCTACCTCTTTCTTGCAACTGCGACACCTACTGATACTTACACGACCAAACATTTCAAAAAGACCTCAAGAATCTTCTCGACACTTCCAAAGAAAACTTCGTCAAAAACCTCAACAATGTACTCAGTCACAAAGAATTTTCGCTATGAAAATTCAAATAACACATCACACGGTGACAATCTCACCGTAGAAACTTTACTTTTAAAGCCAACATACACGGTCAAAATATTCCCCGCAACTCATATCGAAAGTATTCCACAATCTTCGCTGGGAGAGATCCCAACCGAAGTCCAAAAGCTCTATACATGGGCAGCACATGTCTGGCATTATGGACATACGAGTAATCCAATCTCTAATGAATCGAAAGATTCTATCTACAGAAGAGACGAGTGCAAAGACGGGTGTGTTGGAAATATCTACTCTTGGGCCTGTAAGAAAGGATGGAAAGCTGGTCATGTATTCGTGGACGTTCTATGTGGAAGTGAATGCATAACTTGCCCCGGAAGTAGCGGTTCGAATTCCCCCACCACGGTACCTAAACTTCAAAGTAAAGATGGTGCGAGATCTGGATGTTGTTATACATGTGAAAGTGGAAGATGGATGAACAGATCCACTATGTATAGAGTGAAAGACTCTGTTGCATTTGGATCTGCAAGAGCTACTGTACTTGAAAGAGTTAAATATGGGATTGGAAGGCCCCTGGTGTATGGACTATGAGTTTAGTATTCTGCAAGCTATGGCGCTCAAACTCAATGACACAAATTCAACCTTACATTACTCTTAATACCAATACTTCATGAGATTTTCAATTGAGTGAGTGACACGAAACCCTGAAAGAGGGTAAGACTCTCGCCATATCAGAAACGACTCGTCAAAGACCGTCAACACGCACCCCGATGACGTAACATCATGAATTCGCCATCCTTTTTCGGAAAGAAAGACGATGCATTGCTTGGAAAACGTGCCGGTAATTTGTACAAACAAATCTATGAAGCAGCATAAAATGAATTTATAACAAGGTATGAGGATATGTAGACAGTGGAGCGTATAATGTGGAATATGAGGAAATGTATAAATCGGAAAGGGTGTAGGAGAGACAAATAAGAGCAGTGCACAGCAGTTACCAACTGATTTGGTTGGAAAATGAGAGGAAATGTTAGGGAGCCGACTCGACGAAGTCTGTGAAGGAATAACAAAGCATGTGATTTTGGCACTTCAAGCATTGTGACTTTGAGAAGATGTCTCACAACACAAATAACAGTCATAAAAAGCTCTTAACTCATATTTCTCCAATACAGCAGTCATTATTCTCATGAAATTCGGTCACAAAAAGTGACAACACCTTCACTTACATCCTTTTTTCGAAACGTCTTTTGCAGATCAGCTTCAACTCTCCCCAAAATCAAACAACTTCAAAAACACCAGATCAACTTCAACAAACCCGAGCTTAACCATCTTGATAATACCCATAGTTCTCTCAATAAACATGGCCCAAGACTCTACGACCCCGGAACTCTCCTCCGAAAAACGAAACACTTATTCTCCTGCAACTGTGCCCCCCTCTGTGATTGATACACTGAGACAAAAGGCCTACGACAAAGCATATCAAACAGCATGTTGGCACTCGTTCGACTGATCATATAAAGCTGGGTTCAACGCTAAATTCAGCGATCGTTATATGAGAGAATATATGAGTGACTTTGAACGAATCCGTACTTAAGATTCTGAGAGTAACGACAAATGTGAGGATTTTTTGGTTTTCATGGTTGAATCAAGAGATGATATTTGGAATATGTAATCTGATTAACTTTAAAGGGAGTGCAAAACATCATGCGTTGATGATGTCGGATCTTAATAAAATTCCATTCCCTCGTAATAAAGAATCTACGGTATATTTATGTCTTGTACCCTTATTCTATACCCCAAGAGTTGAAAAGATTCTGACTTTCAATGTAGCAAACATCTACTCAGATGACTCAACTTTTTAATCGCATGCAAGACCTCGAAAAGAATCGAAAACGCGACATGGCTCAGCGAGGAATTATGCAACTATTTTGGGGTTTATTGGCTATACTCTTCATTTATCTCGTTATGGATATCACGTCCAGAAAAGTCTGAGCCTAGGGTGGAAGAAGCTGAGTAGCTCAATCGAAATGTGGAAAGGTTCAATTTGACCCAGTAAGAAGATCTGGGAAGAAGCATTCAATCTGTACGTGTAGAAATCCAACAGACTTGACTTTAAACTTCTCCATCCTGTAGTAAAGATCTATGATAACCGGTAATCCCGTTATGTACGAAAATTGAACTGTGACTGTCAAGCAAATAAACAAATTTAGAGTACTACTCTACATTCAAATGCACATGGAATACCGTACGAAGAAATTTTCATTCATGTGAAAATCCATAATAAGCCTGTTAAATCACTTATTAATACCTTACTAATTAAGAGATATCTTGATGACTAATATATTTGTAATATGATTCTATATTATAAAATCATATTATCATATAACGTGGTTTATCATCATGTGGGCTATATCATTATGTGGGCTACTTTCACCTCAATTATCGTATTCAAATCCATATTATTCTATAACTATTAAATCAATTGATTGAAATTATTAAGAATCTAACAATCTAGAATCTATTATATTGATTTGACAAGTTCTTGAATTATGATCTAATTTTCCATACTTACTATAATATTTATTAGAAGATGCTTTCTTATTAGAAATTCTTTTATTTTGATATTTATTGTATTGAATCTGTATATCAATCTTTTACTGAGATAATATATCTATAGCTTTTTGTTTAATAAATACTTTTCCATTATGTAATTGAATCTTTTTAGTGCATTAATATTTGCTTAATACTTCATTTGCTTTCCGAAATGTATAAATCTTTGTACTTAAAAGTATATTTTTATATATTAATCTCTCTATATCTTTAGCTAAAGCTAATATAATATCGAATATAGATATAAGAAAGCTTGATTAATAACAAGCTATTTGAGATTTTATTAAAATTGATTACAAAAAAGCTTTAATTAGATTATAAGGAGTTTAAAAGATTCACAAATCTGGATTGAAAGAAGGAGAAGTAAATATATAAATTTGAATATTTAGTTTCGAGAATACAATTTCAGAATCAAATAGTATTAAATCTATTTTTTCGAAATTCTGCTTTTATATTCTAAATTGTAATTGATTCTTAATATATAGTTTTAAAAACTATTAAAAATTCAACCTTCAAAATATAGTTAATATATACCTTAATAAATTTATCAATTTGAGTATTATATAAATATTTCAGATTACCAAAATAATTAATATCAAGTAATTGAATTAAATGACTTGAATATAATAATAACTTTAGATATATTATATCATTTGCTTTACAATATAATTGAAAAGGTATTGATTTATGGCTTTTGTATTCATCCAGCACTAATATTCAATATTTGCCCTTTCTACAATTCAGAGTATATTTATCGAAGTATTTCAATTATTCTAAGTTTGTTTCATTATTTATCTATCTATTAGAAATAGGTTTAATAACCTAATCCACAAGGAAATCGATTTCGATATACTAATTAGAAAAATAAACTTATTTTTAAACTATTAGAAATGGGAATATAGTTTTATCCTCTCTATTACTATATATAATCACTGTAGCCCACTCTTTATTGCTTAATTATATTATCTTATTTCTACTATTTCTTTCAGTATTAGTTATAACTATTTCGGGGCATATTATACCTATCATAAAACTGGTTTTATCAAAGTTATAGAAATTATAATCAAGAATACTATATTTTGCTTATATATTCGAAACTATTTGAAATCAGTCTTTAATAAACTTAGGATTTTTATAGAAAGCTTTTTAAAAATTATAAGTATAATTAAAATATATTTTTAATTCTATATGATATTTTATGAATTAATAAGCCTAAAGCTTTCCAATCTTTTTTATATCCTATATTTCGAGAATATAATTTGTTATATTTTCTATACCTTTGAGTTTAGGTAGAAACCCTTTATTATTTATATCAATTATATATTGAATAATCACTTCCTTTTCCAATTCTATAATTTTATAAGTTTTATATCAATATTCTATATAAAGAATAAGATTATTCATTCTATACTGAATCATTATATATAGAATATTATATAGTTTAGCAGCTTTCCGAATACTTAATTTTTTGTTTTTTTGAATAGCTTTAATAGCTAGAATGATTTGTGTTTTTTTGTTAATCATTTCCATAATAGATTGTTAATAAATCGCATGTTAAAGCAAAGAGATAATAATTAAGGTGAAAGTGGCTCACATGATGATATAGCCTATATGATAATAAACTACGTTAGTTATATATTAGTATCTCTTATTAAATTGATTTAGAATAGGATGGAATCAAATAGAAATATATAGAAGATTATTATTAAATTGATTAAATTTGATTCGTTATATTTTCTTTTTATTATATAAAATGATTCTATAAGATTCGATTTAAATCGATTTTATTTATAAATATTAAAGCCTTAGGATTTCATTATAAACTATATAAACCTAGGATATTCTTTAAAGAAAACCTAGAAGGAATAAGCAAATTAAATTCAATTCAATTCATTCCTATAATTTGACTTCAGTTCTACTATTATATTATATATTCAATTTATCCCTAAACTAAATCTGACTAAATCTTCCACTAAATATTATAATAATATTATTTTATTATAATATAAGATCTTATCTCTAATAGGTTATAAGCCTGACTAGTTTAAACTAGCTTAAAAGAGAATTAGCTTAATTTAAGGCTGTATATCACATATATACAACTATTAAACTATCGAATATCAAATTTTCGAATTAATTCAATTGAATTTATATCGAAAAACACTATATATAAACCCTGAGACCTGCGTCCCTGAAGCTAAACCTAATTAAGCATATAAAATTAGATCCCTAGACAATATATTTATACTATATTACTACCCAAAACAAGTGATATATCAATTTTCTTTATACCAAGGTACCCTAGCTTATTTAGTTTTTATTCTATATCAAATAAAATAAAGATCTAATTTAAAAGATGACTGATCTATTAGATCTTTAAGATTAAATCGATTTATTCATAAAATCCATTTAAATTTCGAAAAACTAGCTATATATATATATAGATTAGTATTAATCCAATGTATAAAACCAATAAACCTATAATAAAAAAACTTAAAATAACTTCCAGCATTAGCTTTAAATCTAACCCTTTAAAAGACAAATCTAACTATATAGAATAGGTTAATAAAACTAAGCTCTTTTTAGAATTAAATAGCTTTATGTTATATATCAATAGTATAGAGATGCTACCTAATAAAAGTCTATATATAAACAAATCAGGAAAGGCTATTTCATCTGAATTAGTTATTAAATATAATGAAAAGGTTTCTAAATATCAAAGAAATAAAAGAAAGACCTTAGAAACTATTAAATCTATAATTAGCTTCGAATTAATTGAGAGATTCAAGGATAAAAAGTCGACTAAAAGCCTATAGAATTCTATTAATAAGATATTTAGAGAATCTTTTATTAAATTAATAGGAAAATACCTAAATAGACTAATAGAATCTAATTATATAAGTTCTAAGGGAATAAACGAATACATTAATTCAATTTAATCATCCTATAACTACTTAAAATCGATGAAATTCAATATCCCTAATGCTTTTATAGTATGATTTCTTTTTAGAAGCCTATTAAGCTCATTCAATAGTTTTGCCTCTCGAAAATACAAAGAATTAACTAAAAATCCGATTAATATTAATTTGGATATACTCTTTTCTAAGTTGATATTCAAAAAGACTAAAATGCAATCTAATATCGATTTAAATGCTAATAAAACTAGCTTTAATAAAACTTCTTATTACAAATATTACTCTAAAAAGAAATATTTAAAATTCAAATACTTTATAAAATATTTTGAATTAAAAATTAATAAAGGAAATAATAAAAAGTATTTTAATTCAAATACTAATATTAATTCGAATAAACTAATCTCTAGCAAGCAACTAATAGCTATAAACTACTATATAAACTCAACTAATTAATTTTTTAAATCTAAATATAAATTTATATTAGATTCTAATACTACAGAGTATTATTCACCCAATAGGAAATAGTTTATAAATTATAAATCATTGAATAATTATTCTATTACTATAGCAAATAAGGAAAAGCTTTATATTAATAATATAGGAGATATTTCTATTTTAATTAATAAAAAATCTAAAATACTATTGCAAAAAGTATATTACATTCCTCATATAATCTCCACCCTTATTAATTCAAATAAAATAGCTCAAAAAAAATAGGCTAATTATATTATTTTATTAAAAAATAAGATTGATATTATAAATAAAAGGGCTAATATACAAATTATAGTACCCTAGCTAATTGATATATATTACCTTAATTTTAAAATAGATTTTAGATACCTTAAAAATATCAATATCTTTATAATTGAAATAGAATCAATTCAAAAATTGAATTTATTATTAAATAAAATTGATTTAAACCTAATCCATAAGAGATTAGATTATATAAATAAAGATTATATTATTAAATCCTTGAATATCTAATCAGATAAAACTGATTTTGATTTAGAGATATATAAATCATACAAATTCAACAAATTCCATTAGAAAATAAGTAAAGAACCTTTTAAAATACCCAAAATAGATTCTAAATTCAAAAAATTCAGTTTAGATATAACTGGATCTTTTAGAACTACAGGAATTAAAGATGAAAAATACTTTTTAACATTTACTGATTAGGCTACTAGAGCTATATGAATATATTTAATTAAATTCAAATCATAAGCATATAATATTCTAATAAAGTTTTATAATCTAATTAGAAATCAATTCAATATTAGTATTAAAATACTATAATTAGATAATGCTCTTAAATTTCTATTGAATAAATAATCGAATTTTATTTGAGATCATAGAATTATATATAAATATATAAGCCTATATACTCATTTACAAAACAAAATAATTGAAATATTAAATAGATATATAATTGAAAAACTAATCTATTTAATTAAAGAAAAAGAGATTTTATTTTATTTATAACCATACCTAGTTAAAATTATTGTTTATATCAAAAATAGAATATATAATAATTTTATTAATAATTTACTATTTGAATTAATATATAATAAAAAGTTTAATTTAAGTTATATTAGAATCTTAGGCTCTCTTATTTATATAATTAATAATAAAAAGATTTACAATAAAAAAATGGATTTTCGAGTTTAGAAAGGTATATTAGTAAACTTTGATTTATCTAATAATTATTTAATCTACTTTTTAGTTAATAAAAGAGTAATTAATTTAAAAAATATTAATATTTAAAAAGATCTTATATATTCTAATAAATATAAAAATCAAGATTTAAAGCTTTTAGAAGAAGAAAATCTTGAATTTCAATTTATTCAGGATATACTAAATATTGAAAATACTATTAGTATTAATAATCCTCCAGTTAATCTTGAAATAAACGAAAACAGTGAAAATAATAAAATATTTGATTATATAAAGGTTGACATTAGTGAGTTTATTCCTAATAAATTTATATTTGAAAAACTAATAAAACCTATTATACAGTAATCTAAGTAAATAAAAAGCCTAATCCTAAATAATAAGAATCTTAATAATAACAGAAAACATATACTTTCTTATTATGAACTTGCTTTTTCCGGGTATTTTAATTCAATCAATAAGGGGATAAATATTGAAATAAATCAATAAGATCTTCAATTAGCTTTCAATACTAAACTTAAAAATAATAATAAAGTTATAATTAATAAGCCAGATTGTATATTGATTAAATCTAAATTCTATAAAGAAGCTATTAACTCTTTAAAAAAAGAATATTAACTAAAAGTTATGGAATACAAAATAAATACTCTTGAATCTAATAAAACATGGGATATTATTGATAATCCTAATAATAATAAAGCCCTAAGGATTAGATAGATGTATAAAATAAAGGATTTAGGTGAATTTATTGAATTCAAAGTCAGATTCATTACTAAAGGATTCAAATAGCTATATGGATTAGATTATATTGATATATATGTATTAGTAGTTAAATCAATGATTTGGAAGCTTTTATTTGTATTAGCTCTTCAAAATGATTGACTAATCCATAAAATTGATATGGTACTAGTGTTTGTACAAGGCAATATTGATATATCATTTTTATTAAATTTATTAAAGGAATTTAGTGAATTAAAAAATAAAGCTTTAAAGCTAAATAAAGTTTTATATAACCTAAAACAATCAGCTAAAATATAGTATTATATTTTAAAAGATATATTAAATAAATTAGGCTTTATAAACCTAATTTCCGAGAAATATATTTTCATTAATAAAAATAAAAATATAATTCTAAATATATATATTAACAATATTATTATAATAGCCCTAAATTAAGAGATTATTAATAAATTTATTAATAATCTAAAAGAATATTTTGATTTAAAGGATCTAGATTCTATAAAGGATTATTTAGGGATTCAAATTGAAAGAATTAGTAATATATTAAAGCTATATCAATTAGAATATATTAAAAAGATACTAGCCAGATTTAATATACTAGATTCTAATTCTGTTTTTATTTTAATGGATTCTAAAATAAAGCTAATTTATAATAAAGAGAAAATTAATAATAATAATATTAAATTATATTAAGAAATTATAGGTTCTTTATTATATTTAGCTTTTAGAACTAGATTTGATATAATATTTTCTATATCTAAATTAACTAGTTTTTTGTTTAATCTTAGTGTAGAATATATTCAAGCCATTAAAAAAATACTAAAATATTTGAAAGAAACTATAAATAAGGGTATAAATTATAATAAAATTAAAAATCCTTATATTCAAGAATTCTGTAATACCAACTATAAAAAGGAAATCAATATATATAAATTTACTAATAGATATATATTTATACTAAAGAATGGGCCTATTAATTAGAAATCCAAGCTACAACCTGTAATAGCCCTTTCTACAGTCGAATTTGAGTTTATTACTATAAACCTAGTAGCTAAAAAGATTATTTATATTAAAAAGCTATTATTAAAGCTTAATTTATATAAATAAAATAAATTTCCTTTATATATAAATAATTAAGTTACACTAGCGCTTACTAAAAACTCTATATTTTATAAAAGAAGTAAGTATATAGTAATTAGATTTTATTATATTAGAGATATTATTAAATCAGGGGATTTAGATCTAATTTATATATTTATTAATAATCAAAAGGCTGATGGGCTTACTAAGTTATTAGCTTGTATCAAATTGATTGAATTTATGAATTAAATTAATTTAAATTAAGATATATAATAAAATTAATTTAATATATTTATTAAGGGGGTATGTGAAAATCTATAATAAATCTATTAAATTATTTATTAATACTTTATTAATTAAGAGATATCTTAATAATTAATATATTTGTAATATGATTTTATATTATAAAATTATATTATTATATAGTTATATATTAGTATCTCTTATTAAATTGATTTAGAATGAGATGAAATCAAATAGAAGTATATAGAAGATTATTATTAAATTAATTAAATTTGATTGATTATATTTTCTTTTTATTATATAAAATGATTCTATAAGATTCAATTTAAATCGATTTTATTTATAAATATTAAAGCCTTAGGATTTCATTATAAACTATATAAACCTAGAATATTCTTTAAAGAAAACCTAGAAGGAATAAGCAAATTAAATTCAATTCAATTCATTCCTATAATTTGACTTCAGTTCTACTATTATATTATATATTCAATTTATCCCTAAACTAAATCTGACTAAGTCTTCCACTAAATATTATAATAATATTATTTTATTGTAATATAAGATCCTACCTCCAATAATTCATGTCGAGTTCTAAAATCGATTCTTGAAGCCAGAACGACAACAATTGACGTGGAAGTCATCCTCATATTGATACTAAATCTTCCGCCTACTCGTCCCAAACAATACAAACAACCTGTCCCTCTATATCAATTCCGGCGACAATCTCCAAATCTCCTCCATCCACATTCCTCTTCAACAACGCTACTCTTCCATCGTTTTGCAATCCCACAGCCACCAAGTCCCCAGCTTTGTTGATAGAGAACTGTCTTGGGAAACTACCTCCAGCAGCATCAATTGAGACGAGTGAGAAATTACCATTTGAGTGATTTAGGGAATACGTTAAGAGAGAATCGGAGGGAATGATATTTGTGGCTGACGGGGAAGAAGGATCGGGGATACTAAAGTGTGTATCGTTGCGTTGAGAGATGAGGAGGTAGTTATGATCGGGCTAGAAGGTATCTTAATATCATGTGTTTTTCCAACTGGCAAAATTTGGAAAGAATTTTTCTATTTACAAAAAAAAAGTTCCTGAGAAAATGAATCACTCACTGTAATTTGGATCCCTGATGCGGCACTATAAAACTGCAATTCTTCGCCTGGGGTAGTCGTCTCCAAAAGACTCCTCTCAAACTTCACTTCAAAACTCAAAGTGTTGTCACTTTCATATGTAACCTCATATGCCGTAAGTCTGTTAGTCAACTGACTGACCAAATAGAAGTATGTGATTCCCGTTTCCGAAACAAGCCAATTTGCATGTCTCGGTCCACTTCCGACGGGAGTTTTCAATGGTTCGAGTGGTTCTAACAACTTAGTATCTTGATCGATTCGATATATTCTTACGAGATCAGCACCCAAGTCTGGGACGAGGACAAATGATTCTGTTGGATCAGTAATTGCTTCGTGTGGATGCGGTGCGGTTTCGTATTGGGGATCCGCGCCGGGAGTAGTAAGGTTATAGGTGAAGGTTTGGAGAGGGAGTATGTTAGTTGCGGAGGTGACATCCAAAGTTCCTACGCTGCTTGAGGAACTATTGGCCAGTCATTTAGTACGAGTCCCAAAATTAAGTCAAGCCGAAATTAATGGGTGACTTCTTACTAATAAGCTAAAGCCAAAGCAGTATTATTCGCATACAATACTGTAGCCGCTGCCCCAACCGGTGTCTCAACTCTATCCAATGCCACCAAAGAACCGTCGTCCTGAATCTTCAACGAATTGAGAGTCCCATTACTTGCAGTCAGCCCTCTATCCGCGCAAAACAAAATATCTCGTGAAGAATCTAAAGTGATCCACGAGGAATTGGCCGCGCATGCCGTAGATGTCGCAATGACTTCGAATGAATATGCACCATTTGCATCTTCATCGAGTGACAATGTGGTAACAGTTCCTGCATATGAAGCCACAAATAGTCTGGACGCGAGAGCCTGAGAACTTGCGAGTGTGAAGATGAGGGATTTTGAGATGAACATATTGAAAGCTTGAGTTTCGTCTGGAAACCTAGAGATGACGTCGAATATGGCGGCGATACTATCCATTTATATGAACCTTCAAGACGTATGATTTAGACCTTGTCCAATATCGGCATGCTTGGTAAGCTTAAGCTCTCCTGCATTCACATCCTGCATACAGAAAGGGTACCCATCTGAGAGACTAGTAAGACCGAAGCCTAGAGTGACGCCCAGTATTCCCCCCATGCATACACGATAAACTTCATATTGCTCCTGGGTTTGTCAGACGATTTATTCACCTACAACTCTATCTCCATCTTAATTCGAGTTTACCTTTTCCGAACATTCCTTTCGTACACCGTTAATGGGATTTATCAGTCTTCCGATCTCAAACATCTTCTAATTCTATTGGTGGTAAAACCAAATTGCCCCACAAGCCCCATTATGATCCCAACCTCTTCATTAGTCTTTGAAGAATCCACACAAACTTGAGATGTCACCATTCTCTTAGGTCCCTAGCCCGAAAAAGAGAATTCCGGCTCGGCGAATGCATGGCGACCGGATATTAATTTGCTTACCCTGGATCACGAACGGATAACCTTATTGCCCTTGCAATGTTTCGGATATTCTAGATTGACCGGTAGATTTGCCGAATATTACCCTGTCACCTACAAACATGGGGTAGAGGTGGTTTAATACAGCAGGAATCCAGCAAAGATTGTGTACACTTGCACACCAGTAGGCATTCTTTACCATTGTAAGCAATATGTAATCAGTGTAGAACAGAACCTGAAAATGTATTTGCATTGATCAAAACAGCACCATAACCTGAATATAAAATGAATCCTTGACCCAACTTCCTCTTTTCTCGAAGACCAATTTTACTATGTTATCGGAACCATTCTGAATCTTGTTTGCTCTCACCAACCCCCGGTGTTCACATCGTCTGGCTCGGGAACTTTGCCAGCAACGCCTTGCATTTGACGTTCGTGTTGCATGTCCACCGAACTTCTCTGAAGAGTAGAGATGTTGTATGTCCTTCTCTCCTTGATTTGACCATTCGCGGGGATCGTAGCTTCACTTCCTTGGTGAATGACGGTCACGGTATGTGCACCATGACCTGTGAATTTGTTAAGGATTTGGGATACTGTTGACATTTTGTATGCCCGTTGACCGTGTCCTCGTCCACCCTCACCATGTCCGACATCGCCTTCGAGTTCAATCTCCTCTAGGCCTTGAATGTTGTAGTGTCGAAGGAGAGGTCGTAATGTTGCGATGCAGCTTGCAACAATTCCCAAGCCAGCTTCAACTACGGACCAAATAAGCATTGGAGATATTGAATCTGCGAATGTTCATTAGTGTTAGTCATGTCAAAGCAAGAGGATAGGGTCCCGAACAAAGAGGATCTGCATAATCCAAGTCCACAGCAAACACTCCGATTCGTACAGCACAAGCGACACCAGCGCTGGCGCTCCGTCAGCAAATTTCATAACTCAGATGTCGAGAATATACGTGTCACTTACAATAATCCCAATCCCAGGACAGTGACAACGAACGTCTTCGTTTTTATGTGCATTTGCATATTCCAAACTAACGCGACCGGAACGAGGGTAAAAAGAAGATATAGCGCTATAGATAGTCCGGCCCATGCATAGCCTAGAGCATCTGCTGAGTCGTAATTACAATATCCATCCACGCTTGAGTCGCCCTGCTTCCAAGCGTATGAAATTGGCTGACAATTGAAAATCAGGTAAAAGCTTGCTATGAAGCATAGGATAACATTAATTGATAGTCCAGCCCAAAGAGCGTATGCGCAAGGACTGGCCTCAGTGAGACGGAGGAGACATGTGGCATAGGAAGCTTTAATCGCCGTAACAGCACTTATGTAAATTAAGACCGTGAGCCAGACGTACTGTTGATTGTCAGTTGGTTGTATAATCTCAGAATCAGTTTTGAGACCTTCGAGCTTTCAACAATGTCATCAGTCTTCATTCCCTTTTTGTGCTGACCAATACCTCGTTGAACGCCAACGAAGAGTAATGATGCCATCACGATATAAAGGCCCTAAAACCCCAAGTCAGGATACCAAATACTGAGATCTTCGATGATGCGTCTTACGAGAGACAAGAGGATGAGAAAATCATCATGACCAATGGTATTTCGAATAACTACTCGAGTATAGTAACGGAGTGAGACAACAAAAACGCCGAGAATGAGGAAAATGATCGTTATTGCCAGTATCGATGGACCATAAGAGTCCATTCTCATTTGGGACGAAAGTTGCGACTTTCTTTGTAACGATGGAATGTAATTCCTGTTAGATTGGTTAATTGTGCTTTTAGGTATACTGAAGGATGTTGTAGGTTGTAGAAGCGCATCATGCCACAAGGTGATAATTAATTTGCATGCATCCTAACAGATGCTGGGAAGAAGATGATCAAGGAAGGGAAAATAATAGTAAAGAAAGGTCGAAGGAAAGAAGAATCGGGGGCGAGAAGGATTATGTATTGCTTGAAGGAGGTGGAAGGGTAAGAGCAATGTTGATTTGACGGTGGGATCATACCTCATCTAACTCTGGAAGGTACGAAATGGTTTAAAGCGTTTATCACACTCTTAATTGAGTTTGAGCGAGATAGATAAGAATAGAAACGCAAACATGCCAAATTTGTAGAAGTAACTGAAAAGTTTACTTACCTCTCGGCGAGACGACTTGGAGCGAAGTATCGCCTACTTACTCAACAATCAGTGCAACGTATCGATATTCGACGAAACGACACGCATACTGACTCCAAACAATTACTGTACCCCTAGAGCATCTGAGAACAATCACAGTCAATGAAGTTGCTAATGTCTAAGCCCCAAATGCAGAATTCCCTGGCAATCTCTGTAAATGGCTGCAATGGTTCGCGACAGGAATAGACAGGTTCGTGGGGCATGTACATGACCAAGTACAGTGACGATGGTGACACTTGTTGTTTCCATCGGCTTTAGACTTCAGACTACTGAACACCGACATGCGGCGCTTAAAAATGTGGTATATATATATACAAATCCAGCCTCATGAAAGTAAGTATCCGTCCTTTCTGATGGTTCGCATTCGCATAGCATGATTACAAAAGTAAGTCTCATGCATCACTAAAAATACAGTAATGCCCACGAGGAGTGGTGTGTATCATGACGTAGTGATGAATACATAGATAGCCTTGAAGTATCAAAATTGATGAGTTGTATTTTCCCTCGACATTGCCATGACTTGAATTGCCGAAAGTCGGCAGTGGTGGTGGTCGTGGTTGTGGTGAAGAAGATCTAGAGATGGATGGTTTGAACATTGAGGAGGTTGAGGATGATTAAGGAATCACAAGTGTCACTTTAGTCCTGTGATGAAAGGTCCCTTTTGAGATTGTGTTGGAAGGATCTGGAGATATACCTGTCAGATAGGTACACACACTTTGCTTCTCACCGCCTTCATTCACAATCCGTTGCCCAAATGCGTGAGGGTCATAGAAACACTTATAAAGGGCATTGATTGAATCGAATTGAACCGCACTTGTTTTTTTGACGAATGTTCTTCGCATATACCAATCAAACAAAGCGTTTGCTTTCAAATATATCAGATTTGAGGCTGTTGATCAGGAATAGGAATCTCGCCTAGTAAAATGGCCTGAATGTTTCCGTTCCCAAATTATTAAAGGGCCGACACAAAGGTCTTGGAAAGCGGGTGTCTGCAGAATCAAGATATTGTCCCTCGTATGCACCACAACATGGAAATGATAGGTAGGTGGCGCTTGTATCGATAAGTAGTCCTTCGACGAAGAAGATGTTTATAAGATGGTTATCGATTACCTACCAAGTAGCTAGGTAGCTAGGTATTGGCTAATTCATTTCTACTACATGAGGACCTGCATAAAACACCTACTTAAAATACCTCGCATAGCTTATGCAGTCTACCCCTTAGGTATGTATATCTTCACATGTTACCTTGGCTAGGTAGATACATGATACCTACCTCGCCTACAGACTAGGTACCTAGTACTTGGTAGTATTTCACCAAGTCTCTTTTTCTTTGGGTTGTTTTTCAAAAAGGTATATGAATGCGAATAAACACCTAAAATGTAGCTGTCTACCTATCTACATACCTACCTACATTCATGCCCATCACACATAGAATAGTGATTAGTTCTCAAGACGAATCCGTTATCGCTGGATACCAAACTCACATAGGCTGCGCCAGTAGACAACTCAAGCTGTACAGAAGTTTCTGGAAAGTCACATCATGTTGATCATCTCCATAAACACTCTGTACATGTTCCCCCGCAAAAGTCGAATGGGAAGGATTTCAATTGCCAGTGGTGGCTTGATATGCTAATGCTAATGCTAATGCTAATAATAAATTGATTATTGGGACAACCTGGGACATTTGATTGGAACTAGAGTTGAAATCCATCCGCCACCGGTGAACGCTTGAAAATGCCTCATTCGGGTTCTTTCTTTTCTTTTCTTTTCTTTTCTTCAAAATTCAAGGGACCTGAAAATGTGTTTTTTTATTCAGTTTTAGCACTTCTAGCACGCCTAACTAGGCCATCGGTTAATATAAATGCCGTCAAAATCAGGCGATGGACAGGTCAGAATGTCAAAAACCATACGATGATTGAATTGATTCCAGACAAAAGGAAGAGGAGTAAATTGCAGAACGTGGTGAAAGGAATTATATAGATTTAAGTGAACGCCCACTTCGTACGAAGGTTTGGATGGCCTTTTATCCTTTTCAATTATTGCTATTATTATTGACATTGCTATTGCTATTGCTGTTGCTGTAACCTTTTTCAGTTTGGAAGAAAGGGTCGCAGTGACTAGTTTTCTCTAACCTCTTACCTCGTGCAGCTGCAGGCACTTGCAGCCACATCCCCCTTTCGTTATCTTGAAATTTACTACAGGTTGCCAAATGGTCTGGATCTTCAATTGGACTTGATGCCGATACTCTAGCTTTCACCTCAGCTTAACATGATTCGTTCTTTGTGGCGAGAGCCCATTCAGGGCTTGTCGATAGGTGTAAGCTTTCAAGTCAGAAGGAGAAGAAAATGAGGAAACACAAGTCCTTGTAGGTATCTCGGTATAGTACAAGAATTCATATTGTCGAGTTGTGAGATACTATGAAGGCGGTCACTGTGCAGCCTCGATATTCAAGAATTAAAAAAAAGCAGGTGCACCATTCGATCATCGACACCAAACCACAGCACACGAAGGGTGTACAATCAGAGAAAAAAGCTAAGATTCGAAATTTTGTATAAAGGACAGGGGATCGGGACGGGATCTCGTACAACCTGATCAATTTTGAGAGACATTGTATAGGTACAATACTGTTGTGTTATCGAGTATCTCTCTACATCCCTCGCAGGCGCCGACAAGTTCATTGAATTCACTTCACACATATGGAGATTCGGGAGTAACATCCGTTTCCTAATCGATATCTCGCGTTTGTTCATCAAAGTATCATACAGTATCATACAGTATCATTCGAATTGGCGAGCCCTTCTGTACCGAGTTCATGCATGGTTGGAGGTGGAGTGGACAAATGTGGAAAGAGGCAAAGAAAGAGAGAAGGCGCTAGAGAATGGGAGAGGAGAAGGGGGGGGAGAGGTTCTAGCAACCAGTTATACGCATGTACAGTCTCACAGTGTAGACATATACAGACACATATACAGTATTATCTACATACAATCGTACTCCTTACGATTCGGTAGTTGCCAGATAAGTTCACCCGTCGTTCTGCCATTCATTCTACCTAATGCCTCCCTACCACTTCATTCCATCAGCTCTTCCAAGGTTCATCTACTGAATGGGATCAGGATCGAAGACAAGGGGAACGTCCCACATACATATACACTTATCGTTTGATCTGTCATGAGAATTTCGAGGGACATCATTGGTTATTCTTCTTTAGACCTTTTCTCAACTGAACAGTACATGGTAAGGTATCAAAGGACCCAAGTAAGAATTGAAGCATTTGATTTGCTCGGCTCAGGATTCCGAGAGAGAAAAGAAAAGAATCCACATATTTCCTTGGCTCGGGACGGACTTCACACAGTATCTGCACAGTCTTCACTGCCATTTTTTTCAACATCTGCCCTCACAGTCTCATCCACCTAGTACGTACGCTACGACCATCCTAGGTATTTTCAATTCTGCGATTCGATGAAAATGACAACAAATTAAACTTAAACTTAACCAACTATTGATGAAAAAAAAAGGAATTGATAACGCTACTCGAGTAGACCTCAATTCATTCATTCATCCAGCCCTTGATCCATTCACTCCAAAACCCTCGATCAAATCGTCAATTATCAATCAACCAAGATCGACCCAGTACCTTCCATTCACTTGATTCAAATATGTCAGCACTTCGATTTTGAGGTTCCTCAAAGCTTTCAATGTTCCCACCCAACATCTCCGATTCGTCTCTATAATCACTCGAGCACCAGCACTAACACCACCACCACCTGCGATAACACCATGATTGAGATTCCCCACGACGTCAACAATTTGAATTCCACCATTATTGTCTACCCACGCCTCTACTGTATCAATACCGATTTGTTATACTCCCGAAATTTTAATCGACGAAGAACTTAATATCTTGGCGCGAATCTATTACTGAAGTCTGTCAAGGTTCTCGAAAGAAGGTACCGCCGCCATACTTGGAGTGGTTGGCAACAGATCAAGGACAAGGGCAAGAACCACCCCTCGACACCATGATTTGGTACCTCCTCTATCCATTCAGAGGGTGAGTGATCTAATGAATTGCTATGCTTGACGAAAGTTCATATATCTAATCAAGCTTGCCTCCATTAGAACCACGGAACCTCCCGACCTCGACATCAAACATCCCATTCGAGATCGCTTCACTAAATTCGGACATAATGTCGCAAAGCACTCAGTCGCTGCCATAACCATCTCTGCTATAATCGCAACACTTCTCATATATCCCTTTCCATTTCTCTTCACAAATGGCTTCACCAATGGCGCGTCAAATCTACCACATCATGTATGGTCTTCCGCGCAACCTTTGAAGGCATTGGATGATTCGAGGAAACCGGATGTGGTCATGCGATCGATATGGGTACATGGTGTGTTATTACTCTGGGTTTCGAAGGGAGGAGAGCTAATACTGGAGTAGGAAGCTATATGAAAGCTTTACAATCAGATGTTCTCCAAGCAGCATTAGAGATACAGGATCATATATTAGGCCCCACTATCAACTTTAACCCTCGCAAAGAGGCTAAGCATGCCCAGATTGACTATACACAAAATGAATTACCAGTGGATGCACGAGATACCTTCCATGCAGTAAATGGTCTAACAAACTCATCTTGGTTCTTTCATTCTCCATTGCAATACTGGTCATGCTCGAAGGAAGCGATCTCGGCTGATGACGACATCGTGATGACAGTCAACAAAAACTTACACCAGTCAACCTCTGTCAACGTTACCTTGAGGCACTCTATCGTCTTTAGTGGTAAGCGTTTTGAAGACCACCATCTTGTGGCTGCAGATGCCTTGGTCATAACCTTAGTTCACATGCTTGACTCGCCTGTCGGGAGATATTGGGAGAGAAGAGCAGCTCAGCTGGCAGCCAAAGGATCTGATGATTGGCGCATGATTCCTTCCGATGGCCGTTCGTTAAGAAGCACTCCCTATGAATTCTTATTTCAACCTACTGCTACTTGGGAATCGATTGCATTGGCCGCCGCATACACTTTTGGCGCATGGTGGTTCGTCGCAACTTTATGGGGCCTACGGGCTCTCAAGTCAAGGCTTGGTCTTCTCATTGCAGCAACTACTCAGTTGGCCTTTACGTTCACTTCCACGTTCACCATCTGCGCTATTATCAAAACAGATTTATCCATGATACCCAGAGAATACTATCCTTTGATTGTTGTCTTTTGCGGCACGGAAAACATGCTTCAACTCGTAAGAGCTTTTATTGTCACGCCCTCATCACATCATCCGACCCTTAGATCCGCAGAAGCCTTTGGAAAGAATGGACATGTATTCCTTGCAAACACTGGCCAGAGGCTTCTCTTCTTGTGGGTTGTATCCAAGTTTGGAGGCGTAGGGCAAGCTACTTTCTGTCGCTTCGCTACTATTGCCCTAATTTTTGATTTCTTCTACCTACTAATGTTCTTCGCTCCCGTTCTAAGCATTGATGTAAGAAGACCTCAATTGAACGACACACTATCAGCTTCTTCCCGGGAACGAAGCTATCCATCACCAGAAAGATCATCTTCTAAGCCATGGGTCGATTTCATTTTTCGTGGAGGAAACATGCCTTCGACTCGTATTGTCGGTACCTTGGTGGTTATTATCGCAGTACTAATTTGCCAGTGGCACTTCGATCAAGGTATCTTGCAAAGCAGTAAACATTTATTGAAAACAACTTCGCCGGCTTCGTCAATACTAGAGGTCGATGTTCATCAAGCTCGAACTCCAACTGCCTGGCTTCGATTGCAAGACCATGAGACTGTTCATGAGCTTATAAGCGTTGTAAAACCACATGCTCACAGTTTCGTTGCTCAAGTTTATGATCCTTTAGTTTTTGTTTTGAACGGTTCAGATCGGACACCAAACAGACTTGGTGTGAGATCGTTTCTCCCTGCCTTTTATGACTTTATCGAGAACCAGTCCCTACAATTTCTTTTGTTTGTTATCATCACTGGCGTGATTGTCAATCAATTCATTAAATATCTCTTGGCTGATGAACCTTCTGACGACGAAGACCACGAGGGTCACGGCGACGAACCCCTGCTATCGGTAAAAACATTCGGCTCTGGACATGCTTTGGATGTTGTCTTGATGACAGCTTCTCGCGATGGAATTATCGTTTCAGTTGGCCTGGACAGATGGATCCGGGTTTGGGATGCACAGCATAATGGCCGAAGCTATGTAGTCGAAGACCCTGGATCCGACATCGATCCGTTTCCTGTTTTAGCTATGGCGATCGATAATGACTCGAATTGGCTCGCAATACTGTCCAAGAAAATGGTCGCCTTATGGAATATTCCTGAACGAAGATGGGGTCCGACAATGCCCGTGGACGTTAAAGGGCGAACTCCAGAAGCATTTTTCTTTAGCCACAATGAAGTTGAGTTGATTGATCCGGTGATTATCGTACGCCATAATGGTCTCATGTCAGAACTTCATATGGAAGATCATGTTTCAAAGGAACTACAAATATGCCGCACGCCATTGGTTTGTGTTGAGCCACATTTGGAGAAAGTTGTTATGAATGGCTCCCTGCCACCTCCAAAGATCATAACCGCCTCAAAGCGTGGTTGTGTACATGTTGCAGTTGAAGAGAAATCTGGTTGGGTTTCATATGACCTTAGACTCCCTTGGGTATCCGATGACAAAGATGTCAACTCAATTCTTCCGTTGCCGGCACTATCTTCCTTCCTCGCTATACGCGACCACAGCGTTGACCTTGTTGATATACACACTCATAATGTCACACATTCATTTGTTACAGAGAACATCAAACCAGGAACACTGCAATGTGTTCATTCGACAAGACGAAGGCCGCAATGTGGATCTGTTGGTTTGGGATCGTTTGCATTTATGTATACTTGCATTGAGACTGGTAATATGATGATGCAATCATATTTGCCAAGCAGAGAGGGCGATACTATATGTTTCCGTGATCCTGATAAACCAGGCTCTAAAACATGTTGTTTATGGCGGGAAACCGTAGAGCGGAGATTTAGTATAGAAAATCCTGGTGATTGGCAAGCACTCCAATCGGGGTATGTGGTAGGTGTACGGAAGACACAAGATCAAGATAAACAAGCAGCAGGAAATCAACTTTTGGGATCAATTGGAAGCGGCGGACTTCGACGACGTGGTACTTCGGGTAGGAGGTCTAATCTAGATCACCCAGGAGGTAAAAATGACGGCTGGGAGGTTTGGAGCTTAGGATCGAGAGGAGATGAAACCTCTGTGCCCTTAAATTCAGTTTACGATCAGGTGTTACTTGTTGGTAGACTTGGCCCAATTACGAAAGTGGGTACGAACAGTATCGTAGTTGCATTGGGAAATATGGTCAAACTTATTACTGTCGGTCATGAACGTTATGATCGTCTTGGCAATGATTCTGATGAAACATTCGTGGGCATGGCACCTGTTGCGAATAGGAGGAAAAGACCTGTTCTTACACGAAAGAGAACAGATTGATGTGCAGAATTTTTTATAACCTTTCTAAGGTATTATTTGTGCTTATTCGTAAATTGCTTCTGGGGGAAGGATGATACCCAATATATGGACAAAAGGCGTTTCCGAAATGAATTGATACAGGCGTTACCATGGTCGAGGAAGCGGCGTTCGTGGATGTTGTTTTTATTTTTTGGTCTCATTCTGCGTATACAAGGCTGGGCGCATATAGTGGCATCTAAATCGCTCTTTAAAGGGACATGGTTATAGTACTTGAGTATATGCTTATCTTTTAGGCATGCTGAGTTTAAAAGCATTGGGGCTTCATATCAAGGTCAAAATCATGATCCAGCAGGCTTGCTTGGAAAGGATGAGGATAAAGATGTATTAGGAATAGGTCGCAAAGGGTAGTCCACTGGCCAACTGCCATCTGCAGTAAAGTAACATTATCATAAATTTTTGATCCGACTTACCAGTACAAAAGTGACAATGATTGTAGAGTTCTTCAAACTGTAAAACTCCCGACGTATGTAGTTGCCCCAGATATACAAATATCAATATATATACACGCAATGAATTCTGTCATGACGAAGATCGTCTGCACATCACAGCCTTATGGCCCCTATAATGATTAGGTCTTACAGAAATCCACGTTCCTGCACTAATCAATGATGATCTTCGGGGGCTCCCCTCCTACTAATAATACCACGTGTATACCCCTGTCTCTTATCGTTAGCTTATCTTAAACGCCAAAATTCATACGCGACGACACGACCCCGTTCAACGGCTTCCCTTCCGACTTCAATACTAATTCGAGCAATCAGTCATGTCGATGCTTAGTTACTGGACCATTGCAGCATTGGTACTGGGCCTCGCGGCCTTTGCACCGGGCATTATGGGTATATTTGGGCTGGGAGGAAATAAGTTCTTGGTGAAAGGGAAGGTATGATCAATTGTTTTATCTTCGCTGGCCGGGTGCTTCATGTTTGTATAGATGTGCTAACACCTCGTCTCGATAGACAGTTCTCTTGACCGGCGCCTCGGAAGGAATGGGAAAGAGTGTTGCGATTCAATTGGCAAAAAAGGGGGCAAGTGTGATAATTGTTGCGAGAAACGTTGAAAAATTGGAGAAGGCTATGGTGGAAATTAAGGTGTGTTCTTTTATGTTTTCCGTTTCTTCGAAGAGGGGCAGTGGAGATTGGGGTGGAATTAGGAATTGAAGAGAATCGAGGAGAAGAGATATCTGGATACCATTGGAGGTTCGAGGGGGAACTGGCAGAAGGAACAAATGCAAGAGCAAGGGCTTTTAGATGAGCTCAACTAACACTTCACAGGCCGCAGCTCTCTCCCCGCCAACGCAATCTTTCCATTATATTTCCGCCGACGTCTCTATTCCCACTGAAGCCGCACGCATTCTCGAAGAAGCCACTAAATTCAATTCTTCTAGCCCTCCTGACATTGTTTGGTGCATCGCAGGCACTTCTACCCCCGGCTTCTTCCTCGATACGACTCCCCAGAAACTTCGCACACAAATGGACATAAACTATTGGTCTTGTGCAGACATGGCTCATTGCGTTTTGAAATCCTGGCTCTCCACCCCAACGCCGAAAAGAAAGACCGACATTTGATCTTCACCAGTAGCGTTTTGGCTTTCTATTCCGTCGTGGGTTATACACCATATTCACCGACCAAGGCTGCGATCAAAAGTTTGAGCGATACTTTATATCAAGAAGTTCTACTGTATCCTAATCCTCCACAAATTCACACAATTTTCCCAGGTACAATAGCTAGCCCGGGATTGGAGATCGAGAATCAAGGTAAACCGGAAATCACACATTTATTGGAGGAAACGGATCCGATACAGACACCAGATGAAGTCGCGAGAAATGCGATTAGGGGCTTGGAAAGAGGAGAATATCTGATTACGGTGGGTTGGCTGGGAAGTATGATGAGAGCTTGCGCATGGGGAGGTAGTAGGAGAGGGAATTGGGTGTTGGATACGTTGGTTACATGGGGGACGAGTGTGGTTTGGGGGTTTGTCGGGATGGATTTGGATGGTAAAGTTAGGAGGTGGGGGGAGGCGAAAGGGTTTAAAAGGAATTGAAAGATATGTTGAGGCGGGCTTGCGCAAGAGCCGGCCTTTCGATAGGTCATACCAATATCCCGGAAGAGAGTGTAACTTTCAAGAGAGGAGCTGCTGTATATAGTGCATCTATTCTTGGAGGTACCCAATCGAATCTGCAGAGTATAGTGGACGCACAAAAGCTTACTTCGCCGCAATTTACCAAACTACAGATCACTAGCCAAATTAATGCCAAAATCTCAAAACTGCGATGCTACTGCAATCTGCCGGACCTATCACGACATTGAAAATTGGGACTGTGTGTTTATTCCCTGAGTGCGAAATTCATGGGGAATCGTAGCTATAACTCGATCGTGGATGCGCATTTGGAGGCGGCCTTGAATCTTGATGAAGGAGTTGATTCTGTCAGTGCTTGGTCCTTGTTCAAGGAAACTTGAAGCGTCGAAAAATAATGATTAAGAATGGAACTGGAATGGGTCGATGGACAATTCTACATTACCCCTTATTCAATTCTAGACTCACCTTGTTGAAAAGATATACGGTTTGCTCGGCACTGCGCTTCTTCATTTTATCCCCTTCCGATTTGTTGGAACACATATAAATGAATTCGAATAAGGGGTATCAAAGGGCGCATTATGGCTACATATGTCACACAGCAAGTGAGACTGGCTTGATTAAATACTGATGCTGGGTATGAATCCCGGGACCTTTGTGAACCGAATTGTCTCCAGGTCGAATAGCTTCAACCAAAATCAAGCTGGACAAATTTGTCAAGATCGAGTTCCGAAAAACAAAGGAACATATAGACAGAGGCATCAATAAATTTTTGTTCTTTATTTTCTAATAACAAAACGAACAGTCTCGTACTCGTACCGCGTGGCATTTACCTCTTATTGTTCCTTACCATTGTTCTACCACTCCCATTTACCGAGATTTTTTAGAAGGAAATGGTATCGTATAACTGTAATGAAAAGATGGAGATTATCCTCGAATTTATTGGATTTGTCGGGCATACATGAGAATCACTCAATCCCACATCATTTTCTGCAATTGACTTTGCTACGGAATCATGGCCCCAGAAAAACATACCGCAGACGACCATAATGTCATCATTATTGGTGCAGGATGGCAGGGTGTTGCAGCCGCTAGGACGTACCTACAGCTCAAACCCAACATCAAACTGACTGTAATTGACTCTGACAGCAGCATCGGCGGAGTCTGGAGTATTGAACGAAGCTATCCTGGACTCATTGCCGATAGTCCCGTTGGGTGCTATGAATTTTCCGACATGTGTATGGATGAAGATCCGGAGTTGGAAATGTGGAAGATAATTCCCGGTCACAAAGTGGGTGAATACCTTCGCAAGTTCTCCAAGAGATTTGGCATCGATGAACACCTCCGCCTTAATACGAAGGTCTTTTCGGCGATCCCTGAAAATGGAACTGATGGCGTGAAGAGGTGGAGTCTAGAAGTGCAGACAAAAGGAAAAGAAAAGGAGTTTCTCAAGTGTGATAAATTGATCGTAGCAAGTGGACCATCTTCAGATCCAAAAATGCCGGATCTCGATACGAGTCAATTCAATGGTCCTGTGTTTCACTCTCTATATCTTGGTGCTCGACATGCCGAACTTACTGCCGACAAAATCAAACATGTAACTGTAGTAGGGGGTAATAAATCGGCTGCGGAAGTCGTCAATTTATGCGCAACTGCGGGAAAGAAAGTTACTTGGTTGATACGAGAAGGTGGTGCTGGTCCAGGAATGCTTATACAAGCAAGATCAGGAGGAGTACATACCGCTGCCATTGCATTCTCCAGATGGGCAGGTCTGACGGTTCCATGTCTATTGAGAACTCACGGATTTTGGTATTGGCTCTTACACAGTGGTCTCTTTTGGCCCGGTATCTGGTTGATTGGAAAATATTGGGAATGGGCTTCTCACTATATGTTGAAAGGTCTTTATGAACAGAGCGAGAATGCTAAAAAAATCGCACCTGATTTACAACAGTAAGAAATTTGTGGAGCGGTGAAACTTACTTTAATTTACTAATGAAACACAGTCTCTTTTGGTCGACATCTGCACCTTCCTTCCTCCAAGAAGGGAGTACCTTGTTCGAAAAGTTGAATGAAGGAATACTTATAGATGTCCAACGCACGCATATATCCAAGGTTAATTCCAACAGTGTCACTCTCGATAACGGTACTCATCTTACTACGGACGCAATAGTATTTGCCACTGGATGGAATTTGACTTTTTCCAAATTCTTCAAGCCCGAAACGCGTCTTGAGCTTGATCTTCCAATCCCGTTTGGTTCGGAACCTCCCGCTCTGAAGGAATATTGGAAAGAGCTCGATCTCGAAGCCGATCAATGGGTCCATAAAACCTTTCCTTTCCTTTCCAACCCACCTAAGACTTATGAATCTCCGCCAGACCACACACCATATCATCTCTATCGTCAATCAGTTCCCACCACCCTAGCTACCCGCAACGATCGATCTATTGTTTTTCTCGGCGTCCTAGCATCCCTCAAATCCCAACCTATGCTGAACTTTCTTCGCTATGGAGTATTGCCTATCTCGAGAACATGCACGCACCCGAGATTGATAAAGTATTCAGTGACAAATTGACGATGGATCTCGATACCGCGCGGGCAAATGCATTTATGAAGTGGAGATATCGACGAGCGGGGATTATCGAACCGAATGTGGGAGCAGAGGTACAGGATCTTTGTGATTTACTTTGTGAGGAATTAGGGGTGGAAGCCAGGAGGAAATCGAAGGATAGGGGATGGAAAGGGTCGTGGAATGAGTGGTTCGAGCCGTATCGAAGTATGGATTATAAGGGGGTTGTGGGGGAATTCTTGGAGGTGGTGAGGAGAAGAGAGGAGGGAAAAGCTAAGAGTGAGTAAAGGGGAGGGGACCGGTGTGTATATGTAATAAGATGCGTTTCCTTTCCTTTTTTTTGAAATAGGCACTTGAAGCATGCTGCCTTGCATTTGGACGTCGCTTTCCAGAATTTGGAGCGGCTTGGAGATAAAGATTGAAGTTCGTTACTTGCAAATGATACATACGATTAAAATTTCAATTCTTGTCAGAGAACGTGTTAGATAAATGATACATGTCCTTGAAGTAACTCTGGGTAGGTAAACCAGAGAAATCCGATGAATTCTGGACGCTTCACTCTTCTGATAAATCTATACCTACCGATCAGCGCTGTCGTAGCATTCGTTCTCATCATCGCAAAATAAGGGGAAATCGATGAATAACCGAATTGAAATTCCACCCTGGTAGTTTATGTTTTCACGGCATGTCGGTTTTGGAACAGGTGTGAAGATAAAAGGAACAATGTCCCAGTTCATCGATGAAATTAAATCATCACAGAAGATACGATCATTCATGCTTATTTTAATACTAACATGGAGTCAAATTGATGCAGAATATCTGGATAGACTTCTTGATGCTACCATGTATCTCGCAATTTCCCGCTTCACAAGTCGGATAAGACCATAGATTGAGATGTAAAAGAAAAGAATAAGGGAGCTCGACTACTGCAATGACATTCACTCTAATGACTCCACATCAGGTACTTGGTTTTAAGGACCGCGATTTTGCATAACCAGTTGTACCTCTTCCGTCGTGATACATATATACTCATCGATCGCCAAACCTCTACAATCTGTTCCTACGCCCTCGAGTCCTTGGTGTAGCCGGATAGTGCTCCGAATATTACAGATCCTGGATATCTCTATGGTATGTTATCCCTGAATGTCCCAAAGCAGCTTCTTAGAGCGCATTCCCCTCTCATCTTCTTTGCAAATTCAATAAAGAATTTGTGGAACCTCACACATTCACACCCAGGCAGATTCCTAGGTTTACCAACAAACTTGAGAAGTTTGTTCATCAAAGTGAATTTCATTTTGTGGAGAGCTGGAATTTAAGAAACCCATTACTCAATCAACCAGCTCATACACTCACACTTCACCAGATGGAAAAGGGTTACAAGAAAATCAAAAATATAACGACACAAGCTTCATCCATCATCTCCACATTGAAGGAAGCTCAAGGAGAAACAGGAATCTCCAACACCAGAAAACCAGGACACCAGGACATCAGAATTTTGTGATCTTCAAGCAAGCAAGCAGATGACTTGAACACTTTGACAAAGTCCAAAGTACAGAGTTCCCAAGGTCATTAAGAATTCCTTCTATCATCTGCTCATATCACTTCATGAAAACTGTAAGTCGCTGATTCACAGATCAGATTCCATCTTATCACATGTATGTCAAGGGGAGTGAATCTAAATTCTGAGCATATCTTCTGTTCCAAGTTGTTTTCAATCTCACCAACCTTTGCATTACCAAACACAACATAACTCAAAGTAAGGGTACAATTGCATTCTTGGAGATCATTCACAGCTGGTCTCATATATACAACTGGAGTTTGAAGACATCTGGATATCCACAGGAATCAAATGCACACATCCACCATCATCTCTTTGAACTAAAGTTCCCAAGTAACATATGCGATTTGAATGAACTTTTGATAACAACAAAATCAAACCTCGAGCAGCATCACTCAAACTCTTGAGGAACCTATCTTTCTTCAATGCCGAGACTCTAGCCTGTCCAAAAGAGTTAGCTCGATTTGATTTTGAACTTCCCACAATCTCAAAATAATATTGATTTACAATTTGAAATTCACACATCAACTCTTTATTGACCTTGACCAGAGGCCTGGACTTTTCATCAATTCCATAAGGCTGCGGTCCAGAATCATAGCTTTCTTATTTTCCATACTCTTGAAATCATCACAAATCTTTTCTCGAATACAATCGATTTCGGCTGCGCTCTTATATCACTTTATTCACCTTGCCGAAGTTCATCACTTTCAAGTGGTCGCATTCTGCCGGTTGATCCTTTCTGTTCTTCACCACACGTCAACGACACCTTGTACTTCTTAGGAGCTCAATAAAACTCGGTACCATCTGCTCTCCAGTATCAAGGTGCGACATCTGCACGTTATGTTGACGATTTTGATCATCTGCCTATGTTCTTTTTTGAGCATGGCAGATGGCTCAAGTTCGAGTATAAGCATCAATGTTCTCACTCTTACATCGTATACTACCGTCTCACCCACTCCTATTGTCGTAACATCCTCAGAGGTATGTTTCTCACGAGGCCAAACCAATGCGTTCGGTGCTAACAAATTTTGTAGTTTGTGACACCAGCTGACCAGATTCCCGTCACCTTGACTTCTGCACTGATCGTTATTTATACAGTCTATCCAGAAAATGAGTCTCCGATAAGAGGAACTGCGACTCAATTTGCATACCCTACATACCTTCCATCAGTTGCTGCAACTCTTGCAACGTTATCAACCAGCACTACGAGCCTTCCTATCCCACAGACAACTGATAGCTCAAACACTGTTGAGACTGGTGGCTCAAGCACTGTCGAATCTATTAGCTCAAGCACTATTGACAAAAGTACTGGGCCAATGTCATCTTCCACTCGGTCGATGAGTTCAACAAGCAAGCCAAGTATTACACCGACCTCTTCTAAAACATCATCGTCGACAGTAGCAGCTAGTACATCAACATCAACTCCACCAGGCAATAATGCCCGTAAGTCGATTCCAATTGTGGCAATTATAGTGCCTGCGATCGTCGGCGCCATCCTCGCTATTTCTGCGCTTGGTTTACTGGTATGGTGGTTACGCCGAAGAAGTTTGAAGAAGAAAAGCAATAACGCGTCGAACCCCCCGGCATTAAGACAAGGAAATGTTTATGATGGACATAACCAATGCATAAACACAGGAAATAGAGTTTCATGCCAAGCACGCAATTCAAGACAGGATCGTGTGAGTGTCTTAGACACATTGGGCTTGACGGACAAGAAATTGTGGCCGTCTTGGCCTTTCGGTGACAAGATGACCTTGGGCACTAGTGCTATCAAACAAGCGATGATGGGAGCTGCAGTACCAGTTTCTTCAACACCATCACGACCTGTAAGATCTTATGAGCATGAGTTGCAGTTTGTCACCAGTCCTCGGCCAGCTGAACTTCCAGGCGATCCTAAATTATCTGAGAATGGAGTTCCGACAGTACAACAATCGCAGATCGAGAATGGCACTTCTATCGCGCCTCCGATTCCACCAAAGTCTCCAGATAGAGATCTCAAGCTATATGGAAGAGATGCCACTGGACATGCTTCGTCTGGGTCGGAACCTTCAAATGTTAAAAAGAGCATTGATAATTCCTCATTGCCACGATGGTCAAATTTTGACGGTCATCTGTCAAACCAAAGTTCTGATCTTCATGGAGCAGTCGCATCCCCTTCTACGCCAACTACAGCATGGCCACATGGCAGCAATTCACAAGTTATCGCGCCCGCACTCCCCCAGGCTCAGAACGACTCGGCTACAACACCAGCAAAGGCATGGGTCGAACCGCCATCACGATTCTCTACTCCCTCAAACAACTCTACTTCGCCCAATGCAACTCCAAATGGCAGCGTTGATAATAGTCCAAAGCAATGGATCGAACCAACCTCTAATGCCGCTACTGGAACTAGAAATCGTGCGTATAATGCCATCCCGCCTTCCCCGGTAGAAGCCGATACTTTGCGTACTGTCGCAGAACGCGACAACGCCTTGGCAATGCTCGAGGGTCGTCAAAAAGCCCACGTAACTGCAAGCATCTCCGGTATCTTTGGTGGAAATGAACAACTGAGACTCTATAACGAATCCGTGAAGAAAGCTAGAAGAAGAAGTATTGAAAGAAGGGCAGAGCTCGAAAGCAGGTTTCCGTTTGCGAGAGCACCCGTACCAGGCACGGTTACAGATGCTACCCATGACATCTCTTACACTTCAACAAATGCAGGAACTTCAATCCAACGTGTTGACAATGACAATGGTTTTGGGGGATGGATGTGAAGTATTTGCTGGCGTAATGATAACGAAGTCATAACTACATGATCACTGCGGTGAAGCATCAAAGGCGTTGGTAGATTCAAACAGAGACACTTCTCATTGAGCTTTCACTGACTCTCCTTTTGCCTTTCTTTTGTATTTACTTTCTTTGTTGCTGGATCACTTGAAGGTTGATTAGAAATTGAAGCGTGGTGGTCTTAGTAGATGAACGGATTGATGGATTGATGGACTCGATGAATAATATGGGATGATTGACTGAGAAAGCTCTTGCCAATGAAGGAGAGAAAGCAAATTCAAGAAGCAAATCTTCTCTCTCTTTCTTCTTGAGAATCTTCAGAAGCATGAATAATGATGAAATGAAATGAGATTTCCTTACCGTAGAGATACAATTGATAGAAATCAAAATCAAAAGTATTACTGTATGAATTTAGTTGAATTTGGTGAAAAAGTAAAAGATTGAGAGATGACGTCGGAACAAGATTTCAAACTTCCCGACAGTTCCGAGGATTACCCTTTCGAATGTCTTTCAAACCTCTTGATCTCCATGTTGTATGTGTATCTCACTATATCACTTCAACACACAACTTCAATCAAAGCATTTTATCCCATACTGCAGCCTTTGTTTAAAGTCTCATCTAGCCAGAAGTATAATGTTATTGAATCAGTTGCTTTGAAATCATCAATGCTTGAGGAAATCTCGTCAATTCTGACAGTTGTCCGTAGGGTGTGCGCATATGGATTCAGTTGGCCGCACTGCTCGGAAAAGATACATAGAATAGGAATTGAGAAATATGTTTTCGTGTAAGAACTTTTTATAGATAATTCAATAACAGATTGATTCGCCATCCGCCTATCCGACCTTTTGATGCTCAGCACAAATATGTGGTATTTATTCCCATGATACCCAATCACAAACGCCTGTACGCCAGCCCTCTCCCAGCCATCCGAAATCACCACCTTACTTCAGAGCCAAGCTCCTTCTAACCTCCAGACTAACCCCTTTACTACCTCCAGCCATCGCTCCCCGTTCCACCTCATCATCCACCAAATCTCTCAGATCCAAGCTGGTACTTCCACCCATCTGTCCCATCAACCCCTGCCTCTCAGCAAAAACTCCCTCTTCTCTTTCTCTCTGATTATCTCTCATCAGCCCTTGCATTTCCACCTCCTCCATATCATCTTCCTCGCCTTCCAAGAAAATTTCATGTCCACTTCCCTCATAAACCCACATAGCTGTTACACATCCCGCCGCAGCCACCACTGCCGTTTCCCACCATGCCCATCCGACTACTCCCTTCTCCAGCCCCTGTCCGTACCAAATTCCACCTACCACCGGTCCCACCGTTCGGAAGCCCGCTGAGACCGATTGTCCAATTCCGTGTATCGTACCCAGAACAGAAGGATGGGGCGAGCAATTGTTCAATAAGATAATCGTAGCAGGAAGCGTGAAAGTTCTCGCTGAAACAGCAAGCAAAAGTACAAAGAAAATGCCAATCCAGATCGCAGGCCCGGCAGCAGGCGCCGGCGCCAGAGTACTGGAAGGCAATACAGCCAAATATGGAGCAACGAAATAAGCGATGGGGAACAAAATTAGGAAAAATCGAAAGCAAAGGAGAGTACCAAGTCTTGCGTGCACAGGTGGATAAAGAAGAACTTGTAGAGCCATGCCAAGGACGCCGAGAATGGATGTTGCAAAGCCGACTGTTGCGGCAGGCATACCGAGACCTCCGGTGAATACAAAGGGAAGAGATCGTGAATCGTTTGAAGTAGGTCGCGGAGTAGAGAGGAAAAGTGACCAGATATTTGTGAAAGCTCCAAGATGGAAATCAAAGAATGCGCCGGTAATCAAGGTAAAGATTACGTTTTTGGTCCAGATGCGATTAAAGGGTAATTTATTTGTGGTGGGACGAGTAATTGATTTAGGTTCGAAGTTCTCGAGGCTATCAGTTGAGGTCTCAAGATGAGAGTAATCAATCGGGGCAACAATAGTTCCAAACCCTATTGATTGTTTAATCCGATTCATCAAATTAATTCCGTAATCAAATTGGCCACGTGCCGAAGGAAGAGTCTAAGATGAAGCCACAGGTTAGTATCCGTATCCGTATATACGGGGGTGGGGACATGAAGATGTATCCCACGTCAAGAGCACGTACCTCTTCTAGACCCAAGAATACGATGACGCCGGTAGTTGCTAAGAAGACGGCATTGAGAATACCAGGAAGAGCATAGGGATATGATTTAAGCCATTCGAATCCGAATGCAGCTTGGTCACCGAAAAGACCAGGGAGTGTCATTGCTGGATCTGCAAGTAATCCACCCATAACTATGAGCAATATTAGTACATGATGATGTGATTGATCCAATACATATATAGACATACCTGGACCCAATATACCAGCCACATTGAAACTCATAGGTAAGAGCAAAAACGCCCGAGATTGGTATTTCTTCTCTTTGGTAAACTCTGCAACCATGGTACGTCTAATTGAGAAGGTTTAGCTATTGTGAATTTAAAAATGAAGAATCTATGAACTAACATTATTCCAACAGTACCATTGATAGCACCACCAAAGGCACGAAACAAAGCCGCTTGCCAAAACGTCGTCGAAAACCCATATCCCATACATGAGATGGCTGTTCCAACCAACCCAATCATGAGAACCATCTTCCTCCCCCAGGTATCAGCGGCTTTACCCCAAAGCACCGCAGTACAGACCTGAGCTCCAGTGAAACACCCTTGCAGGATCCCGCCTGTGACGAAATAGCAGCATCAGACAAGCCAGGATCAAAGCTCTTCAACTGATAGAACATGTAAGCTTGCAATGAAGCAATTTGTAAGAAATCTACCAATCTAGAGAAGAAGAGGATGGCTAATTGATCTTTCCGAGGTAGTGACATCCATGTCACTGCTTGTGGTTTGGGACCAGATGCTTCTGAATCGGGCTCAGAGGCAGTACTAGGTCGTGAATCCAAGACCTCACGTGGGGATGGAGGTACGAGAGAGGTGTGTCTGCGATGAAAGCCACTTACCCCTCCTCTATGCTCGGGCAAGGCCGGCGACCATAAAGGTGTTGGATATTGGTTTTCTCCGACATAGTCATTAATTTTCAAACAAAAATTGACAAACGATGATGAAATGAAACGGAACCCCCAAAATACAGAAGAAAAGAATCAACAAGCCAAAATTCGGATGGTACAAGTCAACAAGCAAACCAGAGCAGAGAAATATGTTGGATGGGAAATAATGGAGCGGCTCGGTCCAGAATTGTGCCAAGCTATCAAATGAATGTGAAGAAAGGATAGAACGGAAAGAAAAGATGGATCAAAGAAGGAAAGTACATGCCAAAAGTAGTAGAAAAGAAATCCTGTTATTCGATCTTCATCAATCAACCGTTTCGGACTCCCTCCTCTACTCGGAGGTTATTGTTATTAAACTTCTTCCTCGTGGACAGTCTGAAATTCCCTTCACTCTATACTTACTTTATCCTTGCTAGTAGTGTGAAAATGTTTGCGTATGGGATATACATCATCATCAATTTCAAAATTAAGCTTGCCCCATAGCTTTGTACTCTTTAGGTGAGGCTTCAGAGAGCAAGAAAATGGTTGGTTGCCTTTGTGATCCACCTGAGAACCCAAGTTCCCGAATCCTAAAACCAACTCTCCAAGCCTCCCATGGTTCTGCATTTTCGCAAAGGCCTTTGGTTCTCGGCTTGTTTCTTCTTTTTTTGGATCAGCACCCAAGAGTTCTTGGTTGATATTCGTCCGACTCAAATAGGGATAAGCATAAGAAAACCCAGATAAGCAAGGATTGATGTTAGTGTAAGTCAGTAGCAAGGTAATGAAAGTGTCACAGATAATCGGGAAGAAGTTCCAGGGTTGGCTGGTGTTCCAATGTTCAATGCTTATTAGTCCTCAGTAGTCAGTGTTTACGCGGCACTAAAATTTTGGCAGAAAAGAATCTCCACTGTAACCCCATGCGCTGGAGCATAGCGGTACCTAGTAGTCATGGGTAATAATAAAGACACACCTCTTGCACATCTAACGTGAAAAGGGCAATTTGTGGAAGTTGAACATCTCAATTCAAATGATAGTAGTTGCTTCCGGGATCGAGAAACAAGGAACCTTCCACTTCTTGAATTCCAATTATCGGGGATGTTATTCACGACGATCATTTGACGCGTATCCGTTACAATTTGTCGTAAAGAGGTACTAATTTATTCAATCCCAAAGATGCTTTTATGTGAAACGATGGGCAGCGTTGTCTGAGCATTGAATAAGGATGTGGAGGATATCAAACCACGCTTCTATGCTTAATCCTGTTTCTTCTATTGATAGACATCTGTAATTTGTGTGGAGGAGCTTCATACATCAAATTGATTACCCAGAGGTACTTGATATACACCTACGGCCTTGATCAATGGCAGTCATTAGAAGCGCGAAAAGACAAGCGCCCATCCGAGAAAGTCTTGGCGCGTCGTAATTGGCTCCACCGTGTTCATGTCCCCCTGTTTGCTTTCTAGAAGTTTTTCCTTCACATTTCCTTGCCTTCCCAGTGCACATACACTCGCATCCCAGGACCACATTTCCATACATCAACATCTATATTCCACCCAACGCTACTCCTAATATGACATTTCCGAGAAACCCATTACGAATTTCCAATTGCTATCATGCATGCGTATATCTACGGAGTACGCTGTGCGCTGTACCTCAATCATGTTCCTTTCTACTAAACTACTAGCCCTTGTACGCGATTCTATACGCGCCACCCTCAAGACTACTACCTGACGTATGGCATTATGTCTTCCTTCACACAACAGGATCCAAGCTTTGCAGCTCCTGAGTTCTAAGGTCTGACTCCCACTTCGCAATAAACAAAAGTTCTAATCACCCTTCGGACCCACATACACACAGTAGGACCTGTCCGGCTTTTCATGCTACTATGGAGTAAAGTATTTCTGCTTGCCGGTTGCCCTCTATATCCTAGTAGGTTTTGATCCGATCACTTCCCCTTGTGTATCATTATTCGTTCTTTTCCATACTTTCATGAGCAAATGTCACACTTCTTTCCATGCTTTTGTTTCTTTTCCATCAGGTTACCATGGGGTTGAAAGTATTATTATTGTTTTCTCTTCTCACCTCCTTCTTACCCGTCCTCGCTGCTGCTGAGTTGGGCGCTCTTCACGGCGATGATGCTTTTGATGCTGGCAGCTATGGGTCTTATCCAATCCGTACCTACATGTCAACCGATGTCGTTTCCCCGCGTTTGAACATTTTACGGTCGAGCTCATTATGCCGGAACGATTTGTATTGGGTATTTAGTCCTCGCGGGAGTTCTGTCAGTGAACCGGGTGCAATGATTTTGGATTCAGCGGGAAATTTAATCTGGACCAAGGGAGGTTATGATCAAGTCTACAATCTTCAGGTACAGGAATACATGGGAGAAAAGTATTTGACATTCTGGGCTGGAACAGATGCTGTGCAGGGACATGGTGCGGGAACTTATTATATGGTCAGTACAAGTTGTCTCGTGTTTGTAAGTCTTTGCTCAAACTAACTTTGCGCAGCTCAACAAAAACTACAAGGAGGTTCACCACGTCGTTGCAGCGAACGGTCTCGCAGGCGATCTACACGACTTCACCATCACCGAAAATGGTACAGCCTTGATTACCATTTACGACGTTGTTGTAGCCGATTTATCATACGTTGGGATACCACAAGGATATGTTTGGGATTGTGTTATACAGGAAATTGATTTGGCCTCCGGAGAGCTCCTTTTTCAATGGAGAGCGGCAGATCATTATCCTATCTCCGATACATATAGAGAAATGCCAGCGGGAAATGGAGGAGTAAACTCAGCTTTCGACTTCTTTCACATAAACAGTATCGACAAGGATTCCAAAGGCAATTATCTTATTTCCAGCAGATATTTCCATTCCCTCACCTACATAAATGGGACAAATGGGGATATCATTTGGATTTTAGGAGGCAAGAAAAACATGTTCACGGATCTCTCCGGTGGTCTAGCCACTAATTTCGCATATCAACATGATGCTCGCTGGCGTCACAATCGTACCGCCATTTCTCTGTTCGATAACGCAGGAGATGATGCTCATCCCGGAAATGCTACACGTGGACTCCTCGTCTCGCTCGATGAAATTAACATGACGGTAGAAGTGATTCGTGAATACATGAATCCCAAGGGTGTACACGCTATCTCACAAGGAAATTTCCAAATGCTCGAAGATGGGCATGTAATCATGGGTTATGGAAACACAGGCGCATTCACTGAATACGACCCCAATGGAACCGCGATTTGTGATGTACACTTCGGACCACAAAGTCGTTATGGTGCTGGAGAAGTCCAATCATATCGCACCTTTAAATTCGATTGGCATGGATGGCCCACGACTGACCCTGACGTACGAATATTGACTAATGGAGACGATTGGTTGAGCTTTTACGTGAGCTGGAATGGCGCAACGGAAGTCACGAGATGGTTATTACAAGGAGCCGATGAGTCTGAAGCAGAAGAGGAAGAGTGGAAGACTTTGGATTATGCCGACAAAACTAGTTTTGAGACGGAGTTCGAAATTCATCGTTTGTATCCGAGATACTTGAGAGTGAAGGGAATAGGAAGCTACAATAACGTCACGGGAGAGGAAGAGTTATTGGGGGTAAGTTCTTCTCTGGACGTAAATTTGGAACAGGTAAGGCTGACTCATCTCTTTTGTTAGACTTCAAAAATCTTTAATGCTAATACCGGTATGCAGATTTGGTCATTGAAGCCAGTGAGATTAGAGGGGTCGAGTAGTTGGCCATTGCTCACATTAATGGCGTTTGCGGGGGTGACTGGGCTGGTGGTGGGAATCAGAGAAGCGATGATTTGGAGGAGAAGGAAAAGGGGTGCTAGTTTGTTGAGATGGAGGCCTAGGGGTTTGGGGGTTCCATTGTTATCTGGGTAGCGCATGGGTTTTGGGAAGGGGCGAATATCATTGGGAACATATGGGGGGAGTTTTGGCTGAGAATTTGTTTCTGTATATAGGACACATCTTTTTTCGAAGTTTCACTTGTTTGTATAGTCATCGCTTCAAAGGGAGAGAGCTGGAGATACCATTGCATATATTTACATAGATACCTGTTTGAAGATGAATTCAAATAACGATATAATTCAAACCTGCGCACTTGGTGCACTGTTTTATTCCAACGCTGTTTATCCAATACACTGTGAACCACACCCCTTACCATCAAGGGCCCAACATCGACTGCAATCGCACATCCTATCCTATCCTACACCCATACCCCATTATAATTACCCCCAACACAGACACCGCACGCAATGAAAATCCATGCCCAAAACAGAACGACTTACGCATGTGAAAAGCACAGACGAAACACCAGGAAATACGAATCGTGAGCTCTTGTTGGTTTAGTATGTTGTGTTATTCGTCCTCTGGCCGCGTCATCTTGGCGGGAGGATATGGAGTATGCGATTTTGTTGGATGGGTATGCGCGTGAATATGATAGTAAGTATGAATCTGGATATGGGTATGGTTTTTGAGATGGGGGATGGGGATAGGGATGAGGATGGACGATGTGTATACTTGATTGGGAAGATATGTATGTAGGTATATATGTACATAGTTTATGGTCCATTCGGATGTGATCAATTATGCAGTCTATGATTCATCATTGAGATTGAAATTGACGTCGGAGGCGTTCTCGTATTTTCTCGGGCCCGAGAATTGATTCACATCTTATCTTATCGATCTTTTCCATTACCTTTCTAGGTTTACCCTAGGTTATTACGATTAAGGATAGGTGATGTTATGTTGTGTGTCCACTTGTCAGAATTTTGCAGTTCGGGGCGGGCTTTATACCTTTTTATAAGATCCGAGGTTCTCCTAATGCATGAGTGATGGATGCATGGATCCGTTGTTGTGATGCTAATGCTAAAATGCTGATGGTTGATTTGTGTAGTACGGAGTGTATTTATCAAATATTGACTTTGGTCGGACCTGAGAAATTCAGTGTTCCGAAGCGAAGATATTTGTGCTAATTATTAGCGTACAAGCACCTATGTATCACACAAATTCTACACCGAACGGCAAGATATAATATTTACCAAAAAGATATCTAAAATGAGACAATTTAAACATCGAAGCAAATTTCCTTATTTTAAAAGAATAAATGGAAAACGACCTCGAAAGGTGGGATATAGGTATGCTACCACTTATATACAGAAAACAAATAATGACCCAACAAAATAAAATGCTAGAAACATACCAGACAAGCCTGTACTGTATGTATGTGTGTACATTGTTCTAGCCAGAACCCAAAAACCCAATGATGATGCTTGATGTAAAGATATACAAGCCGTTTTCCCAGTCCCGATTTTTTTACCTGCTCGTAGCTCCTATCTTCTTTTCCGAAGTCTCTCCTATCCTTCACTCCGAAGTCTCCCCGCTACCCCTCCATCATCCCTCTTCATCTACAACATGTTCCAAATCCGCATCAAGCAAACATATGCCAAAGCGCAACCAACCACAATACAGAAATACCTGAATAAGACGTTCATCAATTGACATCTGTTTCTCCACCTCGAACGATCAATAAAATCATTGTTATCGTTCACCCTAGGGAATGGTCTATCCTTAGGAACTGTCTCTCCCAAGAACTCGCACAAATTTTCCCATCCATCCGTGATCTTGTATTCCAATAATCTTCCCTCGCCGGCTGGACCCATAGCCTTGACAATGTTCCTGACATTCTCATAATGTTCGGTATAGATTTGTTTCCCTTGGTTCTCAAAATCGCCTTTGAAGAAACAATCGAAGAATTCCTGCAACATGGGTTTATACATGCTGGCGGCCCAACTCCAGCCCTTCAACTTCTCAAGCTCCCAATCCTTGACGCGCCAGTTGACAGTCTTGAGGGTAGATGCGTGCCAGGAATCGACATCGCGGTTTGTGAGGATGATTTTAGCTTCTGGGTATGCGGCGATGAGTTCGGGCGCGAAAGCAACGGCAGGCCAATCGCAAACAGCTTGGCAGTGGCCGAGGAGCTGATCCCAGTCTGCGCGGGTGAAGGCGGGGCCGTTGTGGTATTTGGCGTCGAAGGCATCGCGCCAGAGGAGACAGTCGGGAGGATTCTCGATACTGGCTGACATCATGTGGTAGGTGTCTACGTAGCCTAATTCGCGCATTGCTGCTCTCATTGCTGGGGGTTTGTCAGTATTTTACTAAGAGGGTAAGTCTAGGTGAAGAGAGTACGAACATGCAGTTCCGGTTCTACCCAGACCGAGGATGAGAACTTTCATAGGTACTGTACGGCGGCAGTTGCGACGGTTGATATCGGTGTCTGCAGTGAAGATATCCGTGATAGGTTTTGGTGTGTAGAGACGTGAGTTCGCCATTGTGAAAAGATGTGATGTGATTTGTGTGTGAAAGAATGATATTGTATAGCAAGTTGAATAGATGATTTATTCAGAGAACGAGTAAATGGGTATCTTGAGAAATGAAAAAGCAGACTGAGATACAAGAGAAAGATAGTGAGGGAAGATGTAAAAGCAGATAGAGATGAAATAAAAAAGAATTCTAGAAGAAATAAAACCTACAAACGAACCTCTATATCTATCTGATAAAGAAAGTTTAAGGCCAAGGCCATTTTTGGCGGGTAGATCCATAATAGCATATCAACCCCTTCTCATGGATTTTCAGGAACAAGGACCTCTAGAATTACGTAGACAGACCGTCTAGCCAGGATAGACCGGTTGGACCATACCACAATCTCAACATGTAACATTGGAGATTCGCGGCTTGATTATCTTGTCTGGACTATAGGTGGAGAGATATAGGGAGGAATTGTGGGGGTGCTGGATATTTCAGGAGATTGGGATGAATATTGGATTGACGGGAAGCGCGCGTTCGTCTGTGAGTTCTGGAGGGAAATTCCAGACTATCTTCACTAGAAGTTGTAGACAACCGTGCATATCCTTGAACTGATATTTTATCTATCTTTACCGTTCTTTGGTACCTGGTCTAGCCACAATTACTGGAAAGCAGCAGCTGCCAGCTAGAAAGGAGAAAATAAAATACTGGGATGTCGTGACTTGTGATGGAGGAAATTCTGGTAGGCCTAGAAGGATGTTCCAAAACTAACACAAGGAGCGTCTACCTGCGCGTAACATTCGTGCGTACATCCCTCTTTCCGCAGTACGAATTATCTGAGCCTCAAAAACTTAAAAACATTAAGAAACAATTCGCCCCCTTTATCATTTATTTGTACAACTCATCCAAGTAGAAGATATTCGAGAGCGCGTATCATATACATGAATGATTTGCTAATATGGTACCCTGCGTATTTTCTCCCGATAATCCAAACGAAATTTATCGTCCATGATATCCAGTGATAGCACTCAGAACCCATTCAAGAATAATTGAGATCACTCTTCATTAAACAAAAAGTGGATCTATGTGAATTCCATGATTCCATGCGGTCTTCTTTTCCTCAACTCTGGAGTCGGTACGCGTCCAGAAGAAAAGAATGGAGAATTTTATTAAGGTTCCGATCTTTTTCTCTCTTTCTCTAAAATCGCCAAGAGACTAAGTACCGGTTGGTATGGCTGACCCCCGGCTTCGGGAAAGGATGCTTGAAAGCTTGATCACGAATCATGACTATTCTATCTTGGGTAATATTCAAGGATCTGATTTCATGCCTTTATTTGTGTCAATATCAGCGTGCATTTATCGGACATGAGAAGCTTTCTTTTGCTGATGATCTTATTGTGGCCTTGTAGTTTCACGGTTCAAAAGTTTCAGAGGAATAAATTTGGACGAGGAATCGCTGAATAGCTCATTAATCTGTTACAACGTTATTGAGGTTAGAATGGGGGATGTTGGGATTATTAATCGGGTGCCGGCAAACAATAAACTTCTTACTTTGTACATGTAACTATCACGGAGACAATCTTACCGGTTTTAGATATTCATGTATTATAGTTATAGTTATTGTTGTTGTTGTGTTGTTGTATTTATTAGATATGTTGTGTTTCGTCGAAGGGGATTAGACCTCATTTAAGGTTAGTGGGGAAAGACAATATGAATGACGGCTTGGCTTACGACTCAGGGGGCGTTACGAAATCTGTCAACGATTCAAATGGTAAAGATCGGATTGTTAATGTACTTGAGTTTCGCTTTCTCTTCGAATCTCGATGTGCTTGAGGGATGATAGGTACGTTTTCGAAATACTCAAGTAGGTGTTCTACGTTTGATGTCTATTTATGTATTGACGTTCTGTTTCGGAATTTTAACCTTCTGTTTACTGAGTCTATTTCCCCGGTTTAGCTCTCCTAGTCTCTCCATTCTAGACTGCTCACAGCTCAATGGCATGAGAACATAATAAATTCCAAGACATCCGGAGTCAATCACACCTCACAGTCCTCCGAATGTCTTGTGGGTACCAAAGTATAAACGGTCGATCAGCATCATCATCTGATATTCTATTTGAGGGTCACATCTGAAACGTTAGGACCTGGGGTCCAACCTTGAAAATCAACCCCCATCAAGGTCTGTCTTAACCTTATCAGCAGAAGAAGATTGCGATTCGCAACTCCATCTATCCTTGGTCATGCCAAGAACTGTCAATTTACATTGATTTCACAACTCCCGAGATCATCGAAGATTGAAATAACGGATGAATTAACGATCAAGGGTTTGCTCAGGCCCTATGAATCGCGTATAGGTACGAGCGAAACACAATTGTCAACCAGGGAGCCAAGTATCTCTTCCAAGTTTACATAACGACATTCGGGCTGATCGTTAATATATTAATCTTGGCTTCATTATACTTTCGGCCGACTCGGCATGATTCTTGGAGGGGATGGAGCATACTTTTGTGTATTCCCGATGTCGGGCAATGGGAATGGCAATGATGGGAAATTATTCCTAGGATTGCCGTAGATTGTGAGAATGGTAAGTTGTAATCTTCCAACTGATCATCGTGTTTGGTGCGTTTCATTGAGGAGATTCCAAAGCTCGCTTGCTCTTGAGTTTTGGGGGGGGGGGAACTTTGGACTTTGTAAATCATGGAATAATCCGTTGAGCACAGCACAATATAATTTCAAATGGCAGAATTGAAATACGTTTGAGTGGTACTAAGCAGATATGACGATATTTTCAAGTGTCTTGAAGCCGGTACGCATATTTTCGCGTTACAGTGTAAATACATTCTCTCCACCCGGAGCCACCACTCTCTGTGTGTCCTTCAGTCGTATCACTCGTCGACTTAATGGCTACAATCCTTCTCTACCCTCTTAAACATCCATGACATGATGATAAATCTGATCAATAGACTGATCTTTCCCCTTCCTGAAAAAACTCTCTGGTGGGATACTATCCGAACTCTCATTGACATAGCTTACCATATTTGACAACTTGATTCTGTTTGATTATTTTGACTCTATCCTGATTTCGTACTTCAACTTCGTGGGTAGATTTATCAACAAGCTGTTTTTCGGGGGTGAAATCTCGGCTGGGGGGCTTGCAGAGGTAGCAATCTGGTCCCTTCGATTTCGTGCTTTCGGGAACTGACATAATATTGGAATACCATTGGAAAGTCAAATTAAGAGGCGAAAATAATGCTGAGTGTGCGGGGTCGAGTGATCAGAAGCATGCAATGTTTGAGGAGAACTCGGGGGCTGTAGTTCAGTTTAGTGCCGTGTCTAGTATGTACACGTTAGGGCAATTTTTAGAATATATAAACATTGAGTTTTGAGACGAGGAAAACATCACATTCAAAGGCAATATCCCTTTCGAAGAGATAAGAATCGACGTCGAATTAAGAGGCGTAAGGAACTGGGATAATACTTGAAATAATCATCATAGGGCTGTAGGGCTGAACACGTCGTCTATCACGCCATGTAGGAGGGGAATTGCGTGATTGAATATCAAAAATAATGTATTGGGAAATAGAGAGGGTCGCTTGCAGATATTGTGGTGCCATGCTGGTTTGATTTGAGAAGGTGCTATGTCCGCGAGAAAACACGTTCATGGAGAAGTGAAGTGTTGTAAAAAATTACTGATTGAGACAGGATTTCTTAGCCTCACCTAGTATGTCTGGAGGATCTTTCTTCCATTTTGTATATTTGATTTGGCGACGTGTGCGGAATCGTGATATCAAAAGCAAGCAAAGAACGCATAGAATGCTCCGAATTGGAGGCTGTACTTGTGAAAATGCTCTGAAGAGCCGCGAACATAGATTTATGTGATTCTCTGAATGAAGCTTACCATGCAGTCATGCGTGTATGGGCAGTCTATCTGAATTCTAGTGATGTACAGATGTCTTATACAGGTGGAAAGTGAGCAACATAAAAATATACTAATTTCTTGCCGAAGGAGCGATTTTATTATGAATCAATTTTTATCCAGGCAGTTTTCTTCCGCCGCTCGAATTTCAAATGCTTTCTGCACTTGCTGAAGGAAATCCTGACTTTTCAAAAGTCGGATTCTGAAATTGCCGTCCTGATAGCGGTTACTTCTTGTAATCAATTGGTGAATATGAATATCATTGGTATCAAACCATTTCGCCATGTGAATAACTACGGTAATGTACATGATTTGCTATGGATTCAATAGTCCCATTACTATGACTTTGAAGATAGAGAGCATTTCATGGCGAAAAGAAGGCTAGAGGAGTGTCTCTGAGACGAGAGCCAGAGTCTATTGATCACATTGAGCTAAGGCAGTTAGCTTCAACGGAATGGCGTGGTCTAGTGCTTGCAGTCTGGTCTCATGAATTGGTTCTCAAATATTCATATAGGCTGTCCATATGCTTGCATTATCGCCATTGTACATAATGCTGGAAACCTCGTGGTAATTCATTACCTTCTGAATACGCCGGAAGGTGTACGGCGACATACATTTCTTCGAGATTTTAAGGTGTAAAACATCGTTTAGTTTAACCAAGTATCATCTCCGTGTACGAAATACGTGTTTAATCCTAAAACACAAAATGTAATTGCGATCTGAATAGAGAAGATGCAGGCGTCGCTGTGGATTTGTATGGATGGTTCTTACTACATGCACTAGATATCAAGTCGAGGCTCCTACTCAAGCTCTTCTTGATGGTTGTAGTTTATTTATATGACGAGAAAATCTACGATTTGACTGATTTAAGTTTTAGTTTTCTACATTTCAAAATCAAGGCACGTAGGAACAACGGTGACTGACATTTTTCCAATGAGACCGACGACCCATACTGTAGCGGTGCAGAGTCGCAACCATATATTTGAAACAATCATCAACAACTGTGGTATTCATGACGATGCAGTACCATTAAGCATGGATATAATCGAGATAAGTCAATATGCATCAAAGATACTTTGTCGTAAATCTCATATGTTCACCGAACAATATATGTTTACGAAAAGCCTTGATAAAAATGCGCACTGCGCGTTGCTAATGATGATTTGAAATGAAACTTCCTAGAAAGTAGCGACCGCAAAACAAAAAGTGAAATCTACAATGCATTCGACCAAAAATGTGTGCGAAGCTTTCACAATGCTATTGGTTTACGCAGGAATTTCAACGACGATCTAATAAAACAACCACATGATGTGAAATCAAAACTCAATTCTCAAAGCTTTGCTCGCAACAATAAACAGAATATGAACATGTGAGCCCAAAGAATCCGAGGCGCCTCCAGATCGCAAGTGGCAGGTCAATTTCTTCTCATGGAACTCCTGAATACACTAACATATGAAGGACGATCAGCGCTATCAAGACTTCATCTTATTGAAACTCCCCTCACGCTAGTGAGAACTATCCATTGAGATGATTCCTTAGGTTTAAAGATCTTGCCAGTCGCAATCATTTGAAGACTGAGGCATGAACTGTAGTCCCAATACCGAGATCTCAGATAGAAGAATAATACGATCTAAGCTATGCACAAGGTTACATTGTCAGCGAATCATATCACTTGCTGTACAATTCCCACAATGCTCAATGATAGGTGATCTAGTCGAACATCCAGAAACTCAATGGAGTTTCGGTCTCAGTGCATGCCAAATTTGACGATAATCCTACTCTGTACTTGATTCCGTTGAAGGTTGTCGAAACGATAATGTATGACGAGAAGTGTGGAACGTAAGCTATAGAGTACGTTTTTGCTCCGGAGAAGAATAATTGAAATTGAAATGAAGCCACTGTGACTGCAACTTTCCTTTCCACAAGAAATCATACGATTTCAGCAGTCCATTCTAATCGTTCCATGCACTGAATGGAAGTACATGCTCGGCGCCTGGAACAAGCCGCAGGTAACCAGCCAAGGATACTCGGTTTCGGCTTTAGCTGAAGATGTATTCTCGCTCTCAGTCTCCGCTATACTTACTATCTATATTTACTATCTTCCTCCGAAAGCTCCATGAAGAAGCGATAAACAGGGGGGAAGACCCACAACTGACGAGTTGGATCACGTGAAACGAAAGGATTAGGATCCTTCTCAGGATCGATGGCTTGCATGCCATGAATTTTCTTCAAAGATCGATTCCAAATAATAATTCCACTACTCCGTACCATTCGTTCAACAGCTAATCAAATTTCAACAATCAGTCTTATCGTCTGAATCTGGAGAGTGTACTATCCGGATAAGTATCTTACAGTGCCGCCCCATTTTCTTGCGCCATCATCGCTTAGTTTTGGGTGCTGTTTAGTTCCTCCCTCAGTGCTAAGAACAGCGGATTGCTTTTGATATAGAATCCACTTTAGTAAACTCTAAGGGCGAGGATCGTGATAATTCATTGTGAGTGAAGTGGGAGTGAAATCTGAGTGAAGTGCGAGTGAGGTGTGAGGCTGAATAGAGAGCTTCAATATTTTGATCACGACATGATATGGTCCGTGCATACATAGTTCTACCTAGCCTTGAGTTGCAGCACTAGCGGACATGGTGGGATCAGGTAGCCACAACATGAATTTCTAATTCTTTCTGCCTGGCTTCAATTCCATCTCCTTTACATCTTTTTCTTCTTCACAACTTCACCAAATGCGCCTGGAAAAGCGACCACCCCCGTCAATCTAGATTGTATTATTTTTTCATACACATATTTACATATTTGAGTCTGGAAATTCCAACATACACCTGTCACGCACGTGTAATTTTGCTCTGTGATCACTGGCTTGGATTTCTTCCCTGCCGTTGTGAGATGGCGTTGAAGAAAGATGGGTACCTACCTAGGTAGCTGCATACATATGACGGGAAGACAAGGCCAATCCGGTATCGAAACTCCGGTATCAGGTTGTCAGAAAATAGCAAAGTATTGGACAGACGTCAAGACGAGCGATAAGGATAATCTATTCTATTGATCTAATTGACTAACGTGTACTTGCACTTTTCCTACTCCGTCCTTCTATGTCCCAAAAAGATTCAGAAACCTAGATTAAGTCGTATATCGTATGAAAAGGAGAACCAAATTCAACAAACGCCATAACAAACGAAAGAATGCCCTCCTTCGGGGCTTAAATTAATCAATAAAAATTCACAGCTCATGGTTTCATTATCGTGATATCCAGTCGTACTAGGGCGGCTGAAGAGAGGTGCGGAGGTGCGGAATTGATGATGTCCAGTCTTTCTTCTATGAGTCCCAGATAGGACCAAAGGCTGGAATTCCAAGATATTCCAAATCCTGTACGAGTTTTATCGTCAATTTAGGATTTGAAATTACAATAACGGCTTCCGACTGAGTATCCCGATACTGTTGTATCACAAGAGGAAGTGTCGCGGGTCTTCCCATTGTTGTCGTATTGTGGATGTATGCATTAGGTCCTAGTGCTTTGATAATGCCACCGATTTCATCACCATAAGTCGTCAATGGATCTCGAGTTGACCAAAAGAGGTTAATTCGGGTTTGTTGTGCAAGAATTACTGGTAAGCATGGTGCAATTCCTGAACCGGTAGCTACAAGCAAAATGCTTCGGAACATGGGAGCGATTCTTAAAACACCACATGTGGGCGTGCGACGAGCCCAAATCTCCTTTGGTGGCTCATTTATCAACTTTTTTGTCCAGTCACCTGCGTTCGAGATGATGAGGGAGAAACCATCTCTTTTGGGATCTGCGACTGTGGCGAATGCATGCCATTCGAAGAGAGGACTGCTGGATATACGGATAGTTGTTCCCGGCGAAGGAGTAACATAGTCGAAATAGACGCGCAATGCATGAGTTGAGAGTTGTTCTGATTGAACTTTAATCTTTCGGCAATTGAGCCACGTCATAATGATACTCCCTGTGGCGACAGCGAGGAGCCACATATTTGGGTTCACTAGTAATGCCTTTGACAATTTCTGAGTTACTGGTCGCTGAAGATCGCTAGTGAGTACGGTAAGAGTCCATAGCAGAGCGAGTGCTGACCATCCTGCAAATCGATGGATGATTTCAAAGCTATTGTGAAGTTTTGCACGAATAGATGGATGAGCCATAACGATCATTGAAATGAGAAGAATATCCAAGATGTAGATGATAATGAGTAAGATGATCTTTTCCGCGTTGTATGGTCCCCTCCAGCTACTTTCAATAGAGAGGAGAATGAACCAAAATGTCGCGGCTGAAGCACATCCGGAATGAAGACCTCCCAAGTGGTAGATCTTTCCCATACGTCTGCGAAGCCATAGGGGGAATGACCTTGGCGCAGATGCAAAGATGGTGTACAAAAGATTGATGACATGCTCCTCCCGAATGACAATTGCGACAACAAGGTTGATTGAGGTTGCTAAAGCAGCTGTTGTTTGACTTGGTGTTCCATTTGTAGCCCATTGGTACAGGAATCCCACGACGCCTCCCAAATTGAGACAAAACACGATTGTAAATAAAAGTCGATATTCGGAGGTGATGAAACGATAAAATCTCAAGATAGGTGTGGCAGATTGTCTTGCAACATCTTCCAGAATTTTGGGATCCACGGATACTTTCATCAAGCTTGAGCCTCCAGAACTATCCGATTCTGCTATGCTGCGAGAGGATGGCGACGGTGGTAGTTCTTTCATTTCGCTAGTATCGCTTGAGTCCGTCAGACTACGAACGTCTGGCGACTCAACCATCTTTTCTGGTTCTCCCATCTTGCAAATCTGTGGATGCAACAGCTAATGGCAGAAGAAGTTGTTGAGTTGCAATAAATTGATCACTGAGGGAGTCCTCGGGAGAAGATAATAAAAAAAACGTCTTTGCTGGAATCAGATGTTGGAAAGCGTATGAAGTAGAACGACTTTGGATCTGGAAAGCAAGTGCTAAATCTGATACTTCCAAAGAGAACTGGATGTGTTGAATAGCTCGCAAGATGAGAGTATATATAAAGTTTTTGGTCTGTCCTCAAGCAGACCATGACGAAATAGTCAATATGGTTTCCGTCTGAAAAGGAGGACTCCGAACGCTCCATTAGGAAGTCCAGATGGAGCAGGGTAAGGGTTTCACTAGGTGCTAGTGAAGACTTATGCGACGAGAATGTATAATGAAGTATGATTTGGATAAGAGGAGTTAATGAGACCCAATCCCAATAGTTCATCTCCACCTTCGCTCTCTCCGACGCTGTTATCATTCTATACAATGGTGGTACGAGATTGATATCTTCTTCGACCACCTGAAGGAGTACCCCCGTCGAGACAGGGTGGAAACGTGCTCACAATGTTACCCTCCATTTCAGTAACTTCTTCTCGCCACTCACCACGTCATATCAACCAATAATTCATTGTCTATGATATCCAGTTTCATATCATAGTGGTGCTGCGGAAGTGGAGCTTCTTTTGCCCGATAGATACTATCTCTATCTACGTCTCCTTCTGCTCCTTTGGACGCCAAGCTACAAGGTCGAATTGTAGGAAGGAGATAAAGCTCTTGCCAGCGCTTCCTCCTAGTTTAATAGGATATCAACCAACCCCGTCAAAGTGTTGTTCTCGAGTCAAAAAAATTTGCTGGAGGAACTTCCCTTGCGCTACCGGGTCGGACCTCTGCACATTATCCTGGTTCACATGTGCGTAAGGCACAAGAAGCACTTGTCCTATTCTGTTCGAGCACAAATTTTACCGTTATGTTGAATAATGCTTGCCAGTTGAGCTTAGACGTTCCTTTGAATCCTTTCAATTTAGTTTCTACGTCCGCTCTTGCAGCGCAAGACAATAATACGTTGTTACGAGAGGTAGATCTACATATATTCACGGCGAACCAAAACACTTGAAGCAGAAGTCCCGATTGACAGTAGTCAAGAAGTTACGGGGGAGTGAACACCATGTAGGATGGCAACCTTGTAGGCTCCGGAGTCCTTACTTAGGCACTTCAATAACATCTGATCTTTGCGTTGGAACAACCAGTTTTGAATTCGTAGAACTGAATTATCCAACAAGTAAGAACTTGCACGACCCCTCACATCAATTTCTATTACACTTACTGATCTCGATGCATTTTGAACTACAAATTTTTTTGGTGTGAAGCCGAGCATGTTCTTTTTTTAAGCATTCGCTGCCAGCCCTTGTCAAAAGCTTATACCCTGCAACTTGCGCGCTTACCTTCCAACTTGAGGATCATCTTATCACGATGTTACTTCGCGCATCATTTCGGCACTTCTAACGACCACATTGCTTTTAGAAACAAGACCCACCTATTCGCAAGCCACCTTCCACTTCATAACTAACATGTTGGTTATCTAACTTGTTCCTGCAGTTAACGATTTTCACATGTTGCAAGTGGTGGAGTATTTCTTGTTTTAAAGGTGTTTTTCTCGGCTTCATGTAACACCATGTGAAAGTTGAAGAAAAAGATGTTTGACAACAGGCATATTATTACCTCATATATGCCAAGGCAGTGGGGGCTACACATCATGGACGTGGGGTATATCGCAATTTGAGTTTATTTCGGCACCGAAATTTTAAATATCAATATCGGTGCAGAGGGTAAAGACCTGGGTATTCAGACAATGAACACGCAAGCTAGAAGTGCAAGTGTGTGAATCGGGAAAAATCAATAATAAATCTTGTTCATTTTCCTTTACATCAATATCGCGACATTGCTAAAAGTGTTGACGCCAATGCATCGTAAGTTCGTGTCATCGCAGCGTCAAATCAACTACCCTGACCTGTTGATTCGAAAGCACGAGCTGTTTTCGCTCATGGCAAACGACTCAAAAGTTCCGGTTGAGATGACAATTCCTAAAAGCTCAGAGTTATCAAACACGAAAGACGCAAAGTAAATTTACTTGCCGCTGAAAAAAAAGCATTCACATTGGGCCACCTCTTTTGGAATTTTTGTGAATTTTTGTAGTTTCTGTTCAATGTGAAAGGTCGAAGTGATGTTATAGATGTCGACATCTTAAGCTTAAGCTTAAGTTTAAGATCGAAACTAAGAACAGTGAGAAAACTGGAAAAGAATTCTGGAGAAGAATTCTGGAGAAAAGAACCCCAACTAGAAATAGGCACATAAATTGTACCCACAGTCAGCCTTTGATTCATAATCATCCTTGCGCACTAAACAAGGATGACACCATCCTTCGAATCAAAAATTGTTCCCATTCGGTACTGTAAACCGGCACTATACATCCTATGCATCACGTGAGTCGTGTACGAAGGATGATCTACGGCGAGGTGCTGTTTGTTTATGAGCATTCTAGATCACTCTATCGCTGTGCAAGACCCTGCCACATAACACCAGCACAAATTTGTCGGTATTCCTACAGATCTGTGTGGCAGGGTCCAGTGCATGCTGGTTGGTGATTATGCGGTAGATGTAGCCAACCCTTGTATAGAGATCTTGGCATAGATAGTAGATGTGGATCTAGATGTATTGATTGTATGTGAGCAATACTAGTATGAAAACAAGTTAATCATTGTAAGATTAGACTCTTAAGTGGAGACAATCTTGGAGATAGTCTTATCATTGTCCGGAAATGGGAATAAAAGATTTGAAATACTTCGACGCTCGGGGGTTGTGATAACATCATTCCAAATCATCAAACTTCATGAATACAGCAATCATATTACCGCGGGTGTTCGGCCGAAAGGAAGATTGAAAAAGAAGAGAAACGAAGAGAATGTGTGGAAAGCACAATTGTGCTTTAGCTAGTCTGGAATACAAATGCTATAGATATGCCAAGGGTAATGACCGACATCCGAACATGGGTATGGTAGCTTGAGGTGAACGAATATGAGTATGTTGAATACTCAAGTTCTTCTTGAGAAAGAAAGATACGAAAATGAATGATCCAATTGCAAGTGCGAATGCAAGTGCCTAATAGTCGTCGCCACGACTGATGACTTCTTTACCACCACTGTGGAGCAGAATTGTCTGGAACCAATGGTTAGCTTCAGAAAATAGTTTTGCAAGAACTTTTCTTACATGTTCAAATTGTGCTGTATATGAGCCCTTCGCGTCGACAAGTGGAGCGTAAGACTCCATTATTCCATTGTCTATCAAATGTCTCATCTATCCACAGCTGTTAATAATCTCTCAACGCATAACGGCGATGATCAGTCACCTACCCCGAGATGATAATTTCTGACTCCAAGACGCTCCAAATAGCGGCGGCAGAACACCAAGGTTCCAAAATTGGCGTCGATGGTTTTGAGTAAAGCCTTGGCGGACGAAAGCTGTACATTGTGGCTTCCGACATCGTCACTTCGTCCGTAGCCATAAATGCCGACCTATCACATCATCAGAATACATCCTCAAGACATCAAGAAACGAGAGAGAAGTGCGATACATACATCATCTCGTAGATAACCCGTTCCAGTGCTACCGAAAGTCTCAATTGCAAAGACTTCTCCCTCTTCCATCTTATCTCGATTCTTGTTCTTGATAAAGGGGACTTGCTTGCCACCATGGATATGGTATCGAAGAATGTCATGGCCGGTAATATTTCGAATAGATTTTACCGGGAAAACTTTTCCTCCAATCTCCACTTCGTAACTTTCCATGACCTCCTGGATAGCAGCACCGATATCACTCATTCTTGCATCAATACCAGCATACTATTATCCTATTAGCTTGTGTACTCCAAAGCAAAGTTAACGCTTTCAATTAAGGTGACGTGCCATAATGCCAGTATTAGTTGCGTCTTTCACAGCAGCCAGGAGGTTGTCGTAGGTATGGTCGAAAGCGACAGTAAATGCTGAATCGACGATGCGACCATTCACTTGCACTCCGAAGTCGACTTTGAGTACATCGCTATTCTTCAGAATAACATCTTTTCCGCCCGGGTTCGGTGTCCAGTGGGCTGCGATATTGTTAAGACAAAGCCCGGTGGGAAACCCCATACTTGCTTTTAAGCTATCTCCAATTTCGAGTCCTTGATGGCCAGACAACGCACGGATTCCATCCTCTATGCCATCGGCAATTGATAAAAGACTTGCTCCTGGTTTGATGAGCTCCTTTTGCGCATATTGACGAACCTGTCGGTGGATCTCTGCAGCTTCACGATAATCGTCAAGAAAACCTTCGTCCCAAAGGCGTGAGTTGAAACATGATTCCTCATCCGTAATACGGGACGTATTCTCATATGGCAGAAGTTCTCCCTTTGGAAATGCAGATGGGAATAAGCTAGAAACAAGCACACTTGGTGGATTGGTTTGTCTGAGCTCTGTTGGTTGCCTGTTCTTCTTCTTTGGCTTTTTTCTTTTCTTCTTCTTTTCTGTAGACAGATAGTTAGTCGGTATTGAGATTGATGTCGTGGATGATTGCTGATCGGAAAATCGCAACTCACCATTAGACGAAAGCTCATTCACCCCAGATCTTTCTTTGACACCATCATTATCATCGTCACCATCGTCGTCGCTGATGATTCCACGATCCAAATCAGCCGAGCTTGAACCTTTGTTAGGTTTCGGATTTTGATTGGCTGGTTTGAGCTCGGCGGAGTTAGAAGCTAGATTCCGAAGTCAGCTTTTGATTCATGATTATGTAATTTACCATCGAAACCCGTACCATCGGGAATTTGTTGATGTTCCTCGGGGGTCTGAGATCCCATATTGAAGCACTGAATTGAAGATAATGCCGTGGGAACTTGGAGAAAATCTTATAATTGATGTTGAGGCGAGGAGATATATAATCAACTGACTGCACATATAGTGGGGCTACGCCCTTCGGAGTACAATTTGTTAAAATGTGCATGACTAATATTCGAGTGCTGTTTTCTGAAACGAACTTTTGATTACACTTCTGATCTACGAAGGGGCAATCTTTATTAAGCGGTTGACATCATTGTACTTTGAAGCTGTAGATGTAGATGTGATAGGCTAATCTGCGGAGGCTTTGTGAACTTTAAGCTACGGACATCACATGATCTCGTAATCAGGTGCAGAGCGTCTGATGAGCCACGATTTAATCCCAGTCATCTCAGATCTTGCGCCTGGGATTGTCTGGTACATGAAGATCATATCGTACTCGAGAGTACCAGATTTCAGACTGAAGGAATAAGCGTGACAATCAGCGCAAGACCGTGTAGTTGGTCAAATAAAGGATCCAGCTAGCTAACGATGACAGCGCTATCACCAGATGCAGACACTTTACAATCATACCCTAACAGGGCGACACATCTTTTGGGATTGAATTCAAGTAGCAGTAAGGCTTTATACGCAAGCTTCATATGGATAGCCTTCATGATATACTGCAATACATGATTTAGAAATTCCAGGTCTTGCGATCTGTTACATATCTCGAGACCAATCAAACAACACTGCTCTTGATAAAACGCTCTTATGTAGTTTTTTAAGAACTGTGGCGCCAAATTCAATCATCGAACTAAATATTTTGTGGAATTTTGATGACTTCAACAACTTGAACATGGTTGTTATTAAACTGTGAGGTATTCACACGAAATGCTCGACGTAAAGACTCATCACGGAGACACAGCTCTTTACATCATTTGCGCCATACCCTTTGACTATTTGCATATCACGATGAATTTGTATTATTATTAAAATCATGTCTGCCACATCTTCTCAATTTACAAAAAGCCACAACTTCCATAACTTACCCCACATCCCATTATATTCACTCCCCTTAAACCCCGCTCTCACTTTTCGCTTCTCATTCGTGACCCACTCATCACTTAACAAAAAGTCCCAATCAGAAGCAAAACATTAGCTCGAAAGCTCCAAAGCTTAAACTTTTCTTCCACAAATATCTCAAAAAGTACCTAGAGATCTACAATTTCAAACCCCCCCTCCCCCCAAAAAAGAAGAAAAAAAGAGAACCGACAACAATGGCAAAAGAAATCTCACTCCCGCAGGAGTGAAGCCCAGAAACCTTGCAAATCGTTGTCTGTGGCAATGCTATCATCCAAGTCGATGTTACAGAAGTCACTCGATGGGCGCGCCGAGCCAACCACTGCACCATCAGTTAGGATGTTCATTGAGAGGGTGCAATTGTTTGGAATTATATACCAAAGGGACAGATTCACTATTGAAATTTGGTGGGGTAGGGCAATTGGGCAATTGGGAACTGGACAATAGAACTGTGTGAATGGTCTCACCTGAAGGGTGGTTTCTGAAGTGTTTCTGGTGTTTAATAAAATAATTTTGCTCGAAACCGCAGTATGATATCTCCAAACAACTCCAAATCCTTGCTGAGAGGAAAAATTCGCGCATGTTGAATCCCTCCGGAATTGTGCAGTCACATTCCCCAAGTCACAGAAGTTCGGGCTCAGTATTACTTACTTTCCTTAAACTCAATATGAATAGTAGCTGACAATTGACCAATGGTCCAATTCCAAATCAAAGTCTACCACTTAAGCTTCGCCTTCATGATCTGGCGAATTGGAATTTGGCAAGAACCGATTGCGCCATATTAAACAGCGTAATGGATTCTTGTGAGGACGCTACTTGGAACGCTTGACAAGTGCTTCAATAATTGACTTCTGGTATTGTAAATGCTCCATTGACGATATACTCAATCACTATCTCAAGGAAGCACACAGAGGAATAGTTTGTTACTATAACACATTTGATTGTCACTCACCAGCCTCCTTCCTTGTCGCCATCATAACATTTCACTGTTCATTTCACCACATCTAAACATTATTTATGACCAAGTTTTCTTCCTTATGTTTGCCTTGTATCTAAAGCACTTCTTGCTTCCGATAGAGATTTTTTAGTATATGTGGAGGCACGTCGGTCAGCTTGTACGAGGTCTGATACTTTGATATTACCATGAGAGTCCCTATTTATACAAATTCTGAATAAACATTAACCCATAATATGTAGACCAAAGATTGTACAGTGGATTGCAGCATTCAATCCACAACACATTATATGCAGTTTTGCTTTCAATAAATGAATAATCTCACTAATTTAACATGTGCGAAAAAGACAACCATGCTTCTGCACGCCAACGCTCAGAATAGTGACTTATCTACTCGTACAGTAGAATTTGAGTCTCGAAATCTTTCTCTCCACGATATATAAACTATCGTCTACCCTTTTGAAACATTTGTCAACAACTGTGTAGAATACTTGAACACTACTGAAATGTCCTGTGGGTGTACGAGGAGATCGTATTGAAAAGCGGCGATGTGAAGGTACTACTTATTCTCTTTACCTCATGTTTTAGAACCAGTAATCCTCTATAGGAGATTCCCACTGCGCCTATAGCGATTTTTCGGTCTCATTGCCATTAAGAGACAAGAGATTAGGTAAATACATATAATTCTCACCGAAGGTTTTCATCACCAATCTATTTTTCTGCTATCCACAAAAGCTTATGAACTCGTGCTATCTACTCACTTGATTTTCCCCTCTATAATATATCCTACATCTGATACATAGAATAGTTCCACGCTTTTCAAATCAGCCCAGTTAACCTGGCGATCAATTTTCACCTCGTCGCTGTCATTTCTTCACCAAACTTGTGCGTATGAGCTAAAGAATGGTACTAAGAGGACTTTTATACCTAAAATTCAGAGATCACGGACATGAGATGTGTAAGCAGTTACTCAACGTATGATTATGCTGGTAATATCGTGGTGATCGACATCCGCTAGAGAATTCGCTTAGCATCTTCATGTTCTCATTTTACTTCTCCACCGGGCATTCTCAACCCTATAGTATTGTGTGAATATCAGCCAGTTTTCACTCTAGCAATATATGTAAGTTGTGCAAAATGAACGGTCCACTATCCAGGTCTGGACACCCTGTGGATGTGGAGGAACGCATACACGACACGCACAAAGTGCTTGATGCTTGGAGGTGGGAGGTGAAAGGTGGGAGGAAGATATGAATAATCTGGCTGGTGGGTAAAAGTTTGTCAACGGTGGATAACAATCTCTCCTATTGTCGAAGTATACGATAATCAACTTTTCAATCAAGAGTCTAGTTGTTCCTAGTTCTCACTACCAGATCTACTCTCGCTGTCACAAATCTATCGAGTTTACCCCTCTTCTCCCCATCACGAACAATCGTATTCTAAAATCCAACCCTAAAACACTTCTTACTCTCAATCCACAGCCATATCTCCGAGTTTTTCGAGGTCACGAAACTTCGCCTTATGTCTCTGGCGACCAATTGGATCATGATGTCCGTGGATAATGAATCAGTTTGATTAGAATATTTATACTTCCCAAACAGAATTCACTTCGAATTCTGACCGTGTTCGGATGGAAAAGATGGATTGAAGGGGTATTGATAATGGGTGTTAGTTACTATAGAGTCATAGCATCATGTTATCCTTGAGCTGCCATAGAATCTGTTAGTGTAGGTGAATCATGCTCATTGCCACTCCGCCCCCCTCACTTCAACTTCGCACCGCCATTCCTCCTCCAGAAACCTCCCTACGAGGAAGTTTATAAATCGTTCTCATTTTCACCATTCTCCAGGAATCGATTGAAGAAGATAGAGAAGGCCCTGGAAAATTCATTGCGCCGATTCTGCTGCTGGATCTGCTCGCATCTTAGATTCTACCTCGATGTCCCATATAAACGCATGTTTTTGTCCCGAAATTCTTCTCCCGTTGCATAGCTTGAAATTTAATCACCGTTTGGGACGTTCATTATCAGGGTATACGGATGAATCATGTCTATCATTGCCATTCAATCACCGTCACCACAACCTCCGCCACCTCGATACCCTAATCTCATCTCATAATTCCCTTCCACACAACATCTTTCACATACTTACACATCGATTTCCTATAATAGTATTGCCATATCCTTTGGATCCCTCCCCACGTATTGCCGCATCGAAAATCTACCATGTAAATTCCCTCATGTCATGTCAAGAAGAAGGCAGATCTTCCCTTTTTTATATGAGCTCTCCTGGCGCGTTCAAATTCCATGATGACTCCACTTTAAGAATTCAAGTATTTTGCATTCATATGTAACGAATCAATATTCCATTTTCATACGGCGCCTTCACAACAGTTTTTTTTCATATTCTGAGTCTCTGTCCATTCAATGAGCCATATCACACGAATCTCATCCCCCATCGCAATCACACATTGCAAATAAATATCCCATCTTCTCTCCTCGTTTTTGAGATCAACAGAAACTACAAAGTCTCCCCCAACTACCGTTGCACGACTGCGTACCATAATACTCCTCACAATAGTCAACTTAGCATACTAGGGACTCACAAATTAAAAGCTAATTTTTAGCGGAAGATATACCGATTCTTTGATACGTAGCAGAAGTGATGATATGATGCAAAATCAATAATTATATATAATACTAGGTATGTCTATCGCTGTCAAATCAAGAAACTATCATGCCATCGTTTCCTCGCCGACTAAAAATCTTCATCGCTGCTTTCTCAGGTTCCAGTCACCACTGTCGCTCACATATTATCTCATCATCATCATCATCATCACTGCCCATTCCATTTCGCCCAGACCTCATCCCAACTCCCGACCTCCAAGCTATCTCATCATACCTCTCTCCCCATCACCATCTCCACTATACCCTACCCCTCCCCCAAATTCAAGTCCCAAGCCCCCCATTCCCCTCACCAAACATTCCCAATCCCTACCCTCCCATCCAAAAGACCCATTTCCAAGAACCGTTTATGGTAAATATTTCCCACCACCAGAAACACACACTCCACATCCCATTCACTCGAGAACTTAATTCCCAAAAGTCTCGAATCCTTATTTCACACACCCTGTCTAATTATAAATCGAATCCAATTCCCATCCAACCTACCACCCCAATCTCTAAGCCGTACCCCCCAATCCCAACCCCATGAATCAAACTCATTCCCAGATTTCCCTGTCCTCCGTTCATCCCTTATCACATCACAAAAACACAAAACATGCACCATCCCTTTCCCTCCTCTCCTCTAAGACTCACCCATCTTGGAAACCCCCTACAACCAACTAACCCTCCTTCCCTCCCCCCTTTCTCCTCACCATTATGACTTTCAATCCCCTCGTTTCCATTTATACTTCTTCGATCTTTCCCTAATTTTATATATTAGATTAATAGAGTAGGTAATCCATATATATAACCCTCTAACCTCTTCCTCTCCTCTCTCGTTCCCTTTCCTTCCCATCTACCATCTCCCATCTACCATCTCCTAATCTTCACATACATACATCCTACCTCACCCCACCCCCACATTCCTCTCCAACCACTCTACTCACGCGACTGACTCCATACATATAGACACGCAGTAAAGAGCCATCCATCAATTTCCTTCTTTCCAAAGCCCAAGCCCAAGCCAGAGCTAAATACAACGAGAAAGAGATGCAAATAAGAATACCAGGCAGATACTCACCAAACACATAACAGCGAAGAATTGCGAGAACAAAAACAATAACATAACATCACCAGACAAAAACCTTCAAACAAACAAAACAAAAATAAAAGTAGTGAAGAATTGTATAATATATAAATCCAACCTAGGTAGGTAGGTAGCTCTAGTCAATCAATCCTTCATGCATGCCGATCCCCAAGATCATAGCACCACAAGTCCCAAGGCACAAGGCACAAGTATATCCTCCTCAATTATCGAAATTGAAATCGAAGAGTCGAAAAGTCCACCGCATAGCGCCACCATATATTTATGTACTGTATGATATGTATATGCTACACCCTTTCAACGCCCATTTGCCCGTCCATCCATCCATCCATCCAGCTAAAAGCAAACTGATCTTTTATCAACCCTAAGTATTGATTCCGCACACTGGTTATATTGTAATTGTATTCTTTTGTCTCGGTAGAAACCTCCCAATCAAGATTCAACCTCGACCTTCTTCTTCCTTCCTCCCTTTCCCTTTCCTCTTCCTTTTTTCTTCGGTTCACCCGCATCCACTTCCGGTTCCACTTCACTCTCACTGCCCTCTTCCTTTTTCGCCGCCGAAGCTTTCCTCTTTTTTCCCTCCCCATCCTTCTCCTCCTTCGCCGCCGGCACAACCTCTTGAACCCTCCCTACAATCTCACTCAAGAAATCAAATTGATCATTCTCCTCCACCACTCTCTTCAAACAACCCGCCGTCACTCTTTTTCCTCCCTTCTCCCTCGCGACTTTTGCCGCGCCTTGTACTAACGATATCATGAAAAGTTCCAAGGCTTTCGATACTGCGACCGGAGTAACTTGCGCGACCTTTCCTACTTCTTCATCGGCTTGCATTATACGTTTTATGCGGGCGACGGGAAATTTCGTGCGGATTTCTATTCCATCTGGATTTGGATTTTTGTTCGAAGGAGGAGCCGCGGGGGGTTGGGGTGCTATGGCGAAAGACATATTGGGTTGGTATTGAGGAGCGTGCGATTGATTGAATGGGGCGGCGGTAATAGGTTGAGGTTTGACGCGTGATTGACGAGGTTGTCGCGTTGTGGTATCAAGTTGATTTGTATATGATTCGTGGTAGAGAGGATTGTGAGGGTTGTTGTTGTATTGATATATCTCTACTGGATCATTACCCAGATTGAATGGCGAAGGGATGCGATGATCGTAAGGGGATTGAGAAGATAATGCCGCTTCAGTATTTTGGAATTGATCGAGATATTGCGAATGTGGTTGTGAATGTGGTTGTGAATGAGAAGCGGAAGAAGAGGATGTAATGATAGGTGAATTGTTATTATTATTAACAAAATCTGATTTGATGGTCTGAGAGTGAGAATGAGAAAAAGAATCCGAATGAGAATGAGAATGAGAATGAGAATGAGAATGAGAATGAGAATGAGAGGGGTAGTAAAATTGTGGAGCCGTGGTTGGAGTTATCGCAGTAGTGGCCGTAGTGGCAGTAGTGGCAGTAGTGGTTAAAGTTGTTCCTTGACTTCCGAAAGAATGTGTAGGTGGTAATGCGGGAATTGGTGGCATATATTGATTTGTGGTGTTAAATGTATTATAATCTGGAAATTCATTCACTAAATTTCCAGGATTATTGGCCGTGAATCTTGGATGGTTTGAATGATTTGATGGATTTGATTGACTTGGATGATAATTGAGATGTTGTATTGGTTGAGAAAGGCTTGATGTTGTTGATGTTGTTGTTGATGTCGATGTAGGTGTAGGCATAGTACCATTGCCAAAATGAGGAATCCCCGGTGATCGAGGTGCATATGATGATAATGATGAAGTTCCCGATGAAGTGATTAATGGATGAAAGGATTGTTGATGTTTGTTGGGATTGGAATCAGGTGGTAAGAAACCTGATAAATCGGGAGATTGAGGTGTATAAGTTGAATCCATTTTTGACCCAGGTCAGGTATTCTTTCTTAATTTCTCTCTTTTGCCTTTTTCTCTACCTTTCTCTCTTCCTTTCTCTTTTCCTTTTAATGGATTTTGGAAAGGAATATTTTTGACGTTAATATATTTTCGGTATAGAGTAAACTGGAATAAGAGGTTAAGAAGGTTAGATTATCCGAATTGATGCAAGGCTAACACGGTAGAGAGTGTTGACCAGGAAAAAGACTTTGGACGTTGGACGTTGGACGATGGACGAATAGTAAAATGGGATTGAAACCAATGAAAGAATAAATCTTGGTGTCTTCCTCTCGCCTTCCTTTGAAAGAGTTTCCTTTCTCTTGAAGGATTTTGGATGTGAAGATCTCTTGTTTTCTGCCACTTTGAATGGTATCTAGTACGGACCGGACCGTAAGCTGGTTCCTGGAAGATTTAGATGTATATACCTAGGCACACCGTGTATATACCGGCACCGGTACTGCACTGTACTGACTGTACTGTATTGTATTGTACTGAAAGAAATATATCTCGTTTGTGTAATGGACTCAATTCGACTTACGAGTACATACAGTAGGACGTAGATAGCTTTGAGTCAATCTTCTCTCGAGATTCTTTCTTTATTGTAATCATGTATCAACCTTCTTGATTTGAAGGAAAGGCCCTCGGTTCTATATAGGAGGCGAAGAGGATGAAGGTGTATTATTTCTTCTTTGTTCTTCTTTTCTTCTTTTCTTCCTTTCTTCCTTTCTTCCTTCTTCCTTTCTTTACTTGTGGATATTAGATATTGGATCTCTTCATCAGAGACTTTCAAGCTTCTCCTTCATCAACTTGTGATACGACTTCGAGGTTCGTTTATCGTAAAGCGGTGAAATAAGTGAGGCGATAACAGCAAGAGAAGAAGACCGAGGGAGGGCTAGTAATGGAAAATAGTTCCAAGGAGAAATGAAAAAATATTTCGTATTCAAATGAATAAATTGATTGGTTGAAATCAAACAATCAAGACAAATAGATGATGGACTCTGATCAAACTCATATATCTCTTCGAACTTTAATTGGTTGATAATTCCGAGAATTCCATAAAATTCCCTAAACAATGGAAGCGAGCGAGGTTAATAAGTTTCTTCAATGTGCGATGTGCGATATGTGATGTGCATGGAAATGAAAAGCTTTTGAGCGGGGTTGAACTGGTCATTTATGTACACAATTTGAAAATGACTAGGATTTGAAATTCGACTAATTGTGAATAGGATTAGTATCATGTCAGAATATCATGTGGGAAACGCGGCTCAATTTATTGTTGATCAAAATATTAAAGCAAAAAACGTTCAGCTAGATAGTTCACAACCCGTCAGTCTTTTGATATTGATCCATTTCACTCAAGGTGGTTGACACATTCTCTCTCACGAATTCTACGAATTCTACGAACTCTACAAACTCTACAGATTCATGTGATTCAAGAACAGGAGAAAACATCCTTGATTACACAACAGTCATTCACTTCTTGGCATTCCGAGATCTCGAAGCTTACACGAAAAACGCGTCGAGAACTGTGGCTTACTCACAATACCGTGGAAACAAACATTGTTATGAGAAACCACCGAGCCTTTTCAAAAGTATCTGCCGAGAATACATCAAATCCGGTCATCTTTTGTTGCAAAGCTTTTGAGCTCGAGAACGAGTCAGAACTTTGGAGCACGTCGCCCTTTACTCATCCATAGGTACTACCTAGGTAGGTATGTACTATTGTATCTTCAAGCGACGATATCTCAACCTCAACCTCAACCTCAACCATACCCTTCTTTAACATCCTCCAGATATTGAATGATGATAACAAAGAGCTTACCGGAGATCACACCCAAGTTCATAACCCGGCTACTCACCTAGCTTGTGGTTTTGACTCGGGTTATTTGTGATTATATGATGGAATTAACTTGATCTAATCTGACAATATCTTGGATTTGGAATTATAAGTTTGACGATCTGGTGTTTCGATCATCCTTCAAAGGTTGTTGATCACGGGAAAACGATATTGGTAGTTTGCCTCTATACTTGATGGTTTCAGTAGTTTGGGTTGATCTCAATTGATGGAGTAGCCTTTTTGATTCCACCAAGTACCTAGTATCTTTCACGGAGATGGATATTCTCTCTTCAATTCTTCCACCATTGCATTTAATTCATGTTTCTTTCCCTTCAAACCAATGCAAACAATCGACTCGAAACAATCAAAGACTTATTTTGAAACTCTTCTCCATGATGTTTGCTTCATCTCATCCGATATTCTTCCGTACTTTATTGTTTTTGTTGCAGATCGTATTTTTCGCCGAGCCTCTAAATGTCACGAGATTGGATATAAACGGATTGAAGTTTTCAAAAGGTTTTAGACCATGAATAAGGCTTTGGATTTCTAAATTCTTGAGTCGCTTTGATTCCTCAGACCACTCAAAGTCTCAGTATTTTCTTCTCAATCTGAGGAAGGATTCATCGTCCCGTTTTGCCTGATGGAGAAATAGGCTGAGATCTGTATTGTTCGGTAAGTTTAGTGACATGGTCTAGTTCAGGTTTTGATTCAAGCCTTCAACATCATATCTCGTGATTTAGTTTGAGAAATCACTGTTTTGTTGCACATCTAATGATTGAGGGAAGTATTTAAATCTAGACGCCTTCCCCTCTCATAATTTCCTAGAATTTTATCTTCCATTTCACCACGTGATTTTTTATATTTTTATATTTTTATATGGATAACTGAAGTTTGGACATCTTGTTTTCATGGGTTATTTGTTGGCGTTGAACCAATTGTAGTAATTGGGTACAATAGTACAATAGTAAAATAACTCAAATAATTATCACATGAATATCATAATCATACCTCGGCGCAGGAGCGGAATATCTCAGCGGAGGCGGAAATTCTCTTCACATCCATCCGTACCTAAGCTAAGCCTGACCACCACCACCCACACTCACCAGCACACAAAATTCGCTTACACCACACCACACCCTCCCATCCATCCATCCATCCATCCACCCATCCCAATAAAAACAACACACACATCCCGCAATAAAAAAAGCAACACAAACTGCCACGTATACACAATCCAACAGCCACGCTGAAAAATCATACATGCAAATGGTACTTGTAATAGGGTGTTGAGAGTGTGCAGATGGGGTGTAGACCTTGCACACCGCTTCATGAGTGGGAATTCCTCTACACCCTCAGGAATTTGAGATGTGCAACAAAATTTGGAGATGAAGGGAGGGAGGGTCTGTGGGTTTGCGGAGAGGAGGAGTGGATAGGATGGGAGGGGGAGGGGTGGATGAGTAAGGAGATGATTATGGTGATGAGATGAGTGAGGTGCATGTATGTATGTATGTATGTATGTATGTATGTGGAGGTATTCAGACTTGACTTATTTATATAAATAGATTTCCCATTCCACACATTTTTTTCACGAGTCCTTGATTCATTTACCCATGTTTATCCATATTTCTACAAGAGTTACCCAAATAACCACCACCATCAATCATTCACCATCACAACAAACAATCAATCTTAGTACATCATCCACACGGGACTTCATAAATCAAACTCCCAAGCTGAAAACCCAGCCACACTTACATGTAAATAATCTATCGCTTCTCTTGGCTTGGCTCACCATGCCTACCTCGGATACCTCAAATCCCTCCCAAATGGTTACGGCAAAAATCGCGGCTTGGGATTTGCGGATTTCCGAGGTTGTGTCACGTTACGTTACATTATGTTATGATATGTTGGATTATCGGGATGGGTTGCAGATAGGTAGGTGTGCAGTCCTTTTTAGATTTTATTTTTATTTTTATTTGGTGGCCCAATCTTGGGGTGTTGGAGTGAGTAGAGATTGTTTGCTTGTTTGTTTGTGTGTGTGTGTGTGTGTGTGGGTGTTTTGCGATTTTCTATTTCTATATCTGTTCTTGGTTTATTGGCTGTTTACTAGGTATCTTCATGTTCGTTTCTGGATTGAGGAGGTGGTAGTTGAGGTCGTACAGATATATCTGCTAGGTACGTATGAGTAAGTACTTATCGTAAGGTTGACATGACTTGATGTGAATACCTACGTACCTAGAAGTAAGAATATCTCTTCAAAATTATGTGTATATCAAGTACCTGCCTAGATATCCCATTCTCACCAAATGTTCGGGAATCAGACAGTCTGAAATCATTCCCCCACGTGGACTTGTGCCACTGTAGTGAGCAGTAGAGATGTTGTGTCGATATATGTACACCAGTCCGTCGCATGTAGTACAGCGATGTGCTTGTTTAGATACTTACTATATGAGTATTTGATGAACGTTATTTCTCTATTGCACATCTAAAAATATCACGACTCTGAAAACTCGGGGATGCTGTATACCATATTTTCCTCGCACAGTGCCAATCCCTGAAAGATGAACATCATATTATATTATAACAAAAATCACGAAATTTCACAAATCGATACTCTCAACAAGTGTAATTAGTCTCCTCCACCAATCATACCTCATGTGATGCAAAACCTAACTGTTGCACATCTTCATGCACGTACCCGGCCATGGTGCGCATGCAAGCGAATATGCATAGGTAAATATTTCTTGCATTACATATTCCTCACAAATGATGGATGTAACACTGATATGAGAGGAATTGTTGCATATCGGGATACAGGAATGATCTCCTCTTGTAGCACACACTTTCCCATTCTACTATTATTACTCAATGCATCGGATATCAATCTCCATAACTAAGGTTACTCCAACCCCTCCACAATTCCCACACACCACCCAACCCCCCAAAAGTCTACTACCCATCCATCTACATCCAACCTCGCGGTACCAAGTACTTTCTCTCCCAAAAAATTAACTCAACTCACCCAAACCCCACAAAACATCGCACAAAGTCAGCCCCCAAGAAGAAAAACTAACAATTGGTGCACACAATCCAAAAACCAAACCCCTTTGTTGCACATCTCCATGCATGAATATATCATAAAATGCAG